GATAAACTCCAGTTCTGGTAAAAAAAAAAGAAAATTAATTCTCACAGAATCAAATGAAACTTACACTGAATGTTCAAGATTACAAATAAATGACATGTGCCAAATAATTTTGGAAGAACATGTATACTGGCTGATTAATGAGCATAGAAAGACAAGGTAGTACTAGCCCTGACACCATGTGTGTTGTTCCATAGCTTTCTGTGTACAGTGCTTGTTACTTTACCAAGACTCGGCCAAATTTATTATGATTTTGATGACTCCAGAACCTTGCAGTGCACACCAATACTTACATGCTACACGATCAACTGTTTCTGATCCATTCCACACCTTTTCTTTCACAATGCTATCGGATGACCTTTATCTTTAAACACTTTAATATGACTGAAATTTTGTTTCTTCAAAATATATGACTCTGGAGTTGGGGGGAACTTCTTCTTTAGAGGACCAACAATACTATACTATATTATTCAACCTTTATAATGTTGGATCAAGCATGTTCAAAGTGTTAATTTACCATTTTTAAGAAAAAAAACGTCCACTCCCTTGCCCATTTAAAAAGTAATTTAATATTTGCGTTTATATAGAGTACAGATGAGAGTGATATTGTGATTATTGAAAAAATGGACATCACAAAGAGAAGTACACTCCATTACCCTGGTATTACATTATTATTATCTATAATTCCTGATTGGACACAGACACACAAACCTATTCACAAATTCACCACAAATTATACCCCAAGTATACATTATTCCAATGAAATATTTTAAATTTTTATTTTATTTCTGCATTTTTCCAAATACAATAACTGGAAAGCAAAGAACATATTAAAAAAAGTATGGTATATTAATACAACATATACCAGCAATAATAATTTCTTTCAACACATTATTAAAATACATGTTTATATACATTAACAAACTTAATATTTTTATAACATATTATTATCAATTGAAAGTATTATCCATGCCATCTGTTGAAAAAGTGCAGGAGATCGCGACCATACTGTAAGAGATGCTTGACTAGGATGGTGGCCTCATACATGTATGTCTCCACTTGACAACTGAATGGGCATGAAAAATTCAATTACAAAAAGAAAAAATGCTGACATGTTGGAGTTTAATGCCAGGAGAAAAAGAAGAGTACATTTGTACTTGTTTAAAATATTCTACCAGTACATGAAGTAAGGAACTCGGTTACTGTAGGAGCATGTGTCATTCCTAGTTGAAATAAAATGGTCTACAAGGAGTTGCAAGATAGTTAAAAAACAGAAACAAATGTGTTATTAGACTATTAATCAACTCTGAATATATTTTTCATCTTTCTATTTTGTCCCCAAAGCCGTAATTATTTTTGGGGTCTATTTTCCTCTTTTTTTTTGGTAAGAAAATGCAAGAAAAATGGTCAGGTTTGCTAGGAAATACCATAAAAGTATGTACATGTACATGTATAAAATAGCCCCCCCCCCCCCCCAATTATAGTTCATGTGTGAAAACTACCAGGGATACAATACATGTACAACTTACAAGCCTACATGTATATCTATTTTTCGTAGATGCAGAATTTGCAGATATTGGCAAAAGCCCAAATATTTCATGGAGTTCAGTTTCCTCTTCTCCCACCATGGTTTTCGTGATCTACATGTTGACAACCTGAACTTCACATGCCAGACATCTATTGCCATGGAAACGAAAGCATGGCCCAGTGACCTGTGTCATGCCCTTTTTTGTGAGCAATGAAATTAACTTCTTGTCTCGTTCATTTTTGGGTTATTTTCTTTAAAGAATTCAAGTTGTGTGGGAGTGTCCCATAGAAAGGCACCCAAGTGTTATGGGCTGTTTAAGCATTTATGTCGTTTGTCTGATTAATTGTGTAAAAAGTTGATTATTGCATGCCATTTTTATGGCTAGCCCAGGGACCCGTTTCACAAAGCCTTTTTTCAATGACAAATGACAAAAATCAGTGACAAATCTGCAGATAACCAATCAGAAGCAAGGATTTCAGTAGCTTATAACAAATACTGTCATTTGTCACTGACGACAAGTTTTGTGAAACGCCCTCCTGATAATGAGGCCCTGTTGTATTCAAGGAATTTTTTTTGCCAACGAAAACTCCAGTACCCAAATACCTCACCTGGGTTGAGTGTACAGTACTGTAGCAAATGTAAAATTACCGGTAGATTAATTCCTTTTTGCCAAAGGACATCTTTGCCTTTGTAAGCATTGAATGTGATAATGGTTAAAGTAGATAAATCATCTGTCTGGAGTGTGGAGCTAGAGGGGCATTAAATCATATCATTTTAATACACAGACTTACATTAGTGCCGTTCTGGCTCCAACAGATGGTAATGTTGATGTATTAAAAAGGTAATACAAAGTTTTGGGAAATTTTGAAAATTGGGTGGATAGTGCATCTTTACAATTTTGAAATATTTGGATGCCCCTGTGGATGTTTTATAAGCACTAGAAAATTTAGACCTTAAAACACTTCTGCTTTTGAGAAAAATAGAATATCAAAATTTACCGGTGCCCCCTGTAAATTTCAATAAATTTCAAATAGCGCCCATACGGCCATCCAATGGTAGCTGCGACCATGAAAATCTCAGAATCTGCAGTTGTGATATATAATATCCAAACGACATTAGCCAATCGGTCGATTTTAGTCAAGAACATTGTTTTAAAGCTAAATTTAGATCTTGATCTTGAGAGGGAGCTACATGTATACAACATAAAGAGTTTATTATTAACAATTTCATCACTTTAGACTCGATTTTAACCGCGACAACGATCATTGAATATTGTAGGATCGTGTGTGCTTCCAATATGTTCATTTGAACCATATTCATGGCCTATACCAAAAATTTGTATTAGTTTTAATGCCCTTTTAGCCCCAGACAGATGAAATGGTAATGTTGATATACACTTGTATTAATGTATTAATGGAAATGTCTGAGAGAACTCGGCAGTTAATGGGTGAAACTTTGCTTTTGAATAGAATTGACAGTGATGCTGTACTCTACCTTTTTAGAATAAACTCTAACCATCTCTCCGATTTCCAAACTATTTTTGGCTCGTTTTGGTTCCGCCATCACCTTATTTGGCCAACGATTTAGTTTCTACCTTTATATTAACCCAGAACTGTCAAGAAAGGCATGTACATCGGGATCGTTAGAATCCTGCCAGTCTCTCATCGTCGCGATGTTTGTGCTAAGGTCTGCGTGATCAACAAGTAAAATGATGCTAATATTGATTTTGTCTGAAATGAATCGGGTGAACTTAAGATGTAGCGCCGCAGGCCTGCCGCTCGTTTGGGGGCTTTATTAATCCCAAATGAACCTCTGCACTCTGTGTGTATCTGAACGAGGCACTGATTCATATTGTCTTGAAGCAGATGCATGCATTTGCTATCGTTTAAGGGACATTGGAGGGGGGGGGGGGTGCTTGTGATGTAGACTGTAGTGGATGGGGGGGGGGGTATGTGTGATGTGTCTCATTTTAGTGAATGAATTTGCTTACTTCGGGTTTAAGGCAGTTTCAATCAGGAAATTGTACAGATATGTATTTGGTCTTCATTGACAACTGCTAGTGCTATTTAGTGCTACTGCTACTACTACTACTACTTCTACTTCTACTTCTTCAACTACTACTACTACTACTACTACTACTACTACTACTACTACTACTACTACTACATCTGCTACTACTACTTCTTCTACTTCTCCTACTACTACTACTACTTCTAATACTACTACTAATACTACTAATACTACTACTACTACTACTACTAATTCTACCACTACTACTACTACTACTACTACTACTACTAATTTTACTTTTACTTTTACTTTTACTTTTACTTTTACTTTTACTTCTACTACTACTAATACTACTTCTACTACTACTTCTACTGCTACTAGTACTACTTATACTGAGAGAATAAAACCTTTCACACAGGAGAAAATCAATTTGAAATGTAATTAGTGCAATTCACAAGTGACCTCAAATTGTAATTTTTACTGGATTACTGTCGCTGAAACAAATATTGAAATGGATATAAAATGCATGTGGTATGAATATTGTGGCTTTATGGGGATAAAAACCCATTTGATCTTGGCCTAGCTTATACAAGTGTATTGTGCTCCTGATCAAATAAATTTATCCTCGTTCAAGTTAACAGAATTTTGTATAACTATACAATCTCTAAAAGTCTAAACATTATTTAACAACTGTTTTGAAGATGTACATGTACATGTATCAAATAAAACAGAGATTGAAAATTGACATAGCGTCAAAGTCCATTGCCCTGTGAACATTGTACGACGAAGAATTACAAAATTAGGTTTTCTAAATTGGGCAACTGAATATTTTAGGCGGCATCAAGTTCTGCATACAGATGTTTTGCAAAAGATTAAAGGTAGTACAAAGTTTTGGGAAATTTTGAAAATTGGGTGGATAGTGATTCTTTACAATTTTGATATATTTGGATGCCCCTGTGGATGTACTATAAGCACTAGAAAATTCTGCTCCTAAAACACTTCTGCTTTCGAGAAAAATTGAATATAAAAATTTACCGGTGCTCCCGGTAAATTTTGATAAATTTCAAATAGCGCCTACGGCCGTACAATGGTAGTTGAGATCATGAAAATTTCAGAATATGTAGTTGTCATATATAATTTCCATACGGGAATAGCTACACTGTAATCAGTCAATTTTAGTCAGGAACAATGTTTTATAGCTTAAATAATATTTGACCTTGAGAGGTCGCTATACAACATAAAGAGTTTATTATTTACAAGTTCATAGCTTTAGACTCAATTTCAACTGTGACAATGATCACTGAACATTGTGAGATTGCATATGCTTCCAATATGCTCATTTGAACCAAATTCATGACCCCAAAACTTTTTATTACCTTTAATACCCAGTTAAGCTACGTTTTACAGGTTATAAGTTAATTCCCTTGAATCATGTTTAAATGACTACATCTCTTCTCTTTTCCAGATGTGCTAAATGATGCAATATTCGACGAAGATCATGACGAGATGGTCGTAGTCAAAGATATCGAGATGTTTTCTCTGTGTGAACACCACCTTGTGCCATTCATAGGAAAAGTGAGTATAATGAGGGAGGAGTCTTCTTTACACCAGACTGATATGTAACATGATAGAAACTTAGAAAGACAATATTATGATAAAACTGTTGATGGATGAGCTCACGTTCGTTTTAATTGACAGGTTATAAAGATTATCAAAATTAGTCCAAAATCTCTGAATTGCCAATTTTTACAATATTGTCAGATTTTGACCCTAAAACAAAATTCTATTATAAAAACGAATGAAGTGACATCTACCTGGATAATTTTTCTGTTGGCAATATATCATTTTCTGATAACTGCAAAACGTTTTTTTCTTGTGCTTGTACAAAATAAAGAAAAACTACTGCTTCACACACCTGGTAATGAATAACAGTTTGATTGAGACTGAGAGGTCTTCAATTATGCAAAGTCAGTACAAAAAAAAATGGAATTTTTGTCATTCTTTTCAAATTTTGAGCCCAAATTCAATACATTTTCATTAAAGGGATCGTTTAACAATGTTAAATCTGAGATACACGGTCCTACATGTTACTAGTGTCTGTGATATGGTGTAATATTGAAGCCCTAAAAAAATTGCGCTTCAAAATGATCAAGAAGTGCCTCAAAAAAGTAAAAATCTTTGAGTGACCGGTTTTACCATACTCGTTTTCCCCAATAGACTGTAGTGTTATGAAAACCGTCCGGTGAACGGTTTTCAAAATTTGTAATTCCAATCATTAATATCTTGATAATCAGACAGGCGATTGGCTTGTAAAAGTCATGGAGTTCCTGACTGACCTAAAGGTTTATAATCATCATTGCAGCATGAGCTAAATCAAGGATTATAAGACAAAGTTACCGGATCCCTTTAACAAAAATTGTGCTACATCCGCCCACACCATTTTCCTGACCATGTCATCTAATTTAGTTTTTTCCCCAAAGGGCCCCTTTTTTTAAAGAGTACTGTTTGATGTTTGGCTTGTTTCCTGCTGCCATCTCTCAGTCTTTCTGGGCAAACTTTGAGAAAAGGTCACATCGGAACTAATAAGTCACATTCTACTCCTGTTGCTTCTCAAGTAGCCATACTCATCAATCCTCTGACATTTACATGACATCAGGCTTGTAGTGTGGCCAATCTGAATTGGGGAGGGGAGGGGGGGGGGGGGGGGGGTTGTGTCAGACCAAATTTACCAACAAGTTCAAGTTTGCTGATTTTTTTCTCCAAAGAGCCTCCTCCAAAGAAGGAAGGGAAAGGGGGTTCTTCAGCTAATATGGTATAGTGACAGTGCTTTAAAAATAAAATATTTGCACACAGAAAATGTCGAATTGAGACAGTATCACCTCCCCCCCCCCCCCCCCCCCTCCCCCCGCCAAATCGTGCAATGCCCCTTGCCTGGTATTATCTATACAATGAAGCTGCATTCCCGGAGTTTTTATTATCGATTTCTCCTCAGTTATTAAGAGCAAACATTCCTTTTTTCCGATGTTAGCTTTCATTTACCGTCCACCAACGGATGTCTGGGCCCACTGCCGAGATTAAATTTCCCAGGAATACATTCGCTTCCGCCTGGCAAACGAACGTCAAAAGGAACGTCAAAATCATGGAGATTCATGCACTCTTGGCACTCGCCTCTAACGGTGGCTTTTAATTTTGACCCTTTCTGATAACTTTTATTGACCAGCCTTCCGAATTTAATATCTTTGCCCACTTTAGGAGTGCAAACAATCTGGATTTGAATGCCTCCACTACAGGGTACTAGTAGTCTTATTTCTACCCTCTCTGTAAATTTCCACCCTGAAGTTGTTTTATGTGGCATGATTTTGAAGTCCACGTACAGCCTAGACCTACCAAATGAACATGCAAGTCATGCATTGATACTGCAACAACAAATTTTGTTTTAAAATATGCCATGAAAATGTTGCTGGTAAAATGTTTATCAGTATTCAACACTTGTATGTGAGTTTTATTGCAAAATGATGAAAATATGATATTTACAAACAAGCTTCATTTATGGAATTGTTACAATAGATTATCCTTTTTTCTTCATCTTGGTTTAATAGCTTTAAATGAATAAAATTGGTCTACACTTTGTATGTGGTATGGCTTTCTTTTAAATGTAGTCCCTTCAGATCTGCATGAATGTACTGGGTTTGTATTATTTCTAAAGCTAGATACAAAAATGTGAGAAGTTTGGTAAAATTATGAAATTTTGCTACTTTTTATAGAGTGTGTCACAGAAAACACATCTGTCTCTCTTTCTTGTAGTTTAGGCATGTATTCACCAGGCAAAAAACTGTAATTATTAATTCATTAGTTTGATTGGAAGCAGTTTATCATGTGTCGATTTTCCTCTTGAAATTCAATGACCACAAATGTGATGGCTCATTACTTTTATAGCCCTCATAAAGTGTTTATCCAGGTTGATGGATATTACCATTTAAATGTATATCCATGATTACACTTAATGTTAATTTATAATTGTATTGAAGTTAATTCAATAATACATTGATTTACAAGTGCAATTCAGCATGGCAGACAAGTGATACATGATACATCTTAAACAAGAAAAAGGCCCTTGAGTGCAGTACCATTTTAAAACAAAATTCTTTTTTTGTCCCTGACACCGCCTAACTACAAATCTCAATCCGAAGAATTTCTGTGGATACCCTACATGTATTTTGGTTAACAACGAAGTGGCAAAAGTGGCTAAACCTGATGAGATTTTGCCTCTTTTCTTTCTCTTACATGTAGATGTATCATAGTTTTCTAATTGCAGGTTTCATTCTTTCATAGCCAGTAGTGTATCCAGAAATTATACAAGTTATACTTTGAAGGTTTAATAATTTTCGGAGGGGGAGGGGGGTGGGGGGGGGGGTGAGGGGGCAAATTGTAGAGTGTGTGTTGAACAGACCCACAGCACAGAGGGGGAAAAATACATCAGGGGGAATACACCATTTCCATTCTATTTCTGTAAGAGGTGTTGTGGTCCAGCGGATACATGTAGGTCTCTGCACTGTGAACCTTAAAGTACAGGGTTCGAATCCCTGTTGCAGCACTAATGTCCTTTGACAAGACATTAATCTACATTTGCCACACTCCACCCAGATGAGGTTAGTTGGTACCTGGAAGGATTCAATTCCTTAAAGTGCTTGAGGGCTGTAATTGCAGATGTAAGAATGATAATGGAGCACCAGGAGTGACAATATGCCAGCCCTGGGTGCTCAACAAAACTCTGTTTAATTTTTGTTTTAATGATGTATACCCAAGTGGTTGCCCCAACATATTCCCACAGAAACATCATTTTTGTCAAGTCCAAGGTGTTCATCTCATGAGCGATAATAATAATAATAATAACAATGATAATCTGGATATCCATTTTCATATAAATGCAATTGTTGAAAATACATTTATGATAATACCGGTATATGATTTTTTTTCTCTCTCTATCTCTCTCTCTCTCTCTCTCTCTCTCTCTCTCTCTCTCTCTCTCTCTCATTCCCCCCCCCCTCTCTCATTTTCTCTCCACCCCCCTCTCTCTCTTTCTCTCCCTCTCTCTCTCTCTCCATCTCCATCTCTATCTAAAGGTATCTGTTGGTTATCTTCCAAATAAGCGAGTACTAGGTCTCAGCAAAGTTGCAAGGTAAGAAAGAAACTTGATCTGTTTGGAGCCAGAAGGGCGTTAACTCCTATACTTCAACACAGACTTTACACCTTTATGGCCCTGGGCAGAAGGGTGTTGTTCTGTACTACTTTTGTCCAGCAATTTTCCTTCACACAATAACTTTTACCTAAATTCCTATTTTAATGCCCTTTTAAACATTTTTGTTAAGGTCAAATAACTGGTAAAGTAACAAAATAGGAAGCTTTTATTCCTTGTTTTGACCTTGTAGTTTTATTTTATTTATTTCTTTTTTAAAAAAAAACCTTATGGCTAAGCAAAATGTACATGAAACACTATTATTGACAATGTAGATTATGAGAATGTTCTAGAATTCTACTCCATTCGCCTTGTTATTGATTGGACAATATTTGGTATTATTTCCATTTTTAATTAACTTATTTCTTCTTGATTTCCTTTTTCAGACTGGTTGAAATTTACAGCAGGAGATTACAAGGTAAACCTATTACAATTGGTACATGGACCAGGGGGTGTTTCACAAAGATCCTTAGTTGAACTTATCTTTAAGTTGGACTTAACAATTATGGAAAGCTGCAAACATCTTTGAAAATATTTGTAACAGTTATTTTAAAAGGCATAACATGTTGATTCAAATCATTCATAGTTCGTTTTTTCAAGGAGATTCCATGTTGTAGATGTGGAATTTATAAAAAGTCTAAACTACTTAACATTTTTGCTCTTAAATTTGTTTTTTCTTAAGGCTACAAGTGGCTCATCATAATTTTTAAGTCCAACTAAGACTTAAGTTCGACTTTCAATCTTTGTGAAACACCCCCTTGATTAGGTATGTTTTGAAGAGATGGTTGAGTTCTGGGAAAGGTGACTCAATAATTTGTAGAGCAATTAATGTTTAACACATGGTGAAAAAAGAAAGCAGTAAGGTCGGTGTATTAAAGAGAAGGTTGAGTTCTGGGAAAAGGTGAAAAATAATTTGTGAGCGGTATCATTCTTATGAAGCAAGTGTGGAAGAACATCAGATAAGACATGTTCCCTGAAAAGCATGACTCTTCAAATGCCTTCATATTCTAAATATGTCATGTAACATCGTAAAACTCTGGGGTAGGATTTTTACGCCACGTGTTCGTGTAGTCCCATATACATCTTTCTGTGTACAGTGTTTGTAACTTTACCAAGACTTGGCCAAATTTCTTATCATTTTGATGATTCCAGAACCTTGCAATACACACAAATTCTTATATGCTAGATGATCAACCATTTCTGGTTGATTCCACACCGTTTCTTTCACAATGCAATCGCATGACCAGAACACAACTTCATCTTTAAACAAGAAGGATTCTTTGAGCCAAGAAGAATCGAAGGGAGGGAGTGACATCATGGTGCAAAAGTCAGGAATCCCTGCCTAAGAGGGAAAACGCAGACTTGATAAATGATTATCATGATTATGCTTATTACAGTTTACTTTTGCATTCTTTAGGTGACTGTGAAAGCTGACATAAATGTTCATTGGGAAATCTGATTTATTTGATTATTTCAAATCTGTTTTAATCATTGCCCATTTTTTTTCTTCAACTGCTCTTTATTTCACCTGCAGTTCAAGAAAGATTGACCAAACAAATAGCCCTCGCTGTGACAGAAGCTATAGCTCCGGCTGGCGTTGGAGTAGTCATTGAAGCCGTGTAAGTTCTCTCAGACATTTGCCCCAGCAGATGATGATTGCTCCAGGCTATAAGTTGTCAAAAGTATAAGCCGCTTTGGAGGTAGCTTTTGTACAAATGACCCAAAAATATCCACAGATTCTTTAAACATGGAGACATCTCACTTTGTGCATTTTGGAATGATTATTACCAAAGTGGTGGAGGTGCTTCATAATTGCTTTGTGTTTACACTCTTTAAAAATAGTACTTCCAACTGAATATCATGGAAGGTACCAGCTCTGCTGCATAAATGAGTAATGATTACACAACTATCATGAACATGTATCCAGCAATTGTGGGTTTTACAGTATGTACAAATGACGTTTATCTGCCCACACGCAGATAGTATATCTGGAGTGGCCTATTGGGTTTGGATTAGGTTTAGTGTTAGGGTTAGGTATAGTGTTAGGTCCATGGTTGAAAGTAGAACTCCAATTAGTGTATGAAATTACCACAAAGTAATTGTTGCAGGAGCGAATGTTGTACAACAAGGTTCTCTTGTACTGTATAAGCACTGGAGCACAGCGTTAGAAGGCAATGAAGCAGTATAAACCTGCTGACTACCAAATTCTCTGATTGCCATAGGGTTTACATAGGGGTCATCCAGTTCCAGTAGGCAACCGGTTAATCCAAAAGCAAAGTAGTGAAGGCAGCCGTGCATGAAACCACAGCCTTTTGTATGCACTGTGGCTTTATCAATAACTGCAATTTGCTATGGTGACTTCGCAAAACTACACGCACATTGCACTGTTTGATTGATTTGTAATGTTTTGTTGGAAACATGAATAAATTTGAAATTGAAATTGAATATGTCATTTAGGAGCACTCAATATCAGATTTATATCATATTTTGCATCTAACACTAAAGAGAAGAAACATGGACCAGCAGAAGTACCACGAGAGGAAGTAAAAAAAAAAATTGAAATGTGCAATAAATAAGAGTCGCAAAGTATGGTACGGTTTCAGAGAAAGTGAAATGTCTCACCAAATTAAAATGATGGTACAGAGGGTTAGAAATAGCTTAATACAATAATATGCAGAGGGCCATTTTAAGAATGGGATGTCCACAAAGTTTAATAGACTTATAATATGACGGTTTCAAGAAACTGGCCCCTGTTGTCAATACAGAAGTTGGGGAATTTCCACGAGCATGCAAGACATTGCAGTAGATCTATATTTTTGCTATAATGGCAGACAAAAGTATGAAGGTAGCTTGAGCCAGATGCATGCACATGTAATGGGCATTAACCCTAAAAAGACGGCTCGGTGTAAAAATGTCAGAGGAAAAAATGTCAGAGGTAAAAATGTCAGAGGTAAAATGTCAGAGGTAAAAATGTCAGAGGTAAAAATGTCAGAGGAAAAAATGTCAGAGGTAAAAATGTCAGAGGTAAAAATGTCAGAGGTAAAAATGTCAGAGGTAAAAATGTCAGAGGTAAAAATGTCAGAGGAAAAAATGTCAGAGGTAAAAATGTCAGAGGAAAAAATGTCAGAGGTAAAAATGTCAGAGGTAAAAATGTCAGAGGTATAAATGTTAGAGGTATACAATAAAAACAAAAGCATGTGACAAGCTTGTTATAATTACACCCGGTTATATATTTAATTAGGCTTATCGAAAAAGAACAGCGAGGGATATTCTGCAGTCGTTATTTCACCGCTGCTTTATTTTCCACTTTCCCAGTTTAAATTTATTTACCTTTCGGCCCAAAATTGTGACTTTTTGCCCGATTATTGCCGAAGGAAGAGGGGGGGGGGGGGGGAGGGTATTCTTCTTCTGGGGCACGGTGACCCGGCTGCTCTCCCCTTCCTCTTATATATGCTTTGCTTTATATATCCTTCCGAACAGTGGTCAATGCCTAGGCAGAGCAGGCAGACTAATGGGACATGGTTTCTACTCCGAGTTTCGCGCCTTGCAAGCAGTCATCAGGCAACTGATAGCATTCTTAAAAGTACATGATTATCCTACAACCTTGGTACAAATACCTCTAAAAGACTAAAGACTTAACTAATAAAAATACAATTGGAATTACTCATGAGTATTCTTATTGCATTGTATTCAGGTATTGTAGTCTTATTTTTCATTTCATTTCATTTATTTTCATATTTCTCATAAACATACATTTATTTCAAATGAAGTACAAAATTGTTTTTATTTTAATAACAAATAATAACAAAGATAAGTGGTCAATATGAATTTGTGATTTAACTAAGAGAAATATGATGGGACCTACATGAAAGCAAGCTTGTAAGGCTGTAGGCCCCAGTAAAGTAATTGTGGTAATAAATGGAGGACGGATATACATGTATTGTATAGCTCTTATTTTGAGCTTATTTGTACCAAGGTTGTAGAGGAATCATGTACTTTGATGAATGCTATCAGTAATTTGTCTGATGATCGCTTGCAAGGCATGAAACTCGGAGTAGCAACCATGCATGTCCCATTATTCTGCCTAGTTCAATATTTATTTACCGGTATATTATGCTTTTGTATAAGCAAATGGTACTGGTACACTGAGCAAACTTCCGGGGGGGAAAGATTTCTAAAATCGAGAAGTTTGGCCATGTTTTATAGGCTGAGTTGTTGCTCCATGGTGTAATCATTAAATAAAAAGAAAAGTCAGTACAGCCCACAAAATAGGATCAGATATCTATGAACCTCCCCCCCCCCCCCCCCACTTCTCCTTCACTTTTGAAGATTGTTGGACATTTCAACTGCGTGGCAATGACTACTATTATATGTAATTTCCAATAAATGCATATTTCCGACAATTCCACTTTCTTGTGGGCTTGGTATTTTGATACTCTGAAAGTAGGGTCCATGCTGAAACAAAGCAGAAAGCCATGTTATCAGTGCTAACTGCACCATCACATTCCCGAAGTGCGCACGTTGCAATAAAATATTGTCGATTACTATTGCGGTATATAATAGTCTGGGAAAAATCAATAAGCAGCTTTGTTACTCCGATACAAAGCAGAAAGCCGCCCACGTTACATCAATTAAAGAGAAGGTTGAGTTCTGGGGAAAAGTGAACAATAATGTGAGCGTTTGTTATCATTCTTATTATGCAAGTGTGGAAGAACATCAAAGAAAAAAGATATTCCTTGAAAATCTATTTCAAATGACTTCATATCCCAGATATGACAAGTAACAGCTTTAAAATGAGGCCCGATTTGTATGCCATATGTTTGTGTAGTCCCATATCAATATCTTTCTGTGTACAGTGCTTGTTACTTTACCAAGACTGAGCCAAATATTTTATCATTTTGATGACTCCAAAACCTTGCACTACACACCAATACTTACATGTTTATGCTAGATGATCAACCTTTTCTGATTGCTTCCACACCGTTTCTTTCACAATGCAACTTCGCAAGACCAGAACTCAACTTTATCTTTAAATGCCAATCGCACCATCGCATTTTAGAGAAGTGCGCGCTTTGCAGAGGTTCGGTTTAAATGACATCGTTATTTATAATTGTCGGAGAGTTTAAAATGGGGATGAGCTTCTGAATCGAGACAGTCTTTTACTTTTTGGAGCGGGTTTTTAGTTTTCGGAGCGACTTTTTACTTTTCGGAGCGACTTCTTGATTTTCTTATTCTTACTCCACTTCCTTTGCCGCCATTAGGTGCTAAAGCTTTAGCAGAGTTCGGGGCGCCCAGCCCTTATATGTAACTTTTCGTGATTCCTCGGGATTATGTAACTATTTTGTACTAAATGCACTACTCACTTTAACACTTGACTTTTGTCGAGAATTTTCATTTCTTCGTTTGGACTTTGTTCGTCTCTGGAACGTTACACGGGCTATGTTGCAGGCTGCCACCGGCCAAACCGGTCCGTTTCACAAACATTAACACATAAACCAAATCAAAATATCAAAAAATGTTAGACATTCATTATATGCAAGCCTGATCACAACAAAATAAATTTCAAAATCTATTTTCCACATTGTATTATCCTCAGGACACATGTACGAAACACTTTGCTAATTTTTTTGCTTGTACCTCTGACATTTTTACGACTGACATTTTTTCCTCTGACATTTTTACGACTGACATTTTTACCTCTGACATTTTTACCTCTGACATTTTTACCTCTGACATTTTTACCTCTGACATTTTTTTCCTCTGACATTTTTTCCTCTGACATTTTTTCCTCTGACATTTTTACCTCTGACATTTTTACCTCTGACATTTTTACCTCTGACATTTCTACCTCTGACATTTTTTCCTCTGACATTTTTTCCTCTGACATTTTTACCTCTGACATTTTTACCTCTGACATTTTTACCTCTGACATTTTTTTCCTCTGACAATTTTACCTCTGACATTTTTACCTCTGACATTTCTACCTCTGACATTTTTTCCTCTGACATTTTTTCCTCTGACATTTTTACGACTGACATTTTTACCTCTGACATTTTTACCTCTGACATTTTTACCTCTGACATTTTTACCTCTGACATTTTTTTCCTCTGACAATTTTACCTCTGACATTTTTTCCTCTGACATTTTTTCCTCTGACATTTTTACCTGGCACCTTACATAGGGGTCATCCGGTTCCAGTAGGCAACCGGTTAATCCAAAAGCAAAGTAGTGAAGGCAGCCGTGCATGAAACCACAGCCTTTTGTATGCACTGTGGCTTTATCAATAATTGCAATTTGCTATTGTGACTTCGCAAAACTACATGCACAATGCACTGTTTGATTGATTTGTAATGTTTTGTTGGAAACATGAATAAATTTGAAATTGAAATTGAATACGTCATTTTTTTTAGGAGCACTCAATATCAGATTTATATCATATTTTGCATCTAACGCTAAAGAGAAGAAACATGGACCAGCAGAAGTACCACGAGAGGAAGTAAAAAAAAATTGAAATGTGCAATAAATAAGAGTCGCAAAGTATGGTGCGGTTTCAGAGAAAGTGAAATATCTCACCATATAAAAATCATGGTACAGAGGGTTAGAAATAGCTTACTACAATAGCATGCAGAGGGCCATTTCTCGAATGGGATGTCCACAAAGTTGGTTTTGATAAACTGGCCCCTATTGTCAATACAGAAATTTGGGAATTTCCACGAGCATGCCAGACATTGCAGTAGATCTATATTTCTGCTGTTATGGCAGACAAAAATACGAAGGTAGCTTGAGCCAGATGCGTGCACATGTAATGGGCATTAACCCTAAAAAGACTGGGGGCTGATTTAGCCGCCCCCCTCTATTTTTCGCGATTTTAAACTGTAATACTTAAATATTTGACGATGCCACTTCATGACTTTTTTCCCTAGAGTCTTGCGCATCTTTTGATACCAAATTTGCGCGCACACCGGGTCAACGATCCGGGTATTATGTAACATTTTGCGATAGTGTGCTCATTGGATTGTTTAATATTCTTAATCACTAATACTTATTTCCCTTATTGTGCTCACCTGAGTGTGATGCCCGGGGAGCATCGTTTGGTCTCAAGTTTTATCACTTTTCTTCTCTCAGTCATCTCAGGTGAGCACCATCAGGGATTTTTTTGAGTTTTAGTTTTTAGCGTTAGTTTGAGTTGTAGTTCTTAATTTCAGCTTTCAAATTCTATGTTATGTCTTTTAGAAGAAGAAAAAAAAAATCATTTGAGTATTGAGTACATGTTATGAGTTTTTGATGTAGCCATTATTTGTGTTATGACATGCACGATTCATTAGAAAATGGATTAGTGAATACGAGTGCTTGAGTCTGTGTTCAAACTCATTTTCATAGTTGTACCTACATGCTTACTGCCTATTCCCAAACTCATTCCTGTTCATACTCGTATCAATGCTCACCTTGTCACCTTTTCGCCCCCCCCCTCCCCCTTCCTCCCATTTCATGCTCATTTGTAATACTCGCACTCAAACCAATACTCGCTCATATCATATCCACATTCATTTTATTGTGGTGTATGAGTTTGAGTTTATACATCCTGTAAGTTTGTATACCTTTGCTTGAGTAAGCCATTATTTAAATCCTGATGAACAGATCTCATACTTCATACTCATACTGTCAAATGATAAACATATATAGAGCTTACTCCCATTCTGTAATGTTTCATTATCTCAATTTTATTATTAGCAGTATTTTGTAGCATTATGAAATAGAATTACTTGTATATCATCAAACTCATACTCAAACATATTCTCAAATTAATTTTTACCCTGTTCACTCCTTACCATACTCATTCTCCTGCTTGCTGTACTGTTACAGTCAATCTTTGTATTTCAAGTCAAGTGATTAAATCACTCAACTACCCTACTTTTCATCCGAGTGTCTGATACACACTTCAAGTGAGCCCCTGTTTAACCTTTCACAATTGGAAGGCAGTGGCAGTTGTCAAACTGATGTACTAGGAAAGGGGTGTCTAAGGGGTGGTATTTTTGTTCTTTATAGGCACATGTCTGATTGAGGGTTGTGTATAGGAGCTGAGAGCAAGATCATAACTTCCTGCATGCATGCTTGTGTACTCATACAACCGTTTGACTGTTTGGAGTGAGAAGAACGTTAACTTATTATCTTACACAGAGTTAGTGCCCTTCTGGCTCCAAATAGAAGATTTGTTGATGTACCTTTACCATGAACAGGGGCCCGTTTCATTAAACTTGTTATCTATAACAACTGCTAAATTTCTATGACAAATTTGTTCTCAGCCAATCAGATGCCAGGATTCAGTAGCTTATAACAGTAGCTTATAACAATAGCTTATAACAGTAGCTTATAACAGTAGCTTATAACAGTAGCTTATAACTTGTTATTGCCCCTTACAAAAATGTACCATGGTAACCATGGTACTTTTGTCCAAATTACCATCCACCATGGTAACCATGGTTATCATGGTACCAAAACAATGAAATACATTGCTTAATGACCCAATTTATTTCATTGTTTTGGTACCATGATAACCATGGTTACCATGGTGGATGGTAATTTGGACAAAAGTACCATGGTTACCTTGGTACATGGTATTGAGTTTTATGAAACAGGGCCCACAAGCTGAACATCAAGATAATAATGTCCTTGGTCCAGTTTGCTGAAATTTTGTGATATTTTTTTATGGGACTACGAGTATGCTGTGTGTGAGACTTGTACATGGTATATTCACCAATTCTGGTGTCTGTAAATTATGACCTACTACTCATGAAAACTGATGACAATCTCCCTTTAAAGGGATTGGCTTTTGTTTCAATTAAACCTTTAGGTCAGTCAGGAACCCCATGTCTTTTACAAGCCGATCGCCTGTCTGATTATCAAGATATTTATGATTGGGAATGGAAATTAAAAAATTTGTTTTCCGAACAGTTTTCGTAACATTACAGTCCATTGGGGAAAATGAGTATGGTAAAACTGGTCACTCAAAGATTTTTTACTTTTTTGAGGCACTTCATGATCATTTTGAAGTGCAATGTTTTTAGGGCTTCAATATTACACTATATCACAGACACTTAAACATGTAGGGCCATGCATCTCATATTTAACATTGTTAAACAATGCCTTTAATTCTTGTCATGTCTTGTCTTTTTTTCTTCCGCACACACAGCCACATGTGCATGGTGATGAGGGGCGTCCAGAAGCTGAACAGCAAGACGATCACGTCCTGCATGCTCGGCGACTTCCGAGAAGATCCCAAGACGAGAGACGAGTTCCTGCAGCTCATACGAGGATGATGATGGAGAGATGGGGAGATGTGGTGGAGGAGGAAGAGAAGGAAGGAAGGATGAGGAAGGAGAGGAAGTATTACGGCATTGGATGGTGATTTAGATGTACAGCAGTCAGCAATAAGATAAACAAAGATGATCATTGGCAATCGGTTGTAGCTTTAAAAATGTAGGTGTTATCAGAATAAAAGGGTAAAATTTTATAACTAGCACATTAAGCCCAAAATGATGATCCCGGATGTATATCAGTCAGCAAAAAGATAAACAGAGATGACCATTTGACATACATTGTAGTTTAAAAAATATGGGTTATATTGGAATAAAATGGTAAAATTAGGATACAGATGTAATAACTATCTGGTAGAAGACCAGGATTACTCTGAATTAAACCCATCAGATAATGATCCTGGATGTCCATCATTCAGCAATTATATTTTTAAAAAGGCAATCACTGAGTGTTGGATGTATTTATGAGAACCAAAGGGTTGTAATAAGATACAATTTGATAACTAGCCTTTAGGAGAATAAGCCCTGGTACAGGCAAATTCTGAGTTACCTTGTAAACCCGTCAGCCACTCCAGTGTGATGTCATACTGGTCAAGGTTGCTGGTTCCAAACATTTTTGTGCTAGACAATGATGTGATGATCACACCAGCGCCAAACACTGAATTTACCCTGCTTCAGCCCGTTTGTAAGACCTTGTCGGTAATCTCAGGCTTCCATGCACAAAAATGTCATTGTTAAAAAATATCTTATATGACTTCTTTATGAAATTCATTGCCATTTTGTATTCTAATGAATCTTTGTACAGCTTCACTTTAATAGAATGGTGTGCTAATTGCATTCGTAAAGCCTATCTGCACTAGTTAGGCCAGGAGGGATTAGACCTCCCGGTTATCTCATCAAATCAGCGCTCAATTAACATGAGAAAAAGGGGACCATGGGGGACCAATGGTCACCGATTAGGCATTGTTTGCTATATAGAGGGCGCAAGTAGCTATATTAGTGCAGTGGGGCTTTAATTAAAGAGCACAGAAAAGAGGCATGGTTAATTACAAACTGCTTTTGTAGCTCAGTGCCTATAAATACCTCTTAATGTAGCTCTCAAAATCCTTTTTATAAAGTACTGGATATTACATGTGATGTCAAGTTTAGAAATGAATCAGTTGAAAAAATTCCTTTGACATTCAAACACCAGAGAATTCAACCTTGACTTTTATGTGCACTTGTGGATGTTGATATTGGTGGTGAGAAGAAATTTATAAAGTTATGTAGCCATGAAAAATGATCATAGAGAAATTATATATTTTTTCAGCCAATCATGATTCAAAATTCAGTGACATTGAAAGTGGTGGGTAGGTGGTAAGATACATGTAGATGTTAATGCTGCTGTCAGACTTTCACTCAATGACTTGTATTATGATCAAAACCAATAATGCTCAAGTTCATGGCAAGCTTTATTTTGGTTACCGCAAAAAATTACCCGGTAAGGAGTATTTCATAGTTGCAGTTTCAAAGAAAATCATGTAGTAGATGTAATTTATGATTGACTTTGAATAGATATTAGCTGTGGTATTATGTAAGTTCAAGTACAAATAGATATATTTATTAAAATATTTTTAACTACTGAATAATGTACAATATCTATTTTAATATTTATTGCTGTAATTATGTTCAGAATGTTTTTAACAAGCTATTTAAATTCTAAAGGAAATTATTTAATGAAGTTTGCTGTATTCTTTAGATAGTATTCACCTAATGTAATACTTCAGGTTGTTGGGAATTGAAATTCTCAGTGAACTTGATTAAGACTGTATTCAACTTGAAGTGTGCCATATTCAAACAGATCAACAATTTTAAATCATAGACAATCAATGTAATCAAAGGCTTTTGGGATTATTTTTGTGTTTTGCAAAATTGTTATATCATTGCCAGGTGTCAGGGAAATTAATCCCAATGATTTCTCCAGTGACAATTGCTTAGAGGTATAGTGTTTGGGTCCATATTGTCACAGGAATTAGGTAAAGATAACCAACACAATTTGCATTTTTAATCCAAGGAAGAGTGCTCATAATGTACAAGATAATGAATGAAATCAAAGACTTTGGGGTATTTGTTATTAGTCTTGCAAAATATGTTACTTTGTCAGTTGTTGGGAATGAAGTATTAAGAACCGAGTCAATGACTCGTTTAAATACCTTCTGATTTTGTCTGTAAAATCATTAGCTTTTGGTGTTGGATTCTAGGTGTTTGCTATTACCTCATTTTTGTCCTAATTATAAAATTAAGAATTGAACATTCTGCAACATATTGCAAGGTCTTTCAACTTAGATCGGTTAGATTTTAATAAGTAGCTTGAGGTAATAAACGATTGGTCAGAGCACACAGAAAAGACTTTATGAAAAGTATAGTTTGAGTGCAAAAGTATCAATTTTTACTGAATGTGATTAAAACAATTTGAAGGTAATACAGTGAGACCTGTCTTTAAAGACCACCCAAGGGAGACAAGAAAAGTGGTCTCTAAAGGCAGGTGGTATTCATGTACAGGTTCCTTTTAATAGTACATGTTTCAATGAGAAACCATGTCATGGCCTTCTTGGGGGCAGCAGAAAAAATGCAGTTTCTTCACAAAAAGAGGTATTGTGAGACCTCAATGAGAATAAGTTCTAATATTTTTCACTGGGTTTAGACTATATTAAATTTCTTCCAAAATGTGATCATAGATCTGATGTGGCCAGTGGGAAAAAAAAACAGAATTAAGAAGGCAATGGCAATGAGCAGTTGAAGAGCAGTAAGATATAATAAGCTCCATTTTTATATGTCATTATTAATAGTTAAAATAGTGTGTGGTTTTGTAGATTATATATTGTAAATTTTGAAGTAGATTAGATCATTCCTCGGTGAGAAGTTGTAAAAATACTTTACATGAACTATTGGTGCTTCTTTATGTTTTTCAGAAACAATTGGTTCATGTGGTAGATGTTTGTATTTGTAAGAGAGTAATAACTTCCATGTACAAGTATGTTTTATTCCCTGTAAGTTCAAAGTAAAAGTTTCTTTTGTCATAGTGGTGATAATTATATTAGTTTTTTTAAATATTGTTTACAATCATGTGTTCAGGGAAGTGGCTTCCGTCAACTGTTCAATTCAGTTCAGGAATAATTATAGTGATGGATCATGGTACAGCTTGCTTATGAGATTTTAAGGTGTATTGAATCATTATGATTTTATGTTTTGATTAATAATGATTAATTTCCAAATCGAATACTGAGACACTCTATCAAAAAATATTTTAACCAAATATTCTGACTCTTTACAGTTGAAAAGGTCAACATGACTTGTGCAGTTTTAAGGTCTAATCATCATTTGATGATTAAATGATTATTAGACTAAATGGTCATTGCACCAAATGATAAGTAGACAAACTGATTATAGGTTTAGGGTAAGTGTTAGATTCAAGGAATCTTACTTCCGCAGAGTAGCTCCTGCCGGAGCATGCATTGCATAATCATTTGAACAAGTTATTTATGTTCATTCTTGGTGACATTCCCTAGAATTCCTGGTCTATTGGATTCAGTAGTAACATTCCTTTTGTTTTCATAACATGAATTGTGTGCTTTGTGTCAGCATTATACATGCAATAACTGTAGGCTGTTTTGTCTTTTTTTTTTTTTTTAATTTCAAAACATATATTCAAACATGTACATTTGTTTACTTTTAGAGTATAATTTTTCATAAGCTAAAATTATGATAGAAAAGTTAACATTATGATTTTGAATTAACAATTCTACTTGCAGATCATGATGCATATATGTTCCAATGATTCTTTCATTTCTTACAATGTATTTAGTGTGTTGCTTTGTCAGGCAACCATTTCAATAGTGCACTTTTTTACAACAGATGAGTTGTTATTGTATCTTACATAGTTCAAATCATTCCTGACTAATATAATCTCATAAAAAATGTATAAGAGACCCATAGAAATTTGAGAGAGAAAATGTATAATCTTTATTTGGCTTTCTATTCAAATGAAAATGTCACAAAAGTATTGTATAACTTATCTCTCAAAATGTTTAGAGAGTAATAGCATGTTATACCCGAAACTGTATTTCAGTTCATGGAGAAGTTATTTAAAACCATATATATATATTATCATGCTGTTAATTTATGTTAATTTACATATACAGTTAACAACTAAATTATTATAACCCTTACCAATTGTTGTGAAAGTATGAACAAAATTTATTTGTCACAAGATATGTTTCTTGAGAATGTGACATCTATTTGCATTCATTGGAGACCCTAATTCAACCAGTCCAACTTTCATTCTCGAGTTACAAAAAACACAAAACCATCAAATTTACAAGGGGTATACAAAATTCAATTGTTAACTGTATATGTATTCATTCTGTTCTTCATTTGAATCCATTTGAAATGTGTTTTCTACCTTATGTTGTTCCTTGGTTGTTTACTTTATATGTGTGCTTCACGGTTTTCACTATTTTAATTTGTATTATTACTTCATTATCGTGAGTATAGATGCAGCAAAATGTGCTAGATATGGTTTAAGTTTGGCTGATATATTTAGTTTCAAACCGTCCGCTTGTGATACATTGTTGTTTATAGGCCATATTCTGAAAACAATGCTATCTTCTTTTGTTAAGAAAAAATTATGTTCACTGTCATCACAAAGTGAAGTTGCACGGAAAGAACACTCATCATTGGTACGCGCACAGATGCCTCTTTACTTAACACGAATGCAGCCAGCTCTGTGTGGACATAACCAAGAACTTGTCCCGCTTTTCATTTGTCATGACGATGAACCTCTTTTACTAACAAATACGATAGCATCATTTTTAGAATACCACCCCCTGCCAATGGTTTAGTCTTGGGTTGTTTTTATTGTTTATACAGAACCATTATAGTTGTATGTATTTTACATTATGCACAAACTCTTTTACCAAGCATTTATATGCTTTCCAAATCATCCTTTTTAATAGTGTCATATAAGATAACATCAATTTCAGGAACAACCCCATGTAAAATGGTTTAGTCTTGGGTTGTTTTTTATTATTTATACAGAACCATCACAGTTCTTCTTCTTCTTCTTCTTCTTCTTCTTCTTCTTCTCTTCTTCTTCTTCTTCTTTCTTCTTCTTCTTCTTCTTCTTCTTCTTCTTCTTCTTCTTCTTCTTCTTCTTCTTCTTCTTCTTCTTCTTCTTCTTCTTCTCTTCTTCTTCTTCTTCTTCTTCTTCTTCTTCTTCTTCTTCTTCTTCTTCTTCTTCTTCTTCTTCTTCTTCTTCTTCTTCTTCTTCTTCTTCTTCTTCTCTTCTTCTTCTTCTTCTTCTTCTTCTTCTTCTTCTTCTTCTTCTTCTTCTTCTTCTTCTTCTTCTTCTTCTTCTTCCAGTTAAGTGCCGCTTCATGGTGATGAAGATAATCGCACTGGTTGTATGTATTTTACTTCATGCACAAACTCTTTTACCAAGCGGCTCTATGCATTCCAAGGCATTCGTTTTAATAGTGTCATATAAGATAACATCAATTTCAGGAACCACCCCATGTAAAATGGTTTAGTCTTGGGTTGTTATTTATTATTTACATGTATACAGAACCATCATAGTTGTATGTATTTTTTACGTCATGAACAACTCTTTGGATAACAGATCTCTACCTCTTGAAGAAGACTAAGGCGTAAATATTCACTTCTGAATGACAAACGCCTCACAACCAGGAGGTCGTGGGTTCGAACCCCGGCCGCGTCATACCAAAAGACGTTAAAGGACGGGAGTTGCTGCTACCTTGTTTGGCGTTCAACAATAAGGGACAGAGCAACGTCGGTCTGGCGCTGCTCAGTGGCTGCCGGGTTCACGATCAATTTGGCAAAAAGAATTTCCATTTTCGGTTTAACTTGATAAAAAAATTGGAGTGGACTTTAAAGATTAATATTATTATTTTTAGACTAAAACAGCAACAAACAAAAACATTTGAATACGTAGATATTAACATTAAAATTGACATGATGTACAGAAAGGATAATTTTGGTAAAATATATGTTATTTTGGATGAGATGGAAAAAACTGTTTGTGGCTATGTTTCACATAAACTCTCATTAATTATCATTCAAGATAAATCTATCCACTTTCAATGATCAAGGGTAGATTTGTCTTAATCTTCCTTTTCATGCAGTCTTCATACGACTATTCCCGAGGTAGCCTGTGACTCATTATTTGCTTTGTGTGCTGTTTTCTTAATATAAAAGTATGTATCTCATGTAAAATTGTTGTCAGCATAATTTTTGAAATCCTTCCACTTTCTGCAATATCATATTAGCATTCGGTGATGGTTCTAAAGCTGAGAAAGAATAGGGCTAATATTTGTATTCAATTTCGTCACTTAATGTTCTGGCCATCTTCGAGAGGATGTATTGAGAAAAAAAGTTGTCGGAATAGTAACCATTGCATTGTAGAGGTGTAGTCGAGCGGTTTATTCACTTGACTGGGAATGCAAAGGTCGTGGGGTCGAGCCCCGGCACAGCACATGTGTCCGTAAGTAAGGTATTTAATATAATCACGCTTCTCTCCACCCAGGTGTTTATTGGGCACTCGGTAGGATGTGAAGATCAATGTGATTGGATTAGGCTTATGTGCGCCTGTTAATAAAAGGCTCCCCAGGGAGTGGAGAATGTGCAGCTGTAATGTGCAGTATAGTAATTGAATCCAGTGACCGTGGTGATAATAGTAATGTAAGTGCTTTGGTCTGTCGTACCTGATAAAGCGCTTTGTAAGAATCGGTTCTTTTTATTGAATATGCTTAACACAATCGCATAGATTTTCTAGAAATCAACTCGAATTCAACACCCCATTGTACTGCCGATAGAAATCATGATCTGATTACGTAATCCGTCATGTTCATGTTCCCACGTTTCAACAAATGACGCACAATGCTGTTGAAATTGACCTAGGTTGATTTTCTTGAAGTCTTTCCAATCGTATGGTGTGGAATAAAAATGAGAGCTGTTGTAAAATTGTTTCGATTTCCATTTTAATCCTTATATGTGGTAAATAATATGTCATATTTTTATTCATTCGATAATATATATATATATATATATATATATATATATATATATATGTATATATATATATTTATACCTGTACCTGTGTGAATTTATTATATCAATTTTGAGAGGTGGTCGCATACACAGGAAATGACCAAATCATTATTATGTATATTAGTGGTAATAGATATATATTCCATTTTAAAATCGATTTTATTGTATTTTGTTTAGTCGTTTTATTTGTCATTAAATGTCACAGAATGGTTTGGAACTCATTTGATTTGTTCTTTAATAATCATTTTATCACATAACATGAGTGAAGTGGATGGCGTACAGACTGAAGGCAAATAAAACTACGCGAGTAACAACAATTGAGAGGGGAGAGAGGGAGAAAATGGGGATGGAGGAGAGGAAGAGAAAAAGAGAGAGATGAGGAGGAGGAACAAAGTGAGAGAAGAGAGTGAAACGGGGAAGAAGGAGAAAACGAGGAGGGTGGAAGAGAAAAGAAGGAGGGTGGAAGAGAGAGGGAGAGTGACGAAGAGAGAGGGAAAGGGGAGAGAGGTGGAGGGGAAGGGAGGAAGACATAAATAAAATGCATCGTTTCCTGAAACGACCCCTTCCATCAACCTTTCCAAACGCGAAACCCACGACCCGAATTGAAATAAATGGATAACTAAATAAAGGAATAAATAGATAAATGGAGAGTAAGGAAATGAATAAATACATAAATATAGATATAAATAAATAAAATATCGGCTGGTAGAAATGCAAGCTTTCCTATACAAATCTGTGATGGGGATTCGTTAATAGTTCGTCGATGATGTGGGCCATTCACCCGACCCTTCACCAGCCTTGGCCTAAACAACATGGAATCGATTGATGTATACTGAATATATACAGTGAAACCTTTATGAAAAGACCGCTCAAGGGAGACAGACTTTCAGAAATTTGGCCTTTAAAGAGGCTGGCGGTCTTTATGTACAGGTTCTCTTGGTATGAACAAGAAGGTATTTTGAAGGGAGACAAACAATTTTGATCTTTATAGAAAGGTGGTCTTGGGGGGGGAGGGGGTAGTGAGCAAATTTTTTTGTTAGGTCCTCGAAAATTTTAAAATTTTAAAATTTGCACCACCATATTTGTTTTCATTTTTTGGCAACCCCCCAAAAAGGTAAAAATCACGTGTTTTTACATGATTTTTTTCTCAAGGGGGATCAGAGCCATCTATAGTTTGGCCAACTTGGTTTCAGTTGGTCACAGCATGTATACTCTTTTGCTTTTGCCTATATTGTGCCCAATTCGAACGGGGTTGGCCAAACTCTCCTGATCAATGGGTCATTGTACAATCACTGCACAGCGCCACCACTGTATTGCTAAACGCGTGGTTGTGTGCATTCATTACAACCCTGTAATAATTATATTAACCCAAGATTACACAACGATTTTGAAAACAATTCTTTGAAAGGCCGAAAGGAATTTATAATCCGACCGTCAGGTCCATGGTTACACACCTACATTCGACGGAGAATCGGATAGCACCCCGCCCCTACACACACTCCCTACATTTATTTTAAATTTCTTTCTGTATCTTTCACTGTCTCGTGGACATTATTTGAAGTTTATTTTGGTAAGTTTTCTCTTTTTATAAATCATTCAGTCTTTGAATGAAATGATTCTAGTCGATTGGTAGACAATTAAATCGTGTCGCTTTTTTTTCCTAAAGAAATTTTGTGTTGCAGTATATTTGTTTTCATTTTGTCATGTATTTTTTTTTATTCGAAGAAGGAGCGTATCAAAAAGAAAAACTATCATTGAATTCAAAAATAGTTCAAATGACTTTTATTTGTTCACGGCGAAATCTATTTTGAATATCGTATCATATTCTCACTATCCATCAGAAAAATATACATAATTTGTATACAAAGTATTGACTTATTGCAATGTCTTCTTCTTCTTTTTTTCTCTCCCTTTTTACTTTCTTCTCGCCTTTCTTTTTCTTTTTCTTCTTCTCCTTCTTGTTGTTATTGATATTATTATTGTTGTCGTTGTCGATATTATCATTATTATCATTATTTGTATAATTTCATCATCATTATTATCATCCTCAGCATTGTGATTATTATTATTATTATCATCATCATCAGTATTCAGGTTACATTTGCCGATACATGTACGGTATGACATACACTGGGGTTTTATATATATATATATATATATATATATATATATATATATATATATATTGCAATCACTGTCGGTCAATGTACTGTATCAATTGACTTGGCCGCTATTGGGACAGATAACTGAACGGATGTGATGCCAGAAAACAACACAAATTAGGTGAGACAAATAGGTCCAATGTTCGAAAAAGTGTAGATTCAATCAAAATCTAACCTTGAGAGCAAAATACTCTAAAGAACGCAATAGCAAAAAAATCAAAGAAGCAGATTGGTGAAAGTTTGAATGAAATCTGACAAAATATGAGAACAAATATGAATTTGTGAAAGTTGATTGTAATCACTACAGGCATGGGCTATTCAAATTGGCCGGCTGATTCGGTAATGTTATTGTGATGTGGTGGGGAACATTATTCTCATTTGTATTACAAAAAACAGAATGACAAAAATGTCATTGTTTCAAAATGTATGAATCAGGTGGAACTTTTTAATATTTCTAGAGGACCTATGATAGTATGCTACATATCCATAACGTATTTTGGGTAGTGCCCCAAGAGAGAAGGTACTGAGATCAGGCACGTAACCCCCCAAAAATCCAAGATCGGTTGAAGTTTTTTAGACCCCCCACCCCCCAAACATCAAACTCTTGGGCCTGCTTAGGAGAAAATAAAACATTAATAATATTTTTGTACACGACAAACGGGATATGTATCCGCGACTACGTCACAATTAATCCTGAGACCGGGATCGATACACATGTAAAAGCACATGGATATTGAGTCTGGATTAAACTACCAAAGCAACAACACGTGTTTCTGCAGGCTCCATTTTCTTTGTCTCTATACTTACATTTATTTAGCTTAATAGTTATTACTTTCCAACCCACAACACAACACTAAAGGCAACGGTAAGGGTAAGATAATATATACATTTTTGTCGCCCTGCGTGGTTAAAATGTAGTATTTGTGCTCTGATATTTTGTGTAGTTTTTCACAGTTATATCGAATTTCAATTGTATCATGCTAATTTTGTTATGTGCATGGCTACATGTGACCAAATCTAGAATTGTATTGTGCAGTAGAAAGTGGGATATTTGATGCGATATTTTGGCACTGTCTTTTGTTATTTGAGCTACACCGAATCTGTAAGCGATTTGTACATGTACATGTCGGCTGTGCCTTGAATGTATACTGTGCCTATGCACTTCACTTCAACATTCATGTTCACTCAACTATAGCCCAGTTGTAAAGGTGCTTTTATTCTGTAAGTCATTGATGCTCTGGTAGTCTATGTATTGAGACTTTGGCTCATCGTTCACATTGTATCAGCATTTCAATTCATTCTACAGCTGTTCACTATCATGTACGTGAACAAGGACATTCAAATAATTCAGTATCCTTGATTCATTGTAAGTACTTGAAACACCGCCAGCTATACTACAAGAATTCATCAGCAACTTTTCAGCTCCAGTTACTGAAGTCCGGCGATGTCGACCCTAATCCAGGACCGACAACGGAACATACATGTTTGTACACAGGGACTATGGGGCTACCAAGCATTCTACATCCTGCAATAGAAATGGAGAACGTAAGGTGTCACTATGAACATGACAGACAAAGAAAGCGGACAAAATATACAGTTCCTCAGTTAGACAAAGAAACATCCCTTCACTGCTATTATGTAAAAATGTGTAGAACAGGTGAATATGCATGTGACACCTGTTCTACCCATGTTTACATAATAGCAGTGAAGGGATGTTCCTTTGTCTACCCGAGGAACTGTATATTTTGTCCGCTTTCTTTGTCTATCATGTTCATGTATGGCAGGGATTTTTTGTTGCAGTGCAACCGTGCATGGAGACATTTGAGTTTTGAGACAGTGACAAAATAATGGATTACCAAATATACTTCACAAAACAGGTAGGAACAGAGGCATGCTCCACGAGAATGTATGGAGAGGGATCAAGGAAGTAGGTATCCAGACACATCTTCGAGGGAAGAGAGGGGGGGGGGGGGGGCAGAAGAAGAATTTTACAAATGGGAAACTGAACTTCAAGACACAGAGAGGGAGGAACATCGACAATCTTAAAGCAGTCCAATGCGTAAATAATTCTCCTGTTGAGTCTAATTGTAATGTTTGTTTATGGAATGCGCTTTCTGTCAGGAATAAAACTACATATGTTACTGAGTATGTCAGTGAACATGATATCGATATCATGTTTATTACTGAAACCTGGTTAAATTCACAGGATGATGTGGTAATTGGGGAGTGCACTCCTATAGGGTATGCTTTTATAAATTCCCCAAGAATTGCAAGTACACGTGGGGGTGGCATTGGTGTAAAGTCCGCTCTTAAGTTGATGATAACAAAACTCAGTTTTGAGTTTTTCCACTTTTGAATGTGCACACGTTACCGATTTGTCATGTTCGATCAATATTTTCACTGTGTATAGACCACAACCTTCTCCAGCAAATAGATTTACAGGTTCTGATTTCTTGAAGGAATTTGATGAATATGTAAGTGAGATATCACTATATCCAGGATAATTGATGTTATTAGGAGACTTTAATGTCCATTGGAAAGATATGACTAACATTGATGTGTTCCAAATGAAGAATATCATTACATCTGCTGGGTTTATCCAACATGTTCAAGGTCCAACACATAACCTGGGTCACACTTTAGACTTAGTTTTTACCCGAGAGGATTCAGTGATACTAGGCTGTCATACAGTCGATACATGCATTTCTGATCATTGCATGATCTGCTTTTCGCTGGCTAAATATAAATCAGAGCCAATCTCTATTACTTCTTCCCTTTACGCAACTACCGCAAGATCGATAAAATTCAATTCACTAATGCTTTACATGAATTAGTGTCATCTCAACCTGAAGGAAAAGATAGTGAATCCTTATTTGATTGGTATGTTTCTGGAATCACTAAGGTACTTGATACCTATGCTCCATCGGTAACCAAGTCTCGCCCTTTGAAGTTACGTAGACCTTGGTTCAATTAGTGTGTGCTTGTGGCACGCCAACATCGCCGTAAAGCAGAACGGAAATGGCGAAAAACAAGACTAGACTCAGATATCGCTAAAGAAGATTTTTTGAAAGATAAGTTGGGTTCATTTACTGTCAAGGAGGTATATCAGATTATCCATTCCCTTTTAAATAAGAAGTCCAGCCAACTCCCCTCTTAACGGGTGTAGGATTGAACCCATAAAGGTCCTGCTAGTGTTGCATCGGTTTGCATCCCTAAAGGTGCATACTTGCACCATTTTTTCTTAGTGTGTAGTGCCCTTCTGTGAGGCATTAATCCTCATTACTGTCAGTTATGACTTAAGGGCGTAGGTCCCCTAGTTGATAAGCATAGTAGCATACAAATGCGTTAGCAGTCACTCAAAACACATATTGGCAAATTAATATTCAATAAAATCTCAGAATGTAATGTATACTAATATCTAGATCTATTAGGAATAAATTATTTTTAAAATAATTCCATGAATTAGGGTAAAACCAAAATATTCCAACTATAATGAGCGACAGGGTACTTTTAATTCGTAACATTGTTGTTAAATGTTTACGTCTGTGTTTTTCATGTCACTCATAATATTGCATGTAAACATGATATCATAAGTCTTCGGGCCACAATCATGAACACTAATTATGAAATTTGTTTTTTATTTCAATAAAACCCGAAGTGAATTGGCAAATTGATTTGCCAATTCATTAGTCTTCGGACTACAATCACGTATACAATGTTTTACATATGTATTGTTCATATCAATAAACCCGAATTAAATAGGGAAATTGGAAATTGATTTTGAACGTCACAATAACTTTGTTCTAATTTACATTCATGTTGCCTGACTCAGCTCTGTGAATCCTTTGAAGAAAGGGGTATAGGCCTAGATATATAATCAACTGTTGTAAACGATCACGGGTGAGATGAGGGATTTGGTGGTCATCGAGCGGCTCCTCGCTCTTCTTCTTACATGTTTCGAAAATCTCTTTCACGGCGCCATTATAAACGGCTGGCCCTCGTTTGTCTTCGTGTTCATACAACTTGGCTACTTCAGTGACCTGTGCGACGACGACAACACCACCAGGGAAAATACCACATCTTCCATAATGGTAAGATTGATACAACTTTCACGACTTCAACATCCTCAAAGAAAATGTTTACTTGGCTATGTCCTTCCCATAACGATGAAAAGTTCTGATATATTTAAATCAGGAAGCTTGTATGGTACTAACAAGAAGGATCACCGTTTAAAAATAAAGGGCATTGCTGATACCAATTCCATTTTCCCAATATCTCGCAATGTGTTTACTTTTTATCATAGTCACTATGAACAGTTATGGTATTTCCAGATTATGTAAGGATTTAATTTATTTTTATCGGTATTATTCAAGGCAATTTTTTAGCGTATATTATATATTGCACAAAAAAAAGAGAAGTATTAGCCTTCATAGATTTTATTGTCTCACTGAAACACCAAATGTTACAAAATGGTAATAATCGAGGTCGGAGAACATAGGAAACCTGTCCTATGATTGACGCCCACATTTTCAATGTGATCAATATGTTAATAATTCGATCCCACCCTTTCCTTGTTTCATTCGTATTTTTAATTCATCAACTTACTCTCATTATCATTCAACTACTAGTGGAAACAAACTTGTCAGAAATGCTTTATAGAACGTATATATGATATATCAAAGTTGTATCGTCTTCATAGACCATTTCTTTTTATATTTGCACCTGTATCTAGCCCAACATCACCGCTAGTACCAGAAACCTCGGCGGAGTTACCGGCAATCATGTCTCGTGTCCGGAGCAGGCTAGTCGCCTTCAGCTTGTATTCTCTGTAGCCATCGCTCTTCAGTCAACATCCATGTTCCCTATTGGTTTCCTTTTAGATCGGTATGGAACTAGATTATCTCGGCTGGTCATGAGGTACGTTCCATAAAGTGTCAGGGACATCGTTGAAAGGGGTCGTTCGTAACATGTGCCTGATGTATAGGACACATGCTCCTGCGACATTTGCCCCGCGTCAATTCCTACACTAACCGAATACTGAACTTCAATTCTGGACCCAACACCTTATCGTATTCTAACGTGTGTGTGTCAATTGGGTTTTTACAGAGGTGTATCTATCAGATATGATTGTTTACGTCTGGGGACCGACCTTTAACGTCACCATCCGAAAGGCGTGACTCAGTTTCGAACCGGGGTCGCCTCAGTCAGTTTGTAGGCGAAGACAGCTAGAGTGCTGACCAAGTGAACATGCCGCTAGACCAACTCACAACCCTGTCTTCCTCTAACATTAAACCCAATTGCAACACTCTATATTACCCTACACCTGTGACAAAATAAAGCCCGGAGCAATTGTCGCAAGAGCAGGGGTTTGTCTTCCCCACATTTAAGTCATGATGTCGACTTGTCCGAACAAGCAAGCTACATCTGGGTGCCATCAGCAACATTTGTTAGTTTGTCAGAGAAAGAAGTTTAGGCATTGGGACTAGGTATAAGGTTAGGTGTATAGGATAAGGCAAAGCGTTTAGTCGAGACATGAAGTTTAGAATTCGTTTATCGTTTGAAATTGATCGCAGAGCACAATAATCTTTGTCAGGGTATAAGTTTTACAATGATGGGATCATTAACAATATCAAAGATAACATGCTAAACCAGTACATGTGCGTGTGTTTTTCGATTGTCAACTTAAAGATCAAGAACAAACATTTCACGGAATTTCATTTTCGTTCTGATATTCTATTCAGATTTTGATTAATCAAAGAAATTAACCTCTCGACTATAAAGCATTACCATGACATAGAAAGTAAAACAACGTTTCATTTGACATAAAAAGCATTGCTGTATAGCCGCGAACCACGAAAGACGAAGGATTCTGAAGAAGAGTTACGTCTTCCTTTTGACAAATTTATGATTTTTTAAATTTTTCAGAGGATGTTTTAAATGGCTTACAAACTGGAATTAACATTTAGTTTGAGGTTAATTCCCCATAAATGAATATATGGTCGATACTAGTTTTGATTTCCTCTACTTGTTTCCTTTACGATGCTATCAGCTTCTTGATGCTGATTGGTTATTTAATGATGGCATTCAGCTCTTCAACCTACTCCATTCTCTTGTTTCCTGGAACCATCTGTTTTACTCTTCCCAAGACGAAAAACCAATTGAAACCAATTGAACACCAATTGAATTTTCAATTGGTTTCAATTGGTTCCAATTGGTTTTAATTGGTCTCAATAGGTTTCAATTGGTCAAAATCAAATGTCTAATTGGAAGCGTCATATTGCTCTTTTCATCCATGCAGGTGAGTCAAAGGTCACATTCGTCAAATATTCATAATTCAATACTCAAATTGATCTATCCAAACAGTAGTCAGTCAGTATTGTGATTGGGAGCTTAAGTTGATCGTTCCGAATAGTAGATAACAAGTTTTGTTTGACAGATAAACTGAGCTAACCGACAGTCTGATGATTGGCCGCTTACACTGGGCTCCATGACTATGCACTGAACAATCAATGACCATGACACTGTGATTTTACTTCTGAAATAAGAATCTTCCTTTGAATGGTCTACATGGGTTGAATATATTGTGATGTTTATTTGATGATTTACTTTTCTTTAACAGATTGGGAATCTTTTCAGAGGACATAAGTCTACCGTCATAACGACAATCAACGCCATGTACAGCGCAGCTGTGATAATATCTGTTATCGCTAAGGTATAATCAACTCTTAAGGTGCTTTGGCAAGATTTTGCATGGATCTCTAAAGGTTGTGCACATCTGTAATTAGATACTAAAGCTGTAAATCTATTGGACGGGCTATTGAAAGCGTTTCTTGTGCAAATTGGGAATCAGATATACATAACAATGTTTTGTTTCTAATTTGTGATAATTGTGTCAAACATATTAGTGAAATATTGCTGCCTGGAAAGCAGTGACCATGGTGACCGCTGCAAGTTCAAAATTCCTATTGTCGAAAGCTTTTTTCTTCTGAACAGTCTCATCCATATTGCAAATTATGCATTGCATCTTTCTGTATTTTAGGAGTACGTACGTAACTACAAACAAACAAAACTGTGACCAACAGACCTTCCTAACTTTTTAGAGTAGATAGTTTGCCTAGACTGCGTGTGAAATAGCGGTTTTAAGGATAATTCATCTCCATTCAACTTGAATCGCTATTGGTCTTTTACCACCAGAGAGCACACGAGGTCGGATTCTCCATCAATACCTTCTTCTTCATTATGGCTGGATCCGTGCTCCTGCTCCACATCAACACATTCCTCTTCCTTCCTACCAAGTTCATCCCCTGGCCCCTCCCGAAGGGGTACAGACTGACCCCCTGCAGCGCCCCTAGGACCACTCATCGGGACAGAGAAGAGAGCGCGTACTACCAAAACCGAGGGGACGTTGGGGACCTCTCCAATCCGGTGATAGGTGTTACTGGGAACTATATACAGATTGGAATGGATTTCATCAGCAGAGAAGTAGCTCCGGAGATGGAAAAACCTTTAGACGAGGAGTCGAGTAAGAGAATGCCTGAAAATATGCTCTGCAGACAGAATATAGGGGAACCAATGATCAGAGAAATTGGCAAGGAGATGGACCAATTCATGACGGCCGAAACTGGTAAGAGAATCCCTGAAAATGGACACTCAAGACAGGATGGAGTGGACCCAATCATCACAGAAACTGACAAGGAGATGGACCAACGCATGAGCGAAGAGACGGGTGAACGAATCGCTGATAATCGGCACTCCAGACAGGATGGAGTGGACCCAATCATCACAGAAACTGACAAGGAGATGGACCAACGCATGAGCGAAGAGACGGGTAAACGAATCACTGAAATTGGAGACTCGAGACAGGATGGAGTGGAAGTAAGTAATAAAGAAGCTGGTGAAGATAGGGACCCATTAATGAACGAAGAGACGGATAAAACACCCGATGATGATGGGGATTCCAATATCGCTGAACGGAAGAGGAAGGAGTATGGAAGTCTTAGTTCGTGTCTCTTGTCGACGCCATTTTGTTTATTACTTCTCTGGCAGGCGTTTCTACAGATTGATCTGATCTTCACTTTTGGGACCCTCAACTCCTTTCTCACCAGACTGGCCGATGGCGATGAAGATGTGGGTAAGTCCATCGTTCTTAGCCTTACACATGCCTTTAAAAAAATTGAATGAACTAGAAAGGAGGAGACCAGTTTTCCTAGGTTAATGAAATGCGTTAAGACAAGGTCATCAAGTGAGGGGAGATAACCAAGATTAATATCATAAACCAATTGGATACGATATTTATAACAAATATTGACTGCTGAATTTTCAGGTCACGGTTTAACTATAGCTATACAATAGCATAATCATTTTTTGTTTAACTCCCATCATCTGGTTTGGTAATCTAGTGAGTTGGTACACAGACGTCTTCTCCATTATCCAGTTCCTAGCTGTCATCGTTGGCCCTATTGGAGGTCTCCTCATGGACAGGAACAACATCTTCACGTCTTGCTCAACAACAAGTAAGTAAACATAGTTAAATTGTAGACGTATCAGGACTATGGTGGCCCTGAAGGGACATCGCGAATAGACAAAATCGTGAAAAATATGCGATAAAATTCACGATATCGTCAATTTTATCGCATATTTTTCACGAAGAAATTCACGAAATTGACGATATCGTGAACTTTATCGTGAACTTTTCACGATGAAATTGACGATATCGTGAATTTTATCGTGAAAAGTTCACGATATAAAGTTCACGATATCGTCAATTTTATCGTGTACTCTATCGTGTACTCTATCGTGTACTCTCCTGACGGGCGCTTCGTAAACAAAACCAGCCCTAGCTGGGGGAGACAGAGAGAAGGAAAAAAGGGAAAGGGAAAGAGAAGATAAAAGGAAAGAAAGAATAATAAGAAGAAAAGAGGGAAACGGGGGGGGGGCGAAGGACTCTTGCCTCCTCCTCACCCCCCCCCCCCCCCCGCCAAAAAATAAATAAGGAGAGAGAGAAGGGAAAGGGAAAGGGAAAGAAAATATAAAAGGAAAGAAAGAAGAGGAAGAAGGAAAGAGGGAAACGGGGGAAGGGCGAAGGCTCTTACCTCCCCCCCCCCCCCCCCGCCAAAAAAATAAATAAGAGAGAGAGAGAGAGAGAGAGAGAGAAGGGAAAGGGAAAGAAAGAAGAGGAATAAGAGGGAAACAGGGGAAGGGCGAAGGGCTCTTGCCTCCTCCCCCCCCCCCGCCAAAAATAAATAAGAGAGAGAAGGGAAAGGGAAAGAAAATATAAAAGGAAAGAAAGAAGAGGAATAAGAAGGAAAGAGGGAAACGGGGGAAGGGCGAAGGGCTCTTGCCTCCTCCCTCCCCACCCACCGCCAAAAAAATAAATAAGAGATAGAGAGAGAAGGGAAAGGGAAAGGGAAAGAGAAGATAAAAGGAAAGAAAGAAGAGGAAGAAGAAGAAGAAAAGAGGGAAACGGGGGCGAAGGGCTCTTGCATCCCCCCGCCCAAAAAATAAATAAGAGAGAGAGAGAGAGAAGGGAAAGGGAAAGAGAATAAAAAAGGAAAGGAAGAAGAATAAGAAGAAAAGAGGGGCTCTTGCCTCCTCCCCCCTCCCGCGCCAACAAATAAATAGGAGAGAGAGAGAGAGATAGAGAGAAGGGAAAGGGAAAGGGAAAGAAAATATAAAAGGAAAGAAAGAAGAAGAAGACGGAAAGAGGGAAAGGGGGAAGGGCGAAAGGCTCTTACCTCCCCCTCCCCCCTCCCGCCATAAAGGGAAAGAGAAGGGAGAGGGAAAGAAAATATAAAAGGAAAGAAAGAAGAGGAAAAAGAATAAGAAAAGAGGGAAACAGGGGCGAAGGGCTCTTGCCTCCTTTCTTTTCTTTCTTTTCCTTTCTTTCCTATTCTCCCTCTTTTTCTTTTTTTCTCTTTCCTTTTTCTCTTTCCCTTTCCTTCTCTCTCTCTCTCTCTTATTTATTTTTTGGCGGGGGGCGGGGGGACGAGGCAAAAGCCCTTTGCCCCCGTTTCCCTCTTTTCTTCTTCTTCCTCTTCTTTCTTTCCTTTTATCTTCTCTTTCCCTTTCCCTTTCCCTTCTCTCTCTCTCTCTGATTTATTTTTTGGCGGGGAGGGGGGGGGGGGAGTGAGGAGGAGGCAAGAGCCCTTCGCCCCCCCCCCCCCGTTTCCCTCTTTTCTTCTTATTATTCTTTCTTTCCTTTTATCTTCTCTTTCCCTTTCCCTTTTTTCCTTCTCTCTGTCTCCCCCAGCTAGGGCTGGTTTTGTTTACGAAGCGCCCGTCAGGAGAGTACACGATAGAGTACACGATAGAGTACACGATAAAATTGACGATATCGTGAACTTTATATCGTGAACTTTTCACGATAAAATTCACGATATCGTCAATTTTATCGTGAAAAGTTCACGATAAAGTTCACGATATCGTCAATTTCGTGAATTTCTTCGTGAAAAATATGCGATAAAATTGACGATATCGTGAATTTTATCGCATATTTTTCACGATTTTGTCTATTCGCGATGTTCCTTCAGGGCCACCATACAGGACACCTACGCAGGATAGGTTTCTCCAGATAGCCTAACTCTACCCCGGCACAAAATCTTCCTCCGGACAACTTTCCTCGGAATATCACCCTGTAGAAAAACTACTCCCCGGAATAATACTCTGTCGGACAACTATCCCTGGAATATCACCCTGTAGGACAACTTCCCCCCAGGAAAATCTCCCTGTAGGACAAATGCTCCCAAAGAAGGGAAATGTTGGAAAACTTTAAATTTGAAGAGTAACGCAATGATTTTCAACCTTCCATGAAAATAATGCAGAGAAAACCAAGGTGAGAGATCCGTACGCGGACATGCGTGATAGCTGCCTTCCTCTGGTGATCACTGCTCTTGCTTCAATTGGCTACTCCGTTTGTGTCCTGATTCCTAGCCTCCAGCTTCAGTATCTGACTTTCGTTTTACTCCTCATCGTGCCGTCTCTGCTGTACGGTGTCGGTCCGGCAGTCGTCAGTGTCGTGTAAGTATTGGGGATCACACCCAAATTGGTCCCAATTTCTGTAAGCTTGTTCCTACCCTCGATTTGTTCTACACCCTTCTTGGTCCTACACATCATTGGCCTTACTCAACATCACCATCCATTATCACCAGCATCGTGAGCACCATATTCATCATCATCATCATCATCATCATCATCATCATTATCATCATCACCGTCATGATCACCACCACCATCATCATCCTCATCACCACCTCCACCACTACCATCACCAAAACAATCACCACATCATCATTATCATCATCAATCATTTCCACCAACATTATACTCATCTATCATAATCATCTATCATCGTCACCACCACCATTATCATCATCCACTCAAGTTTTATTTCGATGACCCTCCTTTGTACAATTCTTGTATGATCATAACATATCGGAAAATGGCAAACGTAACAGTGTGCTTAAATATTACGATGATTTTATATGAAAAGAAACAACCAAGAATATGGAAATGTATTCAAAAAATAAAGAAACATAAAAATTGACTGATCTTCATTTAATATCAATCTTTAATTTACTTAAATTGAGATTACGCAATATATACTACTGAGAAAATAGCTTATCTCAACATTATTATCGTTCTTATTTTGATGACATCACAGCTTCCCGATGCAGTACTTCGCCAGTGTATACGGTGCAATTCGAACCATCTGCGGGTTATTCAGCCTTCTCCAGTACCCAATCTTCATCATACTCCAGACGTATCTTGATGGTGATCCATTTTATGTAAGCATAACACATGCAATGATATATAGGTCTACCGAGTAGCGACAAATGTTTTCGTTGGCAAATCCTTCCAGTTGGCAAACTAATGAAATTCCACGTATGTCGAATGAAAAAAGATTTTGCCTCATTTTTTGTTTGTGGTCTGACAATACCGACGCCACCCTCCCCCCCCCCCCCCCTCCCCCGACAACTTTGCCTACCTTCGTGAAAATAATATAAACGTGAAAAAATTCCCGGTTGAAAGGGGATGGGTAAGAGATAGAGTTCAAGCCTGTACTCTTAGGAAAATGTGGACATTATAAATCCTCCGACGAGTGTTTGGTGTAATAACAACAATATAATTCATACTTACTTTTGAAAGACAGATTATTGAAAGAGCTCTAGAAACTGCATTGTCTAAGCGCACGGTTGATTGTGAGAAAGGACGAGATATCTCCAAAACTTATGAGAAGTAAAACCCCAAGGCATGGTCTGATGAATGGTTACACAAACAATAACATTTTAAACTTGAAGACAGTTATGATTTATTTGATTGATACCCCCCCCCACACACACACACACACACATGCACACACGCATACACATATACTCACAGCGTATATTCTAGCAGTGCCTCCGGGCTTAGTTAAATTATTTCAATTCATGTTAATGTATTTCGGTATAATTTAGAAAGCAGCATGTCACTTAATTTTTTGTCATTTTTCATTTCAGGTGACAATTGGTTTTATTATTGCCGACATTTCGACGCTACTCTTACCTGCTGCCCTCTATGTCAAGAGTAGAAGAAGACAAGCTCCAGGGGCCACAAAATGAATGACTGCTGGTATATGTAATTACGTCATACCTCATGCATTTTCAAGGAGTTATTAGCATGGATAATGAAATATAGATGGAGGTATGGGCAAACATACTTGTATGTTCAGTGTGCGCCATGGGAATATAATATATAATGTACTTTAATGACTCCTCAAGAAAAATGAATAAAAAGGGCTTGTATACCGCCGCAAAAAAAAACACCAACGTATTTATTTGTTTGTTTTATTTTACGTGTATTATGAAAGGCAACTACGCGCAACGAAGGACTAATACGTATTCCATGAGCTCTGGAATATGATGCACATTACACTTTACGTCATAAAAACGCTCTCGCGGTTAAATTAAATATTTTGCCGCGTCATATTTGAAACAGCCTTAAAGCAAAAATAACGTTGTCATTTTACACGTTTATAAAGACTTTCGAGAAACATACCCAATTGCAGTTTCAATACCCTATTATACTACGACAGATTAGTGTTAACGCATTTCAATAGGTGATGATTATTGAATATTGAAATTACGTTGAGATCTTCTTTTTTTTTGGGGGGGGGGGGAAAGTAGTATTTGCAAACGTGTTAGTTATGTAGGTAGGCGACCCCCACCAAAAAAAAGTAATTGCTTTAGTTTGGTTATCACCATACACTTAAATTATTTTATTTTTATCACGTAATCTGGTATATGTAATGTTGTTTAGTTTGTTTATTTTGTTCTATTCTTACTTAAGTTCACTATAAGAACTATCCAATCACATCAAATCCGGGAATGCGTAATCTAAAGCGTTGATGAGACTCGAAAACAATCTGTTATGCCGTCCAAGATTCACCTGGAAAAGATTGAGGTAGTGGCTATAGTTGAAAGCAATATGGAATAGGTATGAACTACCATTTGCATAACTAAGTCAAGGGCTCTTTGGAACTGTTTTAATGGAATGTTTCATGATTCTTTTTTAAATGAGAAGTCCGAAAAAGGAGAGAGAGAGAACAAGAGAAAAACAAATCTGTGAAAGTTTGAACAAAAATCAAAATAAGAAAGTTATCAATTGTAAAAGTTGTATTCAATCAAATACAAAGCGGCAACGCTGTGACGTATCCTTGGAGGCCCTAGCTTTCCAATGTGCGAACCTGGGCCGTATCAGGACAATTACCCCCTGGACAATCACCCCCGAAAAATTACCCCCGGAAAACTACCCCCAAGGACAATAACCCCCTGGATAATTGCCCCCCCCCCCCCGGGAAATTTCCCCTCGGAAAATTACCCCATATAGCTCCGTTAAATCTTATTTGACAACGCCCCCTATAGGCAGAGTCCAGCAGCCTAACCTATGGACATTTACCAAAAAACATCGTAAACAAATTCATTTTTTGTTTAAACGAAAAGCACATCCACCCCGACGTACGTTATCACTTGGTTTTTCATTGAATCCCTCATGTCCCATTGACTTTTGAAAGTTCACCCACCGTAATTTGATCAAAATAGGTCGCAAGCTCGCCATTGCCTATATAACACATGTACAACCATTGGTGCACCTGCTCATCGGACGGAGCCCGTAACCTACCGGCCAGCACTCGGCTGGTACCCTGCTGGCACCCTTACGGGTGCCTTGCATTTCAGAGAGAGAGGGGGAGAGAGTAGGGGGTGAAGTAGTTGACAATGCGGTTGGTGAGTCCCAGAGCAAGAGCGACGTTTATGAATCGTAGTGATTAATCTTCAAGAGGATGGGTGATATAAGAGAGAGTTAGACTGACAAAGAGAAAAAGAGATAAAGATACACGTTTAGCCAGTAAGACAGAGAAAGATAGAGAAAGAGAGAGAGAGAGAGGGGGGGGGGGGGGGTGTGTAGAAGAAAATATGAAAATCAAAGTAAAAAGTGTTTGATTATTAATTTATTAACAGGTAATCAATGAAGTTTAAATTGAATTTCAGAAGTGTGCGATTTCTCTTTGTTTATATTTCGTAAATTCAAAAGCAAAACACAAATACAAAGAATTTCAATTTAAAAGAAAAGAAATACAATAAAAGAGAGATAAAAAGAAAACATACAGCTGATGAATCCAAAATCATCTGCAACAGTATAATGTTGCTGTTGGTCTTCCTCGAGGCCAGAAAACAAAAGATACAAAAATAAACAAACAAGTATATATAGAACCCAACATGGTACATTAAGTGGACATCATACAAATCCTAACCCTAACCCTAAACCTAACCCTAACCCTAACCCTAACCCTAACCCTAACCCTAATGTCTACTTAATGACTCATAATGACTATATAATTAATCATTTTTCACTCCAAATGCCCCTCTAATGACGCCTTTAGTAAAATATTTATATATATATATATATATATATATATACAGTTTTACTACTACATGAAAAGAAAAAAAGGGGGAAAACTACAGGTTAAATAGGTACATTCTTTTAATTTAGATGAATATCTTAATTTTTAAAGGCTGGTTTTTAAAAGCCCCAGTAAAAGTAATGTTGCGAATTTTTACGGAGGGATCTTTTTAAAATGAAGAGCAGCTCTATGAATAAATGGCCTTATGCAATAATTTGTTTTTAAAAAAATGTATCTTATTTGTTTCTGTGAACTAATTTCTACCTCTGCACTTCTTAAAGGACTCATTGAGGTCTCTTCTGAAACTGTTGCTGACCAAGTAGTAGACGAAGAAGTTGACGACGTGATTGGTGAGTCTAAGAGAAAGTGCGACGTTCAAAATCGTGTAGTATGCCGAAGGGGTGTGGTTTATCCTTATCAGGCTGGATGGAATGAGCGGAATAACAATTAATGGTGTCCACGTCACGAATAAATATATTGTGATAATGAGGAGCATGCGAGTTGTTTTTCACCCAAAGTCGTATTGCTTTTCATTTTTCGGAACCTTTTGCCCATTCCGATGACGACGACGCTGGCACAATGCTGGTTTAGACGATGATTGATGTTGCTTCGTGTGTTCTGACGGTAATGGCATGGGCTGCAATTTGTCCTGTGACGATTTGAAGGCTGATAGTTTGAGACGCGAATCGGCTGCTTCACCTCTAGGTAACGCTGAAACGGTAGTATAGCTTGAACATCCTGCAACGTTTGATGACGTTTGTGTCGTTTCAAACTTGTTTTTGATGTTTGCAATGCTTGAGGTGTCATCAACGTTTTCAATAGTTCCATGTCGGTCCTCCACAATCCACATGGCCCGTTCTTGATTTCGACTCCGGCGAACTGTCAACGTCAACATATGAACTGATGTTGGCGACATTGTTCACCAGGTCGGCGTGGATCTTGGCTCTTTTTCGGATAAAAGCGTAGATGCGGGCGTACAGGAGGGTGGTCGTCGCAAACGATACGACGAACAAAGCTATATGCATTATTATGGTACCGACATGACCTGTAGGTGATATCAAGAGGTGGCACATTCTTTTCCCGTTGAGACCTGAATCATGTACGACATAAAATGTGACCAGCGGAATGTTGACACCGATCGAGACCACCGCACACATGATCACTGATAAAATCGACATACGCACCGTCATCCGGCGTCGGAATGGACGGCAAACAGCCCTATAACGATCGATGCTGATCGTTGACGTCAGGAAAATGGAGGCACATGCCGTGGCTTCTTCTGAAAGTGATGACACCCGACACAGGTTAACGGTAATCAGGTTTCGAAATTTCGGACGATGAATATTGGGGTAAATACGCAGGCGACAAAGTCGACTATCGCTTGGCCCATGATGAGGATATCCGTGCTCGTCTTCTGTTTCTTCCATGCGTAAGTTTGGATGATGAAGGCATTCCCCGGACACCGTAATAGTAGTATGAGAAGATAAAATATTAATTCACCTACTGGAAAATCACCGCTATCGTCATTCTTCATATCGCCTTTGTCTATTGTATCATATTGATACAATTCGGTCGGTTTCATTCACGATCTCCAACGAACTCCAACGAGCTTCTTTCGTCAAATTTAGGTTATCCATCGCAGGCTTATTGTTTGTAATAAAAATCAGGAATACTTTAAACCAAGAACTGCTTGAATATGTAGAGGATCTGCGTTCGTTTTAAGTCTGAAATGTTGTCCTGGGGCTCTCTAATACCTCAGTCACATCAACGAGGCATGCGGCAAACCGATAACAGACAAAACAAAAAGTTACATTAGCCCGAATGGGAAACGTAATAGTCGGTTTCGGTCGATCTTGAGTCGAATAAGCGGTGTGGCTGAGATATACGTAACACCAGTTGGAAAATGACAAACGGGATTGAATAAACCGTCATCTGCTAACATGAATAAGCTAGGGAAAAGGGCGGCAAGAGCTCACCGGTATTTATGCGAGGTAAGTTGTCGTGTTTTCAAGTCTCGACTGAACATTTGAATGACACGACACCGGAAATTGGATATGTGTACATACATCGAGAAAGAAAGATATATACAAAGAAGGACAGAGAGGGAGAGAGAGAGAGAGAGCGCGCGTGATAAACAGGGGCTAGGTTTATGATATCTTGTAATCGGATAATCCTTTTTTTGTAACAGAGTAGGCCAAGATTGGCTGTCATCAATAGGCGTTAGGAGACATTATTGTATGCTTTTATGTTGCTTACATGGTACAATTTTTCCGACAATATAATTTGCTGTTGGTGAGCGAAACTAAGTCAACTGTCATATTCTTTACACCAAAATGGAATGATGCATGTGTTTGTCAGTCATGAATAAAGGGCAATGCTTAGAAAGGGATATGTTTTTTAGAGCAGTTTTGAAATCGCTCATGAAATCATGCAGGGCCGGTAATTTATGGCTATTAAGTTTGCGGTTATTCCAAAGAAATGGACCTGCATGAGAAAAGGCTCAATTGATGTATTTTGATGCCGATGATGCTTCTCTCAGTTAATCTCACATGTTCCAACATAAAGTCTTTTGTTCCTCGACCGCCTTTTGATTAGCTTCTAATCCTTTCTCCCAACCCTCGCTCTCTTTTTCTGTGTACAGAGTGAGTCATAAAAAATGTCCCACTTTGTAAAAGTTGTATTGTTTGAGTTATGAATGGTTCTAGGACAATTACCCCCTGGGCAATCACCCCCCCGGAAAACTACCCCCAAAGGACAATGACCCCCTGGAATATTACCCCCGGAGAATCACCCCCGAGGACAACTACCCCCAAAGGACAATTACCCCCCGGAAAATTACCCCCCGAGGACAATTCCCCCCCAGGACAATTACCCCCCGAGGACAATTACCCCCGAGGACAACTACCCCCGAGGATAATTACCCCCCAGGACAATTACCCCCGAGGACAATTACCCCCCCCCCCGAGGACAATTACCCCCCAAGGAAAATTACTCTCCGATGACAACTAACCCCCGAGGACAACTACCCCCGATAATAATTACCCCCCCCCCCCTCCGAGGACAATTCCCCCGATGACAATTACCCCCCGAGGACAACTACTTCTCTGGAGCAGCGTTATTTTAACTTTTTGTTAGTCACGGTACCCTCTTAAGAAATGAAAATGTTCTCCTAAATCCCAACGTCTTTACAGACTATTAATTTTGCTCTGGCTCTCGTCAAGTGCTATGCACACACGTATGGGCACGTTTAAGAATAAAAAAGAGAAGACATTTTCAAACTGGTAAAAAATTTGTTTGTAATCCACACACTAGAAACTATTTAAGGTATTGTATGCGGGCACCTTGCCGCCGAATGTATATAAATAAAAAGTGATATATTCGGTCATGACCTTGATACACGAATATGAGGATATTCGGGCCTCTCGTTGCCCTTATTTGCCTTGCTGTCAAAATATTGTCAGCGAGCGAGGAAGGAAGACACTTTAGTATCTTCAAAAATTTATTTTCTCATGTAATTACATATTTTAACCGTTTCTGGAATTTGATTTTTTTCTACAAAATCAACGTTTTTAATAAAGCTCCAAAATGAATTCAACCCCCTGAGGAGATCATCAGAATACGGGATATCATACATTAATCGTTTTTGAATCTGGTTTAAAAAGAAGGGGATCATCGGAGAAAATAAGAGAATGACCAAAGCCCTTACTTACGGACTACCATAAATCTACTGGATTTGAATAACAGAATGGCAGCGACTATCAGAAGCGAGGCACTTTATATCTGAATGAATTGTCTAGGCAAATAGCAGAGTTAATACTTGTTGTTGACATGTTCGTGATCGTACGACAACGGAAAAGTTAATGGGCTACGTTATCAAGATTGACACTGACTGGTAAAATGGGGTATTAGCAATACTAATGAATTGGCCGACGGAGAGAGAGGGAGAGAGAGAGATAGTGAGAGAGAGAGAGAGAGGGAGAGAGAGAGAGAGGGAGGGAGAGAGAGAGAGGGAGGGAGAGAGAGAGAGAGAGAGAGAGAGAGAGAGAGGAAGAGGGAAGAGAGAAGAGGGAGGAGGAAGAGAGAGAGAGGTTTACATATTAGCAGGTCTAACATGTTGAACCTTCAGAATCAGACTTGTGTGTCATCTGATAAATTGCATAATTGCAAATAAAGCGAGAACTTAAGTGGTTTTATAGACACACACAATTGATGTTAATCACATAATGATATCCATTAAATATCATCAAACAAATATGTTCCTCTTTGTCACGCTCTTTCTCCCTCTCTCTCTCTCCTAAAATCCTTCTTATCTCTGCTTCCTCATTTTACTTACTCTCTCCGTAATAATGTTAGCCTTTTCATTTCCTCACTGCTCCCATGGCAAGCTCTCCCAACTCTTGACACACGTAGCGAAATTTCCATAGCCGAGATCATTTGTACCCAGATAATTACTCAGGCAACACGACCCAATTTCGCTGAGTGCTGATTCGTGGATTTTTCTAATTCAAGATGTCAAGAAGTTTGTATAACGGCAACGTTCATTTGTCACAGGTAGACACTGTGTATGACATTATATTAATTCAGACAGACAATGAGGTAAGGGAGAAATAAAACATGGGAGACCACATGAATTCGACTTCGGAACTGATCACTTTGTTCACAACTATGAACGACTCAGTTCATGACTTAATTACATCTGAAGAAAACTATGAGATTAAGGACCAAGATATTGTTACTGCTGTTAACTTAACCTATTATACGCTGGTGTTGGTCTTAGGACTACCGGGGAACGCTGTCATCATCAAAGCCTACGCGTTGAAGAAACGGAAGACGAGCACGGATATCCTCATTATGGCTCAAGCGACAGTCGACTTCGTCGCTTGTGTATTCTGTCCTGTATTCATCATCCGCAGTGCATTCCCAGGGCTGATGACCAACAGTTTGTGTCATGCGTCATCTCTCGCCAATAATGCAACGGCTTTCGCGTCACTTTATCTGACCACTGCAATCAGCATCGATCGCTACATGGCTGTGTGTCGTCCATTACGACGACGAATGACGGTACGTATGTCCATTTTCATTGCGATACTGTGTACGGTCGTATCCATTGTGACTAACATTCCAGTTGCTGTGTTTACTGAAGCTCGTCACTTCGGACATCTTGGAAGAAGCCTATGCTTCGTGAATGGTTCTTACGTATGGGGTACAACAATGTCGTCTTTGGTGTTATTCGCTATATCGCTGATGACGAATACTGTCCTTTACGCTTTGATCTACGTTTCCCTTCGTAAGAGAGCAAAGATTCACGCCGACATGACGGGGAAGCATCCCGTTGTCGCTACTGTTAGTACAAGAAACGCTCGTGCCTATAGCGGCGGTTTGCAAGAATCCAGCCCTATGGAAAACCACATGATCGCAGCGGCAGCAAAAACGGAAGAGGGAACTTCTGCCTTCGATGTTACGAGTATCGAGAACAAATTTAAAACAAATGAGGTTTCATTGCATTCAGAGACAGCAGGATGTTCAAGTAACATCTTGCTATCGTCACCTAGACGTAGGTCTAAGCCCTCCGTCTCTCATGTCACATTTGCAGAGACCAACATATCAAGGGAAAATAAGGACCCCCTACCGTCACACACAAGTCAGAGGAAGCCTCTTTATTCCCCGGCGTCATCACCGAAGATGAAACCTTTCAAACGCCAGGGTACGAAGCGAGTCCAGAAATTAAAAGACAAACTTGAAAGCGACTACGGAAGGAAGACGACCCGTATGCTCCTTATCATAACGATATTTTTTTTTGTTACGTGGATTCCTAAGGTTGTAGTCCCCATCATTCCACTTTCGGCACTTCTAAGAGCTCGTCAAATTTCGGGACATATGGCGATTATCCAGATCCTCCACTCTCTCAGACTTCTTAACCACATCGTCAACTTCTTCGTCTACTATTTTGTCAACAACAGTTTCAGAAGAAACGTCAAAGAGTCGTATAAACAGTGCAGATGAAGCCACAAGTTGATCATGTAAAATGCATGTGAGAGATTTAAAAGATGTTTAGACAGTACTGATAGATAAACACTGGTTGAATAATTAGGTTTACATAACGTTTTGCGTTTCAAATCCTTCTTAAATGATAAACTTAATTTCTAAGTATTTTGATATATTTAGTATGTAATTTCAATCAATGACATCTGTTGTATTGGATGTTCTCATATTTATTTATTTTGCTCTCCCTCCCTCTTCTCCCTCTCTCTCTCTCTCTCTCTCTCCCCCTCTCTTTATGTCTGTCTCTTTCGCTTATTTTACTCTATACAGTGCGTCCCAGAGAGTTATCGATGTTTTATCATAAATTAATGACAATTAGATTTAATAAATGACACATATTTGAAAAGCTTAGATCCTCTTCTTTTTTTATTTGTAACACTCATAAGATGCATATTTTACGCATGAGTGTTAAAAACAATTTGAAGAAAGGGTACCAAAAAGTCATGTGGCGAACCGTTATCTGAATTTCAAAGAGAAATTCACATTTCTAGCAAGTTTATTTTCTGCACCTTCATTTCCGAAATACTCATTGCTCTGTCGCTAATTGCATGATCAAATAGGAAATGTAAACGTACCTTACTAGCAATTAGCTTTTAGCATTTTTAATCAACACTTAGTTTCATCAACGATCAGTCATGCATAAAGTTTTTTGTCGTCTCTGTTTGTTGCTACAGCAGGCAGCCAGTAAAAACAAATTCGTTTAATAAAATTATGGAAATGCAAGCATTACTTTAAATAAACAGAACTTTGTTGTTCCTGGCTCATTTTTCCTGATTGAGGTGTCATATGACTCATGCATAAAATTGCATTATACCGATGAGGCTAACATGGGTAAACAAGACAAATTATTTTCATATTTTTGTAAACAATAGGCCTATTATTATTATCATTATTATTATTATTGTAACAATTAATATTGCTAATGTTATTATTATCATTATAAGTATTATTAGTATTAGTATTATTATTATTATTTTATTATTATTATCATTATTATTATTATTACTATTATTATTATTATTATTATTAATCATTATTATTGCTTTCATTTGTATTATTATTAGTAGTTGTAGTAGTAGTAGTATAGTTATCTCCATATAAAAGAATGGTATCGAGGCCTAATCAATGTATCTGACTGAACTATGTATTCTCTCCCTCCCTGTTGTTGTACATGCAACAATATTCAATGCAATTTATATATCACAATGGGGTCGAATTCACAAGATCTTTAAATACATCTTTAATCTGATCCCCAAGCAATTTACTGTCAATTACTAATTTTACTATGCCCATCTGTTATATTTGTCCTACATGTATGCGTTCAGATGCAATTTTATGTATCTTTTTGTTATATATTGAGTGTATTTTGATATTTAAACAAAATTCATTCAATATGTTTCCTTTGTCATATACATTCATTTTGTTATAATTCATATGTGCTTATTTTGCACGGACACTCTACGCATTTTATCTGAAGTTGCTGTTTCTTCGTGCTGAATTGCTTTGTTCTTATATAGAAACATAAATAGAACGATTTCTTTCCTAAATGTATGATTATTTTTTGTCTGTGATCAATAAATTCTGAATTCTATTGAATTGAATCGGTGACTGAGGAATTTTCTTTCAAGATTAAACCGGAAGTAGAATTACGGATACAAAAGTCAAATTCACTGAAAGTTGTAATTGTTTATTTTGTCATAAACATACGATGTGCAGGTTTTCAAATACCCAGGGTTTAAAAAAAAGTGTTGCGGTTCTGATATATTGTCATCGGATAAGCTTTTCTTAACAACAGAATACACCAAGATTGGCTGTCATCAACAGGCATTATGAGACATTAAGGGATTGGGTATCGATGTCTCAGATTCTGAAACACACTCCAGGATTTTGCTCATGCTGCAATGATAATTATAAACCTTAAGGTCAGTCGGGAACCCCTTGACTTTTCAAAGCCAATCACCTGTCTGATTATGAAGATATTATGATTAGAAATAGAAATTTCAAAAACCGTTTTCATAACGTTTTTTAAAACACTACTGTAACAGTCTATTGGGGAAAATGAGTTAAATAAAACCGGTCATTCATAGCTCTTTACTTTTTTGAGGCACTTCATGATCATTTTGAAGCGAAAATTTTGTAGGGCTTCAATATTATTTACACCATATCACAGACACTGATAACATGTAGGGCTATGCATATCAGATTTAACATTGTTAAACGGTGCCTTTAATAGATGGCTTGATGTTGCTTACACGATATAATTTTTCCCGATAATATTATTTGCTGATGACAAGCGAATGTCATATTCTTAATACTAAAATGGAATGCTACATGTGAACGTCAGTCATGAATCTAGGTTAATGCTTAGAACGATATATGTTCTTAAAGCAGTTATTAAATCGCTCAGGGCCGGTAATGAGAGAAGGCTCTATTGATGTATATTGATGCCGATGAGGCTTTCCTCCGTAAGCAAATCTCACATTTCCAACAGTCCTTTGTCCCTCGACCTGCCTTTTGATAAGCTTCTCATCCTCTCTCCTACCCCTCGCTCTTTTTTGTTTGTGTTTGTCTATGTATTTCAATCCTTTTCCCCGTATCATACACGATCCATGAATGTGGAATATTTTCATGAAATGATTGTGAGAATATGAGCTATTTAATAACCTCCCTCAAACGGTAAGAACGCAAACCCAAGTAACGGTATTTGTAAAATGCATCCAACATTTCTTGCTAATGATTTTTTTTTAATACCAAGATTCGATCATGATATACAAAAAAAACGTTCTGTTGCTTAATCTTGTTTTTGTCTCATGCCTCTATTTCTCCTAACACCTCTCTTCTTCAAAAATTGCATATAATTTTTTTTTTGTAATTTGGTATTTTTTTCTTTTTTATACAATTTGCAATTGTTAGTGATGTTATTTTGGAATGTCGTCTCTTCTTCTTCTATATTAAATGTCATAAATACATACACATTGAATGTCCGGCTTACCCCTCATTTAAAGATTAAAACCAATTTTCTAGATTACTTGGAAGCAGCGTTTTATCCTTGACTGGCTTGTCCTGGTGACATTGATCAGTGTCTGTGTGTCGGCAACATGGATCGCGCCGTTTGTACAATAGAGGAGAGCGAGCGAGAAAGAGGGACACGGAGAGGAAGATATTTATTACTGTTCAATTCAATTCAATTTTAATTCTGTATCCAACAAAAAAGTTACAAATCAATCATAATCAGTTGAACAATTAAGGAATACATATTGGAAACAGAGAGGTCCACCAAGAAGCAATGCTTGTACAAGTGTGGACCCCTCAAATGATACCTAGGTATAATGACTCATTACATTCACAAACTCGTAACTAAAAAAAGAATAACGAATAGGAAAACAAAAGGGATGCCAACAGGGACGAGAGAGTACTTTACATGACAAAGATTGGAGAACACGGTCACAAAACAAAGAGTAGGCAATGCCAAAAAAAGAAGTCAGAGATCGGGGGTACAGAAAATAATAAAAAAAAGGTTGAGCTGCATGTGGGGTTGAGAAGAAGATGAGGAAAGAGAAATGCGCATTGGGAAGGAGATATGCATGAGAGGGAACAATATAATATATCAAATTACATCTCGAGTCATGGAGAACTATGTTTTTATTGTTTCGTTCATTTAGTCTAACACAATAGAATACAAGATTCATGCGGTTTTACTTTTTTAGTCAATGCTCGTACTTAATTAATTCACGGTCATATATGTTATAACAACCAAGAATAGCGACCATTATTGTTCGACACAGTAAAATTCTTATCATTTAGGCATTCAGATCTCCAAAGTTTATTTCGTGATTATCTCAATACACTTGCAGAGTTTGCAGAAGATATGTGTTGTATAAGGTTTCATCCGGGAAAGTAGCTCTGCCTTGCGCCCTCCATGCAAACCGAGGATTGTTCGAAAGCTGTAAATAGGGAGATTGGGGAACGCGTAGCCTCTGAAATAGCAGCTTTTGCCAGTTTTCGATTGCTCCATATACATCGTCTGGAATGCTCCCTAGGAAGTGGAAAATGTGCATACATTGTGATACGGGTAAGCCTGTATCCGATGATCGGGGTAATAAAATGTGCTGCGCCTAGAAACAAAGTATTAGGCGCATTATAAATATGAGCTATTATTATTATTTACAAGCATGACAAGACTGAAGTTTTATTTCATAAAATCCAGAGGATATCCGAAAGTAGAGCTGCGGCATAATTTTACAAAAATAAACGATAACTTTCAAGTTATTTTCATATACATGTAGGCCTATTGCGCAGTAAGCCGCCGCAAACATAAACCGTCGTTTTTTTTTTAACGTGTAAAATGAATGGTAATTGGGCGCAACAAAAGACCTAAGCGTATTTAGTCAGCTCTACGTTATAGGACTCAGAAATGTGAAGCGGATTATACTTTCAGCCATCTTCAAAGAACCACTGTGGTTTTGCCGCCTCATATCTGAAAGCCGTTTCGATTCTTGTCTCAGTTATTGATTACGTCATCGGAAGATCTATATCTTCATAAATATTCCCTGCCTCGGCATTTCTTAAACGACTCCTTCACGTCTCTTCTGAAACTGTTGCTAACCCAATAGTAGACGAAGAAGTTGACGATGTGGTTAGTGAGCTTGAGAGCGATTAGGATGTCAAGAATAGTGATGAATCCTGGAATGTGCCTTCCGTTAGAAACTATCGAACTAGGAATGATGGGGATGATCATGCTTGGAGCCCAAGTGAGGAAGAGGAATATTGATATAATAAGGAGCATGCGCGTTGTTTTCCTTCCATAGTCAGCTTCCTGCTTCTTCCTGAGTACCTTTAGTTGGTTCGTACCACGACGCCTAAAAAGAGATCTTTTGGGCGATGACGCTGGTGGGTGATGTGGTTCTGGGAGGTTTCGTCGTAGAGGGAGTTGTTTAAGGTTGTCCTGAGACGGTTCAATTATAGAAGATATGAAATGCGAATCGATGACTTTACTATTTGGTGCCAATGTGATATTTTTGTTATTTGAACATCCTTCAGTAGCTACATGCAAATGCTGAACTGCTTTTTTAGTGGTTGTGACTCCGCCGAAATCTTTGCTTTCTGCACCGGGCATGCAAATGTGGTCGAGAGTACATGTGCTTTGGTTCTTTGAACTGATGGTAGCTACTGGGAGCTCATTATCCACCAGGCCTGCGTGAATTTTTGCCCTCTTTCGGAGGAAGTTGTATATGGAAGCATAAAGAACAGTCGTCGTCATTATCGAACAGATAAACAATGCATATATCGAACACGTCACCGTTAAATCGATATGGTAAGAATCGTGACGTAAGGAAATGTCGTAAAGCTTTCCTTTGGCTCTGTTGGAAAATCGAACTTCAGCTAACACGGCAAGCGGAATGTTGAACGCGATGCTGACGACCACACACACAGTAACTAATACAATGGTCATGCGCGCCGTCATTCGGCGTCGTAGTGGGTGACACACGGCCACGTAGCGATCTATGCTGATTACCGCGGTGAGGAAAAGGGACATGAAAGCGGGTGCCTGCTCTGCAAGTGATGACATCCGACACAAACCCGTCGTAATCAGTTTTGGGAAACCATTTCTGATAATGAAAACAGGCGTGAATAAGCAAGCGACGAAGTCGACTATCGCTTGAGCAATGATGAGGATATCCGTGCTTGTCTTCCGTTTCTTCCACGCGTAGGCTTGGATGATAACGGCATTTCCCGGGAGTCCGAGGACCAACACCATTATGTAATAGGTTAAATTAACAATGATGTTTTGGTTGACGTCGTCAAGGCCTGTCTCGTCGTCATCAGCTCTTCCAAGATGGCACTGACTATTCGATGTCCTGTTCATCATCATCATCAAACAATGATTCTATTATCTATATGATCAATGTCGTTTAATGCTCACAACCTGTCGGCAATTTTTTTTCGGACACAATTGTCAAAATTCCCACTAAGCTCCTAAATGAATCCGAAACCCTGAATGATCATCCAAATACGGATTATTATAGATTAATCGTTTTTTTTAAATCTGGTTTAAAAAGAAGGGGATCATCGGAGAAAATATCAGAATATAAGAGAGGATGACCAAAGCCCTTACTTACGGACTACCATAAATCTACTGGATTTGAATAACAGAATGGCAGCGACTATCAGAAGCGAAGCACTTTATATCTGAATAAACTGTCTAGGCAAAAAGCAGAGTTAATACTTGTTGTTGACATGTCCGTGATCGTACGACAACGGAAAAGTTAATGGGCTACGTTATCAAGATTGACACTGATTGGTATAATTGAGTAAAAGGGAAAATAATAATTTCCTGAAATGGGCAGGCTAGAGAGAGATAAAGAGAAATAGTGGGCGGGAGAAAGAGACATAGGGTGAGAGATGTGACCCTTGAGAGAAAGAAGGGAGATATGAGAGAGAGATAGTGAGAGTGAGAAATAGAGAGTTGGTAGTTGATGATAGATTTGACTCATTGGGGGAAAGAAGAGAGAGAGGAGAGAGAGAGAGAGGGAGAGAGAAATACAGAGTGAGTTTAGCAAAAAATTAAGAAAGTTATCAACTGGGGATATCCACAGTTGCCAGTGTATCTCCACTTAGAAGTTATGTAAACATAATTATCCCCGTTTCACACGTCTTACAACCCCCACACGCACAACACACACACACGCACACACGCACACACGCACATACGCACACCCTGAAACATGTGCGCACTTATATAAAGCTATTCAGGTTTCATGAGAAAAAATAAGTAAAAGAGAAAAGTCTATTAATTTTGTACAAAAGTTAACTTTACGAAAAGATTTAGTAGGTGATAACATATGTACAAAAATAAGGCATAAAACGCAAAACAATCTCTCTTTCTCGCTCCCCCCCCCCCCTCTCTCTCTCCTCCTTCTCCTCCTCCTCTTCTTCTCCTCATTTTCTTCACTCTCCCTCTCTCTCTATTGGTCTTACCTCTTCTTCGTCTCTCTCCCTTCCCTTTTCCTCTATCCATCTTCCTTCTTCTTGCACTTGCTCTATCTCCCTCTCTCCCCCTTTCCAATTTCAGGAGATGATCACTAAATTGGGTTCACCAGACCACGAACATACACCCTGTTATTGTTATCCGTACTATTCGGCAATTAGCTCTTAAAACGTTAACGCTGAATTTCATTCCTTTTAAATACGACCATGATATTGCTTACGGAGAACGAGGTTAGAGTTCATGCCTAGAAATTAGCACGACCAAGGTGTCATCGCTGTTTTGGTGATTCAGATAGAATTTTAAGTGGCTCTCTATTTTAAAAGGTTCGATACAAATTGAATGAGGTTGAATTGGGAGGTAAAAATGTTAAGCCAGATCCTACTTCAAATGTAGAAGCGTGGGTTAAGACCACTCCACAAACATCTACTGATTACATTCGTTGACATTAGTAGCGTCTGCATCAAATTAAAAAAAAACATGGAGGTTGGACCCATGATGTTTTTAGACGGTGAATATCGTCTATAAACCTCCAATGAGAGCGCATATAAGTCATGGTTCTTATCCGTAGCAATCATGATCATAATTGTAGCCACGTTTTTCGAAATTTGCAGTGCACTTTAGCTATAGATAAAACTGTAAGCCACATGAAGTGTTAATAGTCAATCGAATAACAATGACTCATTGCATTCACAAATAATTTTTTTTAATCAAACATGACAATAAGTAATAGGCCTAGTATATATTAACTGCTGTATTGATTACCAAATATCATAAATTCAACTTTCTTTTTCATACGTCTCTGTTTAATAATGAATTCAATGTTACTTAAGAAGTTCTAGACTACATTAACTAGAAATCTCGCTTCTTTGTTTTGTATGAGAAAGGGCAAACCACACTGATTGGAAGCTTAAGTCAGGACAATCGGTAGTTTGAAATCCTCTCATTAGGACGGGGGCTGCCCCCAGAAACTGTCCCTTGGTAACGACGCGTCGTATGAGAACTAGAAGAAGACGGGCAATTTCAGGACTTCGTGATCAAACACCGAGCTGTCATCAAATAAAGCGTTCTATAAAAAGATGATATTAAATGATAACACATAATTGATCGATGGAAGTAATTTTGGATTACAAAAATCTGATAAAATTATGGTATAACGAGTTGACGCCACTATTGATTGAAGGTTTGGGTGAAACCTGTTGAATTAAGGTTCTATTAAGACCGATTTCGATGCATCTATTTGAAATATTGTCGTTGAGAATTAAACCATTGATATCATTAACAGGAAACAGGGAACACATCAATTTGTGTGTACAGCCTAGTTTATATGACAGTTGTTATCGCGTATTAACGTTATTATAATCAAATACAGAATTTGTGATGAAGTCATTGCAATGTCTATACCAGATTTATAATAGATATATCACATTTCGAAGAAATGAGGTCTGATAAAATGAGGTATCAAACCCTTCAAACAAGCATGGTGAGGTTTTCATCATTAAACAAATGATGATGATAAAAGTGATATTTATGCAAGATCTGGCAGTTGGGATGTTGCCATTCATCGCATTTCTCGATTTTTGAAAATGGCATTGTCGGCCCGCCATAGAAGTAAGGGGGAAAGACGACAGGGATAAGGCACCATAAGAGTGGTAGACGGAACAGGGAGTGGGGAAACAAGAAGAAGAACATGGGGGAAAGAGAAAACGGGTAAGTCATAGAGATTGAGAAGGAAGAGGAGGAGGAGGGAATGGGGAGAGAGGAGGAGGAAAAAGAGGAGGAAGAGGAGGAAGAGGAGGAAGAGAAGGAAGAGGAGGAAGAGGAGGAGGAGGTTTAAAAGGTGGAGGAAAAGGAGGAGGGGAGGAGGGGAGGAGGGGGAGGAGGGGAAGGAGGGTTAGGATGAGGGGAGGCGGAGGGGAGGAGGAGGAGGAAGGAGGAGGAAGAGGAGGAGGGCGAGGGGGGAGGAGGGTTAGGAGGAGGGGGATGGGAGGAGGAGGAGGAGGAGGAGAGGGATGGGGGGAGGACGGGGAGAAGGTGGAGATAAGCAAAAGTATATGTGGGTGAAGAATAGTAAGGAAGGTGGAGAAGGATATCCTTTTTTCTATTCCAACGGTAAATTTTCAAATGACAAAAAAGACGTATTTTGTATGAGGGGCTGTGGGTAACAAAAATTATACAGCATGATAAAAGAACTTTAATTTTTATTTAAAAAAACAAAACTTGATAACTAATTTAAAGCTAGAGAACACGGCAGTGCCGATTGGGGGATCGATAAGATTTACCGTTTGGTTGCAGTAGCTTGGAAGGGTGAACCATCTATCAGGATCAGGTATTCCCACTGTCATGTTCAGAACTCCACTCGCAATCACGAAAGTAACTGCGATAAAATGAAAAAAATACCCGACAGTCTAAGCGGAATAGGGCTACAGAGTTATCTTTGGAAAATAGCGTCCGTGTTATACAATTGGATTGATGCCCGATATTGATTACTTGTCGGAAAAGATTCATTGATAAATTTTACCATCGTTTCCTTGTGGGCAGGATAATAATAATAATAGTAATAGTAATAATAATAATAATAATAATAATAATAATAATAATAATAATGATAATAATAATAATAATAATGATAATAATAACATTCCGTGTTTATATAGCGCTCAATACATCGATCCAAAGATGTGCCTAAGCGCTGTACAGATATATTATTACCCCGGTAATCGGATTCAGGCTTACCCGCACACAATGTGTGCACATTTTCCACTCCCTGGGGAGCATATCAGCCAGTCGCTACTTTACAAGCGCACACTTGCTCGTCCAACCACGTGAACTTTCGCATCCTACCGGGAATCTATTTAACACCTGGGTGGAGCGTAGCAAATGCAGGTAAATATCTTGCCAAAGTAAATTAGTGCCGTGTCGGGATTCGACCCCTCGGCTTTCGCATCTCCAGTCAAACGCCTAAACCACTCCACGTTTAATTTGTTTAGACCTACTCCTTTCCCACAAATATACATTAGAAATGAAACATTAATAATAAGAAAATAATCTTTAAAGACACAACCGTGCAATTCCATGTGATGCAAGCTATAATTGATATATAGTACATAAAGCATTGTTAATTACATGTTAATTGCATTAACGTTTAACAATGTCTTGCTTAGAAATTATCGTGGGACATTCCCTAATCTTTGACTTAACCATATTCGTCCACTCTAAAATGTCTTACTGATGAGTGATGGGGTATTCTACTGTCATTGGAATAGCCATGATGACTGCGCCATTCTGCAGGACACTCTTGTTACAATTGCAACGGTGCTGATACTCAACGTCAGTGCCACCGTTATTGCCCTTCCCGGAGGGTGTTTCACAAAGATTCTAAGTTGAACTTATCTCTAAGTTGGACTTAAAAATTATGGAAAGCCATTAGCACCTTTGAAAATATTTTGTAAAAGTTATTTTGAAAGGCATAAAATGTTGATTCAAATCATTCATATTTTTTATCATCAAGAAGATTTCATGTTCTTGATGTGGAATTTATAAAAAAAAGTCTGAAATACTTGAATTTTTGCTTATGAATAATTACATTTTAAGGCTCCAATGGCTGTCCATAATTTTTAAGTCCAACTTAGTGTTAAGTTCTACTTAGGATCTTTGTTAAACACCCCCCTGAAGTCATTAGAACACCCTACTTAATGTTAAGCCAATGATGTCTGCGCCATTCTGCAGGACATTCTTGCGGCAATTGCAACGGTGAAGATACTCACCGTCAGTGCCACCATTGTTGACCTTCCCAAAGATGGAACCTCCTGTAGGTAGGCAAGATCCATGCACCTGGTTGAGTGCTACGACCCCGTCCAGAGGGTCCTTGGGACTGGAGTAGGTATAGGACCAGGAATCCACTAACAAGCCTTGGTTGCCTCCCAAGAAAAAGGTTGTTGATAGCACGGCTTGATCTAGTTTCAGCGATTTAAACAAAAGGAGAAATCACATCATCCGTCGATAAACATGATATAGGCCTACAAGATGTATGAGGTTTGTGAACGACGGAGCAGCATATGAGTTTAATTCGAGTGTTATTAAGAGTAAACTAGCTTGAATGTAAAATACAGATTATGTAAAATCGTGTTTTATGTGCCAGAAAATATGGGTATCATGTATGAATATAATATGAGTAAAATGACATGTTGCAAGACTGATCAGTCATATCAAATTTATATTAAAATGAAATTAAATAAGTAAAGGTTACAGTCGTCGCTATTTACCCTGCTATGTGTCTGGAAGGGAACCATTGACCTGGAGTGTTTAATTGATCATCTAATAAATCTCATCTTTAAACTTCTTTATTTTCTAAATAGTGTTCCCTACTTTTCCTCGTTCATCTACCTCCCTCTCACCCTTCTCTTGTCTCTTCACCCTTCTCTCTCTCTCTCTCTCTCTCTCTCTCTCTCTCACACACACACACACTATTTTCTCTTTCGTCATGACTTACTTGGGACGCAGGCACTTGGTTCTGGTTGGTAGGCTTTCCTCTTAAGACAGCTCTGTGTAACTTCATGTATGATCCATTCTGTATCCTGCCAATCAAAACAGCGCGAAACGTATATCTCCAATGATGCGTAGAATATAAAATGTTAACGTGAATGGAATTGAATCCCGGAAATTAAACAAAATGTTGTATTGGAATTCCGTTTGCTAGTTAAAATGTCAGTTTCCTCTTTCGATGAATCTTATGAATATTGTTAATTAGTGTAATACAATTTGACTGTTGTAGATGTTCCTATAATCGCCCTTTTACATGTTTTAGATGTTTTATACATGGCCTACGATGGTGGAGTTTATATAAAAATGTAATGCGTTGAATTGTTGATAACATCATCAGAATTGATGATGATCATCACCACCACCACCACCACCACGCCAACACCCCCAACACCACCACCAGCACCCGTCATCAACATCATCATCATCATCGCCATCGTTCTTCTCATCCTTAGTATCACTATAATCGTTCACTCTCTCTTCTCCTTCTCCTCCTCCTCCTCCTCCTTCTCATCACCACCTTTAATCATCATACATTCGTATATTTTTCAGGGATCATCTCCCTAACAGAAGGTACAGTCACCAAACCCAACTCCTTATTTCTCTCTTCCGCTCCCACTGCCCCTACCCCTCCCTCTCTCTCTCTCTCTCTCTCTCTCTCTTTTTCTCTTCTTCTCTCTTCTCTCTCCCTCTCTTCTCTCTAGTTTTCTATCATTCCTCTGTCTGGCAGTCAGTCTGTCTGTCGATTAGTCTTGTTCTCTGTATTTCTTTCTCTTTTCTGTCTTAACCTCCTATCCTTTTTATTCCCCTCTCTCTCTCTCTCTCTCTCCTCCTGTCTCCCCTCTCTTTCTATCTCTCTCGCTCTCCTCTTACCTCCCCCTGTTCTCGCTTTTGTTCTTACCTGATCGTATTTCTGGACGACACGGTAGTCGTGCGAGCTTTTACCGTCGATGCGGTCCACATTTATGTTGTAACCGAACCGCCGATTGGTATAGTCGAAGGCACCATAGGCATATGTGTAGTACCCCTGCGGTCCGCTATTTTGTATTCCTACTGTGGCGCCTGTGAAGATGAGAAGAAGTTTTTAGCCATGCTGGTTTGACTTGAATGACACATTCTAATATAAGTTAATTTTAATTTCAAAGTCTTACTAATTATTACTGTTGATTGAAATACAAATATACAGACTATTATCACGTTGTCCTGATCCGTGAATAGGGACTTTTAGATTTGTGTGGACTGATACGTGTGACGTCCATTCAAGGCAGTGCATTAAAAGGACGTCGACCGTAGCAATCCAAGTTGTCGTTGTGCAAATCTAAAAGTCCCTACCGCCGGTCAAGGCTGACTCACTATTTTGGTAGGTTTACACGTTCCCGCAATCTATCGAAATAAAACCAATAATTGCATTGGTTAATATTGTGTTCTGCTGCAAATATAAATTCTATGTCAACAACACATTTACAAACACTGCCATCGCATGGCACTACCACTACCACCGACGAAATATTTATTGACCCCTCCCCACCACCATCGCCAAGACCACCACCACCACCATCACCACTACCACCACCATCACCAACACCACTACCACCACCATCACATGCACCTCCTTCACTGCCACCGCCAGTCATCATACCATTTCCAGTCATGATCTGCATCGGTCCACAGCAAGGTTTCTGGGCACTCGCCACAGTCAGGAGGAAGAGGGCGGAAAACGCTATTAGCTTCATGTTTTCGGTTCTGTAATGTCAAATTGACAAATAGAAAAATATTAAACAAACGAATTCTAAGGACACCGAAAAATAAGGTGTGTATGCATCAAATCACCATAGTGTCATACTTTATGATATTCAAGCTGTTGATTCATGTTATTCGATGAGGACCCCGATGTTTCAAGGTATAAGTAACATGTAGACCTACTATTATTGCCAACGGCGACTCACAAATGCAATATATTACGTTTCCAATTAGGTGCAATGTATAACCAATCTAAAATGTATAATTGATTGGAAAAATAAGGTAAGGGGAAGAAGAAAAAAGGCATCTTCGATGAAGAAGGAAACGTGGGATGGGCGCTATAACAGAATGGAAAAATATAGGATAATAAAGAGAAAAAACAAAATATATTTTGGTTTTGAACATTTTAAACGACAAATAAAGCAAAACATGTCTAAGAGCATGAACAATGAGACAATAATTGCATGGAAATAATTAATGGATAAGAACATTCAATATACTTGTTGACTTCATTGCTATGCTAATGAAATAGGCCAGCCAGCAGAAACTGCTCGCAAAAAATTGCAAGCTACTTTTCACTTATATTATGTTCAAGGGCAGTTGCAGGGGAAAAATAAAAGCGCTTTACTCACCGAATAACTTCTTTGAGGAGTAAAAACCTATCAATTTTAGTCTTGTCAACGTTGTCCTTTGGATAACACCAGTGGAACTCTGTATCCAAAAAGATAAATTCCGGCGATATTTATACCATAATTGCCCATGACCTGTCTCATAAGGCTGTATTCTTTGAATGAGAGAATAATCTATTTTTGTGACTGCAAGTAACTTTAATTTAATGAATTACCGTTCGACAATATAATCACCATCACAAGACAGAATACAGCCAAAGTCCAATATTGTTGACCTACAGGGTCAGATAATATAGTGTTATATTTTATTTTTAATTTAATATTTAACCACGCGGTACAAGGACAGGACCACACCCGCTCAAAATGGTGATACCAGGTACCTTAAATTTAGAGAATGACGAGAGCATGAAGAGTCGCTCGATTTTTTTTTCAGAAGGGGTGGGGTGGGGGATAGAGGGGGGTGGTCATAAGAGGTGTCAACTACGGCTACCTACTCATCAAGTCGGTAAATATTAGCTAACCTACATATCCATGTACGTATGCACATAATATACACGTTGATCATTTTGTGAATATCAACTATACCGTCAAAAGCATGAACTAAAATAACTCGCCTGAATGTTGTCTTAATACTGACAGACATTAAATTACTTTTGTAGATAATATATTGTCAGTTATTTGGAGGGGTTTCGTAGTCGAGCTGTTTTAGCACTTGACAGGACATGCAAAGGTCGTGGGTTCGTTCTCCGCCAAGGCACTAATGTCTTTTGGTAAGGCATTCATCTACATTTGCCACTCCATACCCAGGAGAGCAATGTGAAACGATGAAAGCCTTTGTGATAGAAATCGACATATTTCCCTACGGTGACCACATGGTAGTAAAAAATGTGCGCCCTCTGCAACAAAACTCAACTACCCCTTTAAATAAAGCTCCTCAAAATATGAAATAGGCCTAATTGGCACAATAGACTGTTGATTGCGAAAATATTTTCTGCAGCATATTTCATGTAAAAATGAATAGTATTATCTTTATTTCCTGATCTAGAAACAAAATTCGATAACCAGGCCAGAGTCACCTCTGCAGTCGAGATTCCAGGTTTATAACTTCTGCTACATTGTCAACTCTTTCTCTCTCAGTCTCTGTCTGTCTGTCTGACCACCCCCCCCCCCCCCCTCTCTCTCGGTTAACTGCTCATGCACGGAGAATATGACATCACTTCTAAATACAGAATCCCTTAAAGTTGCGTGATTCCAGTTTTATAATAGCGGATGCGGTCACTTCATGCGAGACTTCAATCAATATAAGATCGAAAATATTAACATGGAATATATTGCCCTTATTTTTCCTCCGCGAAACAAATGGAATGTCGACTTTGAACTCAGATAGTGTCACACGTACAAGACTCCTCGGCAGCGGTTCACGAAATCGTCATGAGTAGGTCTGCAGTTCGCCGATACCATTGGATCGCGTGTTTATACAAAACACGCGTTTCAAAGGAACGTCGGGGAAATTGCACCTATCACGGTTTTTGTTTAATTGAATTTATTAAACCATATGAACATATAGAAGCAAAGCATACTTTAGAAAATAGAATACATAAAACATACAAAATACAATGCAAATATATTGTCAGGAAGGTCCAAAGAAGCAAATTTTTCCTAAAAAGGCCACCTACAATAAGCAAATTAAATAGAATATAATTTAGTCACCATTCCCCACACACGCGCGCGCACACACACATACACACACGCACACCCCCGCATATACGCCCTAACACTCTACACCCTTGTGTTAATATTACAGGGTGGGAACACATGTTATAGGATGTGTGTGTGTGTGTGTGTGTGTGTGTGTGTGCGTGTGCGTTTGAGTTTTATTTATTTTCTAAAAAGCAACCACATTTCGTAAGTTTATACCTTTTACTCTCCAAACTGTTCTATACCCGAGGGTATTTTGTCAATAAACCGAAGTTATTAAATGGTTTTAAATAGATTCAACAAAGGATACCCTACAATCAGGATTAAAATATGGTTTCCGCACCTCATCTTTTTGATCGTTCAGCGCCAATAGAACTTTATCCTTTCACTTTTTTGGATTAAGAGCAGAAAATGAAAGGAAAAAGGAACACACTTTTAGGAAACCCGTCTTGTTCGGTTTATGGTCCATGCAGAGCAGACAAATTAATAAGATATTTCATTGCATAGATTATATAAATATATATACAGATATTGACTGGCAGGGGGTGTAATATAACATTATTTGGACCGTTGAAGGGAGTTATATTTTCCCAAGTGGTTATATTTTCCCGAAGCGCCCAACGCTGAGGGAAAATATGGGCACGAGGGAAAATAACTATCTTCAGGTCCAAAGAATGTTATATTACATCCCCTGCCAGTCAATATCTGTTATATTAGATAGTCTTGGTTTGAAAATTTAGGGGGTCGGGTCCATTTTTTGTTGCCCGAAAATGTTTCCATTTTTTTTCGGAGACAAACAAAATTATAGAAAGAAATTGTGAGAAAAAAATACTTGAGATAATTCGGGAAAAAAATACCTTGAAAAATAAAAAACTCTTTGACGTCTCCTCTGAAACTGTTGTTGACCAAATAGTAGACGAAGAAGTTGACGATGTGGTTAAGGAGTGTGAGAGCAAAGAAGATCTGGATAACTGCCAAATATCTTGGAAATCGACCAGCTCTAAGAACAGCCTTACGTGGAATGACCGGAACTATAACTTTGGGAGTCCACGTGATGAAAAAGAATATCGTTATGATAAGGATCGTTATGATAACACCAAAGACGTAAGAGCCATAAACAAAACACAGGCTTCTTCCAAGACGTCTGAAGTGACGAGATTCAGTAAACACCGCAGCTGGGATGATACTCATGGTAGAAACCACCGTACACAGTATCGCAATGAAATGAACATACGTACATTCATTCGTCGTCGTAATGGACGACACACAGCCATGTATAGAGATCGATGCTGATTGCTGTGGTCAGATAAAGTGAGATGAAAGCCGCTGCATTTTCGGCGAGAGATGCTGCTTTACACAAATTTTCGGTCGTCAGCTCTAGAAAATGCACTGCGGAAGATGAAGACAGGACAGCATACACAAGCGACGAAGTCGACTGTCGCTTGAGCCATAATGAGGATATCCGTGCTCGTCTTCCGTTTTTTCCATGCGTAGGCTTTCATGACGACACCATCGTATAATAGGTTAAGTTAACAGCAGTAGCAGTATCTTGGTCCTAAATCTTATAGTTTTCTTCAGATGTAATCAAGTCATTAGCTGAGTCGTTCATAGCTGTGAACAAAGTGTTCAGTTCTGAAGCCGAATTCATGTAGTATGGCATGTTTTATTTCTCTCTTACCTCATTTTCTGTCTGATTTGAAATAATGTCCTACAAAGGGCCTACCTTCGGTTAATTTCTTGACATTTTGAATCGGAAAAACCAACGAACCAGCGCTCAGCACTCCTTGTTCATCTCCGTCAGCGGATCAACCGATGATCTCAGCCGAACTTGGGTCGAGTTGCCTGAGTTATTATCTGGGCACAAATGATCTTGTCCATGGATATTTCGCTACTTGCGTCAAGATTCGGGAGAGCTTGCCATTGGGAGCAGTGAGGAAATGAAAAGGCTAACATTATTACGGAGAAAGTAAGTAAAATGAGGTAGCAAACATGAGAAGGATAAGGAGAGAGAGAGAGTGGGAGAGAGCGCGCAACAAATAAGGATATGTTCGTTTCCTGATATTTAATGGGATCCATTAAGTGGTACCATTGTTAATTGCGTGTATCCTTAAAACCACTTAAAGGTAATACAAAGTTTTGGTATGGGGTCATGAATTTTGTTCAAATGAACATATTGGAACTATATGCGATCCTACAATATTCCGTGATCGTTGTCGCGGTTAAAATCGAGTCTAAAATTATGAAAGAATTTGTAAACAATTAACTCTTTATGTTGTATAGCTCCCTCTTAAAGTCAAGATATTGATTAAGCTATCAAACAATGTTTCTTGACTAAAATCGACCGATTAGCTATTCCCGTTTGGAAATTATATATCACAACTACATATTGTGAGATTTTCATGGTCGCAGCTACCATTGTACGGCCGTAGGCACCGGTAAATTTGTTTATATTCAATTTTTCTCGAAAACAGAAGTGTTTTAGGGGCTAGATTTTCTAGTGCTTATAATACATCCACAGGGGCATCCAAATATATCAAAATTGTTAAGAATCACTATCCACCCAATTTTTAATATGCATTTAAGTGACAACGGCTTGTATTCACTGGTAAAGACACCTGGGCCGGTATTCAATTCAATTCAATACTTAGCATAAGTAAGAAATTTACTAAGTAAATGGCTAAGTTAAGTAATTTACTTATCTCGTATTCAAATCGCATTATAGACTTATACTTACGTAAGTCAAAATTTAAGTAAAATACTTACTAATAAGCATTGTGACGTCACACGGTCAATCAAAAGTAATGCGCAATTGATGCATTGCAATAAATGCGCGCTGATATAATTGTGCGCGGGATATGAATGGACAATAGGGTTAATTCACCCTCTTTATAAGAAGAAAGGAAATCCTAATGATCCGAACTACTATAGAGGAATAACAAGTTGTCTTGGCAAGCTGTTTACAGCAGTCTTGAATGAGCGACTTACGTCTTATCTCGAAGATAATGAATTGCTAGGTGATGAACAGGCTGGTTTTCGAAATGGTCATTCAACGCTTGATCACATTTTTGTTCTTCATTCAGTGATCGATTTATATCTCTCTTCAAAAGAGAGGGTTTATTGTGCCTTTATTGACTACAAGAAGGCATTTGATTTGGTTGACAGGAGTTCTCTTTGGAATAAATTACTTAAGAATAATGTTGATGGAAAGTTTTTCAAAGTAATTAAGCATATGTATGCTCAGGCTAAGTCATGTGTAATTTCTGGTACAGAAAAGTCTTCTTCATTTGATTGTAACATTGGTGTGCGACAAGGAGAAAATTTGTCTCCGATGCTATTTGTCCTTTTTTTAAATGACTTCAAACAATTCATTTGTGAAAAGTTTGGAGGCATACATATTCTTCCTGACAAGATTGATGCAGCTGCGTATCAAAAAGGTATAGATGTATATCTCAGGCTTTTTACATTACTGTATGCAGACGATACAATAGTTCTTGCAAAAACTGAAAGTGAACTTCAGCTTGCTCTTGATGCAGTATCTGATTACTGTAAAAAATGGTTTCTTCAAGTTAACACAGCTAAAACCAAAGTTGTTGTATTTTCTCGTGGTAAAGTTCGAAAAATTCCTATATTTAAATTTGATCATGATATTGTAGAAGTTGTTGATGAATACGTCTATCTTGGAACTACTTTTAACTACAACAACAAATTTCGTAAAGCTCAAATTAAGCAACTTAATCAAGCTAGACGAGCAATGTATAGTCTATTATCTAAAACTTATCAACTGCACTTACCTATTGATATCCTCTTGGAATTATTTGATCAACTTGTGTTGCCCATTCTGCTCTATGGAAGTGAGATATGGGGATTTGAAGTGCTACATGATCTTGAAATTTTCCACATGAAATTTTGTAAGCAAGCCCTTTCTGTCAACAAAATAACTGCAAATTGTATGGTACTTGGTGAATTGGGGAGGCTTAAACTTGAGAAATATATCGAAAGCAGAATGATAAACTTCTGGTGTAGGATTGTACATAGTGGACAGGATAAATTTTCTGGTAAGGTGTATATTTTCTTAAAATTACTCTTTGAGAAAAATATATATCAGGCACCTTGGTTAAAAAAAATCAAGCTGACTCTGGACAATATGGGGATGTCTAATTTATGGGAAATTTGTGAAAATACTAGCTATGAGTGGGTCAAACAAACTGTGGAACGTCGATTGAGAGATTCTCAAGCTCAGTATTGGTCTGCTTGTATGTATGATAATTCGTATTGTGTTAACTATCGAATCTTCAAACATTCTTTATGTTTAGAAAGATACTTAATCGATCTCATTAAAAGAGATCGGACAATATTAAGTCGTTTTCGCTGTGGCAATCATTACCTGCCGATTGTAGCTGGTAGATATTCAAATACTCCAAGGGAAATGAGGCTATGTACGCTGTGCCATTTGCAATCGCTTGGGGATGAGTTTCATTACTTGTTTGTATGCCCTACCTTTCGTTCAGAAAGAAAATTGTTCATCGATAAATATTTTATTGAAAGACCAAATACACTGAAAATGGATCAGCTTTTTAACTCCAATAATGTACAAACACGGTTAAACTTAGTAAAATTCTGTCGAAAAATAATGCTTCGTTTTCATTAATTTAAGTATGTGCAAAAACATGTTATGAGTTCAATATTAACTTTATGTTTCTCTTTTTTGTCTTATATCAATTTATTAAATTGATATCAAGAATATTTTCAGTAATTCATTAATTCAGATATCAATTTACTGGTGCCAGTAAATTTCTTTTTCAATTGCTTCCATTAATTTCGTCATTAATTATCGTTTTAATTAATATTATCGTTTTGTTTTTGATTATTATTATTATTATCATCATCAATATTGTTATCATTATCATCATAATTTTTCTCACTATTGTCGATAGTGTTATTTTGTATGGATTAACATTAATTTTATTTGTATTGTATATTTCACAGTGTTTAATTGACAAATTCAAACTGATTGTAAACTTCTCCAATACCCCAATGTGGGTGACATGAGAATAAATTGTCATTGTCATTGTCATTGTCAACACTGCGTAAGAAAACCATATGCCTGCCAATCAAGGCCACCAAATAGTTGGCTTAAGTCTGGTATGCAGTTGGCTTAGATTGAAAGTAAAATACTTACACAAAAGTGTGAATTGAATACCAAAATTGGCTAAGTATTTTATGTAAACCAAATACTAAGTAAAAAGCTTGAATTTTGTACTTAAGTATTGAATTGAATACGGGCGGCTAAGACACTCTATAAATCAAATTATTATCATCATTAAAGATTAAGATTTTACTCGATTCAAGGTTACTAGTAAAAAAAAAAAACATCCTCGCAGCTGGATGGCTAAATTGTTACAATTATTTACAGCATTATCACTATCATCATCATCATCACCATCATCATCATTATCATCATTATCATCATATCATCATCATCATCATCATATCATCATCATATCAACATCATCATCACAACATCATCATCAACACTATCATCATCATATCATCATCATCATCATCATCATCATAATATCATCATCATCATCATCGTATCATCATCATCATATTATCATCATATCATCATCATATCGTCATCATCATCATCATATCATCATCATCATCACCATCATATCGTCATCATCATCATCATCATATCATCATCATCATCATATCATCATCATCATCATATCAACATTATCATCACCATCATATCTTCATCATCATCATCATCATATCATCATCATCATATCATCATCATCATCATCATCATCATCTCATCATCATCATCATCATCATCATATCATCATCATCATCATCATCATATCATCATCATCATCACCATCATATCATCATCATCATCATCATCATCATATCATCATCATTAAATCATCATCATCATCATCATCATCATCTTATCATCATCATCATCATATCATCGTCATCATTATCATCATCATCATATCATCATCATCATTATCATCATCATCATGTCAACACCATTATCATCATCATCATCATCATCATCATCATATCAACATCATCATCATCCTCATCCTCATATTAACATCATATCATTATCATCATCATCATCATGGGTCCAGGACTGTGGGGAGTGGGGGAACAAATATTGACGAATTGCTTTTATTTCACAGTGAATTTGAAGTTGACAATCTTTAATAGTCAATGACACAGCTAAAAGCTAATACAGGTGTACATCTTAAATCTAAAAATTAAACATACAACATTTAAAATATATGTAATAGAACGACGCAAGATAGGCAAATATATAAATTATTGTAAAATTATTGAATGAAATTGATTTTAAAAGGGTACAATTGATAAGTTTATAAAAATAGTAATAAAATCAAGTAGCCTTGAGTAAGAAAAATTAAACGGAATAAAGGGGTTCCTAGCAAATGCAATACATTTAGATCATAATAATAATAATAATAATAATAATAATAGCCTAATAGTCCACTCCAAATTTTATTAAACCGAAACGGAAATTCTTTTTGCCCAATTGATCGTGAGCCCGGCAGCCACTGAGCATATACATATGCAAATACATATGCATATACATATGCATATGCATATACATATGCAAATACATATGCATGTATTTGTATTACCACGTCAAATCTGAACTCGAGCTGCGGTTTTTTGTAATTTGTAACTTTTTTATTTATTCAGACAGTGCTGTACTGTTCAAGAGAGCAAAGTATCATCATCAGGTTCGCCATAGATATTTATCGTCCCCTAGTAACAGACTAAGTTCCTTGTTTGGACTTTCATAAAAGTCTTCTAAAAGCTTTCTCGTCTTGGGAAGCATATCTCCAATCGCATGTAACCCGACCTTGTTGCCGTTTTGCAATTTCTTCTCGCAAAATTGCGCTATCGTCTTACCGGACTTCTTTTCTGCAAAGGAAATAGAGATAAAACATAGAAGATGAAAGTAAAATCTAATCGTGGAATATTCATTGGTGAATACTATTATTTACAAAAGAGACATGATACAACAATATCAAAAGCGAGTCATTAAAGGGGTGACGGTTCCAGTAACAGCGAGTGACGACTCCAGAAGCGGCGGGTCATTCATAGGGTGACGATTCCATCCAAGGTGATATATTCGGCAGTGCCTCCAGTTTAGTCTTGTCATTAATAGGATGACAAATAAAGTCATCTTATGATGACGACTTCAGTGAAGGCAAGGCAATTTATAGGGTGTGGAATTCAGTCCACGCAAGTCATAGGATGACGACCTAATTCAATGACAGTCATTTATAATGTAACGACTTCATTCAAGGCGAGTCATGTTTGGGTGACGATCCTAATAAAGTCGAGTCATTTTAGGGTGACGCCTCCGGTCAAGTGAAATCACTTTAGGATGACGACTCCAGTCAAGTCAAATCAAGTTAGGGAGACGGCTCAAGTCAGGACGAGTCATTTTAGGAAGACGACTCCAATCAAGTCAATTCACTTTAGGTTGACGACTCCAATCAAGTCAATTCACTTTAGGTTGACGACTCCAATCAAGTCAATTCACTTCAGGTTGACGACTCCAATCAAGTCAATTCACTTTAGGTTGACGACTCCAATCAAGTCAATTCATTTTAGGATCACGACTCCAATTAAGTCAATTAACTTTAGGTTGACGACTCCAATCAATTCAATTCACTTTAGGTTGATGAATCCAATCTAGTCGAGTCATTTTAGGGAGACGACTCCGGTCAAGTCAAATCACCTTCGGATGACGACTCCGATCAAGTCGAGTCAATTAAGGGTGACGGCTCGAGTCAGGACGAGTCATTTTAGGGTGATGACTCCAACAAGTCGAGTCATTTTAGGGTGACGATCCTAATAAAGTCGAGTCATTTTAGGGTGACGACTCCGGTCAAGTGAAATCACTTTCGGATGACGACTTCAATCAAGTCGAGTCAATTTTAGGTGACGGCTCGAGTCAGGACGAGTCATTTTAGGGTGATGACTCCAACCAAGTCGAGTCATTTTAGGGTGATGACTCCAGTCAAGTCAAGTCACTGTAGGGTGACGACTCCAATCAAAGATGACGGCTCGAGTCAGGACCAGCCATTATAGGATGATATCTCCACTTATGTCGAGTCATTTATAGGATGACAGGCAATTTGATTGTTGAAGTCCGGGTCACATTTTACACACCTATTTTTACTATCAAGACCTTCCCTTGGAAAACGTCTGATTCGCATATACCATGCATCCGTCTCAAATAAATCACCACGAATGGAGAGGAAAGTAACATGCTTACCCAGATTAAGAAAATCGAATACTTCTGGGAGGAGTCCAGTGCAATTGATATGCCAATCTTCCAATCTCATGATTTTGAGCTGATCACGTGGGTAGACCCTGAACCAATCACGAACGTAGACGGCGTAGAGGCCTACAAGGAGCCGCTGTGTGGGTGAGAGATAATAGAAAGACAAACATATCGTACTTTTAATTATGTGGTTCATCTGATATTGGCTCCGGGCTTAATTCGTTAAAGGTATAGGGGTTGTGATTGCACTTGAGTTTCTGGTTAGGCTAAAGGGCAATCCAACCCTTGATATAACTTCAGGGGTATGAAAGCAGAAAAATAAGAGCATAATAGAATGACTGAATAAATCAGGCTAACAATGAGGGAGTTGTGCATGTTTGAAATGCGAGATCACTAAATCCATGCGAATCTCAAATTGGTTTGTGCACCATATCGAACGAAGAGAAAACAAGATGAGAGAGAGAGAGAGAGAAAGAGAGAAAGGGAGAGAGAGAGAGAGAGAGAAAGAGAGGGGGAAAGGGGAAAGGTAATATCAAAGTTTGCAGGCACAACCCTCGTCAGCCTTTGTTAAAAGTGTCTGCATTGTGAGACTATGCTGACGGGATAAAGGATAGGCTCTGTACTTTGGCAGCTCCAGACTGAAACAGCCAGTGACTGGCAGAGCTTAGATCCGCTTAGGGCTTCAATAATTTTCGTAACGTTTCATACTCGAGTCAGTGCCTCCAGACTCCGCTAAATCGACCCTTGGCTATATCTGTAAAGCGCTTTGAGAGGGCCTTCGGTCCTGAAAAGCGCTATATAAAGAACTAGCTTTTATTATTATTATAACAATGTTACAAGAAGGGCCATATCTCACAGTATGTAAAGGTTGGTTATCAATCTGTTTTATGCTGTATGTGCATCCCCGAAAGCTCATCGTTTGCAGACACGTGTTGAATCTGTCTATCACTTCCACAACCATTGTATGGAAATGATCAACACTGACTATGTGTATGGGGTTGAAATATAAGTAATCGGAGTACACCCTGAAATGAAAACAAGGAACAAAATTGAGTAAAATTCAATCCAGTTCGCCTTATTCCACATTTCACCTTTCACGTTAGACATCGTCGGTTTTTTGTACAAGAGATACGGTGATAATTATTATTAATGTGAACATTTGCAATGCACTGTCTGTCAAAATTGACAGTTCTTGGGGTGTTTCACAAAGATCCTTAGTTGAACTCATCTCTAAGTTGGACTTAACAATTATGGAAAGCCGTTAAAATTAATGAAAATATTTTGTAAAAGTTATTTTAAAAGGCATTAAGTATAGACCAGTTCTGGTCATGCGATTGCATTGTGAAAGAAACATTGTGGAATCGATCAGAAAAGATTGATCATCTAGCGTATGTGTGTACCGCAAGATTCTAAAATCATCAAAATGATAAGAAATTTGGCTCAGTTTTGTTACAGTACCAAGCACTGTAGGCTACACAAAAATATGTATATGGGACTACGCGATATCTATCCAGGCCGGATCAATATGATAATTTACCAAATATATCACTTAGTAGGCGGTTTCCCGGCAAAATTTGTATCATCACGTATTTGTCAAAACATATTCTTTTACATAACAGCTTCCATTTCATATTTTGAGAGGGGACGTTTCCAAAACTAGTCTATACCTTTAAATGTTGATTCAAATCATTATAAATTTTTTTTATCAAGGAAATTTCATGTTCTTGATGTGGAATTTATAAAAAGTCTGAAATACTTGATTTTTCGCTTTTGAAACACTCCCCTGGCGTCATTGTGAGGAAAGATAATTTGAATAGACATGACTTGCCAATTAACGACTCATTAATGAAAATGAGGTTATTATTATAATGATGTTGATGGCCTTATGTTATTATAATATGTAATACTATTATTATCATTCTTATTGTTATTATGATAGATACCTATCTACAGGATTGCGAAGAATGACGATCAGCTTGGCGTCCGGTTGGGCTACATTAATGACGTCAGCGGTGACGTATTCTGGACCTTCATAGCGTTTTCCATCCCATGTATCCCACAAACTGTTGTCCCAGAAGGTCGACGCGGAGCCGTCACCTTTAATGTTTAAAAATATGATGATAATAATAAGAGTAATATCAATAATAACAATAATAATGATAATAATATCTATATTAATGATGAAAATTATAATGGCAATAGTGAAATCATACTAATATTAATAATAATAATATGATATAAATAAATACAATAATAATAATAATAACAGTGATACTATCAGCGCTCAAAATACACGGGGGCGGTGGGCGATTTGCCCCCGTAAGCTGCAAAATCGCCCCCGTCAGGTTGCTCACGGGGGCGATTGCAAAATTAAAAATCGCTCCGGTGGAATTATAAAATAAAGATAATCTTTTCTGTTATAACTTTAACACAATATTGAGTTTCAATTTTCAAACCTTAAACCAATGAAATGGAACTAAGATTAGCGTGCAAGATTTCTCGTTTCATGAGTAGGCCTATTATTACCGATTCAGCTCGCAGTGCAGTGCCGCCGTCAGCAGTGGTTATAGGCCTACTGCGCCGTTAGTAGCGGTGCGTGTGCACGCTGCCGCGCCATGTCTGCTGTAGCTGGAGGCGATCGGGAAAGGGCAGAAACATGGTCATGGCCTGGAGAAGTTTTTCGTTGTCAGCAAATAATGAACCTCGACCAGTAAATCAATATTAGGGACTTTTAGATTTGCACGATGAGAACGTGGACTGCAACGCGTGACCTCCTTTTAAGGTCACTGCCAGTGCTTAAAAGGACGTCACATGTGATTGCCAGTGCCTTAAAAGGACGTAACACGTCCACGTCCACGTCCACGCAAATCTAAAAGTCCCTTTTGAGGAGAAGAGGAAGACCAAAATGTCGTGGAATCAGGGGCGGCGATTTCTGTTAATGACCGGGGGGACGAAATGCGAATTTTTTTTACGAGGATGTTATGCGAGGGAGCGTAGCGACCGAGCGAAAAAAAAATTGCAATTTTATTAGTCTAAACGCTGCACTCTTGGGCCTTCCAGAGCCTTAAAGTGTGTTGCAGTCATTATTCAGTATATGCTATATAATGTGGGGTTGTTTAGCTGTATGGTTAGTACTCAAATGAAGACACATAGAGAAACATCAGAGTTAGGTTGCAATCCAGCATGCCTGGTTATATTGTGTATAGAAGAGCCCATACACCACAGTGTACATTAACTGTGTGTATGTGTGTATAGCATGTAGCATTGAGTCAATGTATAAGATCACATATTACATGCTATACAATTTGTTTTGCACTTTTTCAAATTCCCAGGGGGGACGATCCCCCCCCCCCCTAAAAAAATTGAGGGGGGGGGGGCCCCCGTGAGACAAAAAATTAATTTGAGCCCTGGATACTATTACTACTACAACTAATAATAATAATGAAAGTTAATAATAATAATTATCCTTGCTTATATAGCGCCTAACACTTACTTCATCAGAAGTCTCTAAGCGCTCTACAATAATTCAGCATAATTACCCTGGATTTAGCAGTGCAGCTGTTACGCGCGATGCGTTTCAAGGAATAAATTCCTACCAGGTACCCATTTACTTCACCTGGGTGGAGTGTGGCAAATGAAGATCAATGTCTTGCCAAAGGACATTAGTACAAGTTAATTAAATTAACCATTAGGAATGGTCCCGAAAGGATTGGAAGCCTGTATCACCAAGACTTTTCCCTATCTTATTATTCATTCAAGTAGACATCTATTTTCTAAATGTTTCTCATGTTCGAATATACACAGTGAAAATAATTTACAGGTGGAAACAGTTGTAAAAAGCAAACGCCTGTGGCGAGAGTGCGGTAAACAATAACATCATGTCAATACATTTTACATCAGGCGCGTACGCAGGGGGGAGGGGGTATTATTATGTGAATAAACCCCCTAAAACCCCCCTAACCCCCCCCCCCCCACCTTTGTTTTTTTTTTGTTTTTTAATAATAAAAAAAAAATAAATAATAATTAAAAAAAAAATTATTCCCATGGCTGACCTAAAAAAGGCGACCTTACCCCCCCCCCCCCCCCCCCCCCAACGGAGCAAAATGTCAAATTTTCAAATTTCGAGACCAAAAAAAAAAAAAAAAAAGTGTCCTCGATCTTACCCCCGCTTATTCAGCGGCCGGCTGAGTCGTTGCGATTTTTTGGGACAAAAAAAAAAAAAAAAGGTGTCCTCTTACCCCCCCCCCCCCCCGCTTATTCAGCGGCTGGCTGAGTCGATGCGAAATTTTCGGCCCGATTTAAAAATGTTAAACCCCCCCCCCCCCCTTGAAAAATCCTGCGTACGCGCCTGTTTTACATACAGATTAAACATGGCCCAAAACAATGAATAAGATTAAGAATGGGTGAAAAGAACTAGGACATACGAACACACACACACAAAGGACAGACAACGACACAAAACAAGAAGAAGTGACGAAAGGAAGAAACCCACAGATCACATGTCACACATAAGAAACTAAATATTTAGTTTTTATATCTTGATTTAAAACAACTCAGAGACAAAGATTCTGTAACATTTGATGATAAGCAGTTCCAGCTTTTTGGGGGCAGAATATATTGATGGCGGTTTTTGTGAAACGCTGCCCTGATTTTTATTACACTTACCGATAATGAGTCGTGATTTCATAGATGGATGTAACTTGAACTGCTGGACCATCTCATTAGATCGGGATGCGTAGCCAGCGAGATTCCCTGTCACTAGAAATGCTAACAGCGATGTTGATGCACCACAAACAGATATTCAAACAAGTAAATTGCAAGTATGAACCGATGTGCATAAAACCCATGATGAACACAAAGCTCGAAGTAACTTGCAGCCCAAGTCCAGCTTTGGTGCGAATTGAGCCCCATTTTAAAAAATTCTCAAACAAATTCCATGATGAATGTCTTTTGAAAAAAATTTGGTTGATAATGATTATGACTTTTTGTTTAATTCATTAAATGTCATCGTGGAATATTGCTGAGTTTATAAACTGTCATGTTATGTTCTCTGTATACATGTCAACCCCCTACCCAGGGTACTCTTTAAAGGCACACTGTACTACTTGTAGCTACTTGCTCCCTCTATATAGAAAACAATGCCTAATCGGTGACCATTGGTCCCCCACGATCCTCTTTTTCTCATGTTAATTGAGAGCTGACTTGTTGAGATAGCCACCTGTCAGTGACCACCCTGGGTGGTCTAATCCTTCCTAGCCAAACTAGTACAGACGGTCTTTAATTTTTTTTACAGCACTTGTTAAAGGGCCACTCTAACCAAAACGGGCTATAAAAAATAATAACATTTTTTGTACAAAAATCATCAATAATTCTGGAATCTAGCTTTAAAAATGACGACTCAGAACGCTCAACAACAAAAAAGCCCAATTTCAGAGCTTTATTGCGCAATGGCATATGAGGTCACTACAGGAGCCTCTCCAATGAAAAGAAGGGTGATTCAGGCATTAAAATGTCTTTAAAAGGGCAAACTATGATATTTATTGGAGGAAAAAAAGACATTTATCCGAAAAATAATATGCACTTGATAATCCAAGTACGTTTCTGGCATTTTTGACATGCCTAATGTAAGATCCTTAGTTGTAGGACAAACAGACATGCCCGCAATGACGTCAAATACGTCATCAAGGCCACGTGACCATATTACCTTTTTTCGAGGGGCGTAGACCAGCAAGCGTGAGACCTGTGAAAAAATGGACGGTTATTATCATTATTTTGTCAGTTGAGAGATTTTCTGAAAAATCAGAGGCTGGAATATTAATAAGTAGTGGTGTATTCATGTTTTGAAGGTTATGTTAGTTGGGTTTCAATGTCCCCCCCCCCCCTTTTTTGGGGGGGGGGGAGGGGCGGGGCTGGGAGGAACTTAAACAATTCTCTTGTGATTCACCACAATGAACAGAAATTTACGCATGAAATGTTCCATCATTATTTCGTTTGATATAATCAAAGAATATTAGGAGTTCACGGCAGAAAAACAAAGTGCAAGCATTTCATAAAATATTGTTTTTCTCTCTCTGAATTATATGAGTTATTGACCACCCTATCACTTGATTCATCTGCATACTTGGATTAGCTGTAATATTAATCTGCTTTAAAGATACTATGTCCCTTTTGCAGCCAACATCAAATTCTGTAGAATTTTGCTGGAATTATGAATATTATGTCATGTATGTCCTTTCTGTGAAATGTAAACGTTAGCAGTGTCCTAAAATTCAAATTATGCAAGGAAACCCGTTTACTTGCCAGACTTCACTGTCAGACACTGTTGAGTGAGTGACTGGCTTTTTTCTTCTTTGGTAATGGCATACAAAAAATGAGCTGTAAAGGGTATGAGCATTTGTCTACATCAATAACCCACTTCTTGTAATGGCCAAAATTAAAGTGATTGAATCTTTGCGCAGCACAAAACGTACGACCATTCGGTACAATGGTCTGAAAATTAGACTATTACTTATTGACTTGGTAGCACTTCAGTCGATTCGACAACTATACAGTGCGTCCCAGAAAAAAACGCAACCGAGAATTATCGATGTTTTATCATAACTTTGTCACATTTATAATAACTAAATGACACATATTTGGAAAGCTTAGATCCTCTTCTTTCATTTGATGCAACTCATATGATGTATCTTTCACGCATGAGTGATTAAATGAATTTGAAGAGAGAAAACCTAAAAAATTATGGCGGACGGTTTCTGAATTTCAAAGAGAAAATCACATTTCTAGAAAGTTGAGGTTTTGCCCTTTCATATGACACCTCAATCAGAAAAAATGAGCAAGGAATGGCAAAGTTCTGTTTGTTTAAAGTAGTGCTTGCATTTCCATGATTTTATCAAACGAATTCGTTTTCACTGGATGCCTGCCATAGCAACATGCAGAATTGACAACAAACTTATCTCCGTTTCGTTGACAATCAGCCATGCATGAAGTCTTTCGATTACGGCTGATTGTCAACGGAATGGAGTTAAGTCTTTCGTCAATTATAATTATAATGATAATAGGGCCGGGGGCATTATGCCCCCCCCCCCCCCACAATTGTTCTGACTGTTTGGGAACGCATATGGATGGCGCCCCGCCGCTCGCTGACTTTTATCTTTTTGAGTCTTGCGCATCTTTTAAAAGATTTTTTTTTGAAAATCGGACCTACGGTTACAAGGTCACATGATCTTTTGTCTTTGCATGTCACCCCGAAAATCGCTCATTTTTGTAATTTGTGTACAAAACATATGGAAATGTCATTTTTCCTAAAATAAAATAGATCAAACATTGATTATTGGGTCTTGTTTAAAGTTTAGGTGAATAATGTAGTAAGAAATAAGATAAAACAACAAAAACAACAAAATCCATAAGAAATTATCAAAACAATAGATAACATAAGAAATAACCTGGCTCTTCCAAAAGAAGTTGTCGTATTATTATTCCAAATGGTCTAATGAATATATGTAGTGAAAAAGAATGCTTAAATATGAATAATATATGATGTATGGGTAAAAATGTGATTTTATGACCTTATTTGCATAATTTACCATAAATATGCAAATGAGTGATTTTTTCAAAAAATTGAAATTATCATATTATTTAATACACTTCACTTGACATGCGTGCAGATTTTCACGGCCGAGATCTTAAGGGGGATCATAATGCCCCCCCCCCCCCGGCCGTACTAAGACTTCAAATAGCCCGGTCTTTTTTTTTATTTTCAAGCAGTTCAAGGAGTTTATGTGTGCTACTATAACGTTTTGTTGAATAACAAAGTACATACGAGAACTCACCCAATCTAACCCTAGCCCACCAGTGGGGCTCTTTTACGGTGTATTTCACATCGGGGTGCATGGTTATCTTCGACCACAAGTCGGTCGTTCCACACTTGGGCATTCCAAGTAGATAGAAATAGGGCCAACATTTGAGTTCTCCCTTCAGCTTCCAGCACGCACTCTTATACCCTGGCAGATATGTCTTTGGCAGAGAATCAAATACCTGTCCAAAAAAAGGGAGATAATTACGTATACAATGATAACGCTCACAAATTATTTTTCATCTCTTCCCAGAACTCAACCTTCTCTTTAAGTCGCTGGCACTGAAGACGTTACCTTTAAAGACTAAGTCCACCACAAAATAATTTGCTTTTAATAGATGCAGAAAAACATGAGAAATAGAGCAAAACAAATTTGAGTAAAACCGGATTACTAATAAGGAAGTCATGACTTCTCCCTGGGTTCTTCCATTATGTTGTATTATTCCATTTTTATGTTTCTGATTTGTTTAAATTAAATTTATGATGTCATTTATGTTCTTATCTGATAGAATTGAGTTTCTCTTAATAAAGGCAGTGCAACTCGGGATCAGGTCCATAGTCAAGACATCATTTTATGCTCGTCTCATTTTAAGTACTAGGCTTCGCTGTTTATTTGAGAGAAAGAGTTTATAAGTTGATTTCGGCAGGAGTTAAGTATATTTGAGAGTAGAGTTTGAGAGAAGAAAAATCCATACGTTGACACATGTATTGTGGTCTAACAATTACAAACATGACAGCTACATTAAACTCCAAATGCAGAAATGAAATTCGGAGCGGTACATTTAAATGGTATATTTGAAACGCCTCGTTCTGGTTTTAGATGACAATGTGATTAGTTCTACCTTTCTCTCTCTTTCTTCCCTAATTGAATGTCTCACTCTTTCTGTCATCCACGTTCCTCTCTTCTCTCCCAATTATACCCCACCCTTTCCCATTAGTACATTATACCCTTCATGGTGTTCATCCAAAAATGAAACCCATTCTTTCCTCTTCATTTATGTTTCTTATAATTATCAAATCCAAATGCTTTGTCTAAAGAGGAGTCATCTCTGTTTGACATTCCCTCGTTCTGAAGATACCTGTATACACTGTTGCTCATAAAGTTGGAATATTTTTTTTTTACCTCAATTTATGGAATTATTTTGACAATGGTTTATTCCTAATAGATCTAGATGATAGTATACATTCTCAGATTTTATTGAATAATAATTTGCCAGTGTTTGTTTTGCGTGACTGCTAAAGCATGTGTATGCTACTATGCTTATCAAATAGGGGACCTACGCCCATAAGTCATAAATGACAGTAATGAGGATTAATGCGCCACAAAAGGGCACTAATATAGCACATCGGCACGGTTTTGATCCTCGGGCCTCACGGCTATGAGCCCATTGCTTTGCCACTGAACCATGACTGTACGCAGCGGGGGGGGGGGGGGGGGGGGGGGGGGGGGGGGGGGGGGGGGGGGGGGGGGGGGGGGGGGGGGGGGGGGGGGGGGGGGGGGGGGGGGCTAGGGTAGGGGGCAGTTCCCACAAATAAAATTAAAACAGGAAATGCAATAAATTATCAATAATTCATTGAATTTCCCCCCGGTCCCCAACATAAAGGGAAGGGGGCAGTTACCACAAATAGAAACAAACAAAGAAAATGATAAAAATTATCAATAATTCATTGCATTTTACCGCGGTCCCCAACATAAAAAATCCTCTGTACGGTCATGCATTATGGCTCAAGGCATGGGCACACGGAATATTTTTTTCTGTTGGGGACCGGGGGGGGGGATTCAATGAATTATTGATAATTTATTGCATTTTTTTTTTTTTTTTTAAATAATTCATTGAATTTCCTCCCGGTCCCGAACATAACAAAATCTTCTGTACGGCCATGCATTATGGCTCAAGGCACGGGCACACGGAATATTTGTTTCTGTTGGGGACCGGGGGAATTCAATGCACTCACCGGTTTCCCCCTCTTGTACAAGCCTGGTGGCAATGATGATAAATTCAACTCGGGCCTCCAGAATTCGGCCGGTCCGACTCTAGTCTTCTGCTGAACGTCGATGTTGTGAATTTCGATCCCCTCCTTTCGTGTGTTGGCCGTTAAGTTGTGCAAGTCATCGGTATTTTTCATCTTTGAGGGCTGAATGCCTGGCCTTTTAGACGAAAACGTTTGTGAATATTCATTCTCTGTCTTTGCGTAGCCTCGATCTATAAAGTCAAAATTTATGTGTTTCAACAGCGTCAAAAAATAGAAATCTGTAATCCTCCACGCTCGGATATTTCTTGTACTTTTTAGGTGTGATATTAACATGATAAATATGATAATGGAGCCCTTAAGATGATTCACAAGATAAATGCAGTCATTTAATCAATTTAAGGAATCCAAAACTCAATTCAAGAATAGAAATAATTTTAAAAAATTACGTTGTGGCTTTGATGTAGAAGTTATTTCAAACTTATTCTCCAAGCCATCTGAAAATAAAATATATATATTTCTCTCAGTTTTATACAACTCACTCCTAGATCCTAATCAAATTATTGGCCAAATGTGGTCACGTGTGACTATCTAGAGCAGGGCAAATCTCAAAACGAAAATATAATTTTTTTTTTAGACATTTGTATATACCCCTATATTGTGATTACATAATCAGGGATCATTTCAATATTTGTTTCACTTTGTACACAGTACAATTTATTGCTTAAGCATCATAATTTTGCAGTAGGGTGTGATGGTCTAAAAATCAATTTGAGAGCGAGCTAAGCGAGCGAGGACAAATTTAAGATCTGTGAGATTGCAGTGCTAACAATTACATCTTATAAAGAGGAAAAAATAAATCATCCTGATGGGGTTATAAACACATTCTCATAAACGTAAGACTGAACGACCTTTGATAATTAACACAAGTAGCCTATATCATCTATAAATGCGAGTGAGCGTAGCGACCGAACTTTGATTAGGGGGAGGTGGTCTTAGTCGCTTGAAATTAGGGGCGCGTTTGATGTTGAGAGGCAAAGGGAACACTTATCAGAAAAGAAAAGTACCCCGTGTCAAAGTACAAAGTGTAATTAGCAGAGCTGAAAATTGGGCACTTCTTACACCTTCAAAAAGAGGCACTCACCTGCGATGGAAAAAGGCACTTATGAAAAAAGGAAATGGGCATTTTCGACGGAAAAGGGGCCCCTATCTGATTTTGAAAGGGTTTTTTATAAGCGGTGAAAACGGGCATTTATGAATAGGGAAAAGGTCCCTTATTAGAAAGGAAAAGGGGCACGTATCATTATTTAAAGTGAAATTATCACAAGTGAATGACCAGATATGAAAAAGGGCACTTATGGGAATGAAAAAAGGGCACTTACAATAAAGAAAATGTGCATTAGTTGAAAGAAAAGGGGTACCGACCACATTTTAATATGGACATTTAAAGGAAGTGAATGTTGCACTTATCAGTGCTCCATGTAAGAACAGAACCATTAGGTTAATAGACTATTTAACCGTTTTATCATTCTAGTATTGTTATATAAGTCATTTATTTTGTTATATTGTGTTATTGTTTTTCCTGGTGATTTTCGTAAAATAAAAAAAAACAATCTTATCCGAAGTGAAAAGGAGTAACTTCTCGTACCTCAAAAGGATTTTTTACCAGAGATGAAAAAGGCATTTATGAGAAGGGGAAGGGGCTCTTTTTCAATGAGGGTACCTATCATTAGAAAAAGAGGCACATATTAGAAAGGAAAAGGGGCACATCTAACAAATATAAGGTGCGCTTATCGGAGTTAAAAAAGGGCTAGTTATTAAAAGGAAAAGGGCACTTGTCAAAGTAAAAGAGGCACCTCTCAGATTTAAATTTGCCAAATTATCAGAGGTAAATGGGGCACTTATCAAAAGCGAAGAGGCGCACTTCTCGTTCCTGAAAAGGGACACTTATGAGAATTGGAAATGGACATTTATTGCAATGGAAAATGGGAACTTATCAAAGGAAAAGGGGCATTTGTCAAAATAAAATGGGCACTTATGCCAAGGAGGGGCAATATGCCAAGGATATTGGATTCGAGAAGATTGAATTCATGTTATCTTTTTTTTTTCTTAATGTTGCTGCCCAAGCAATCTTACCATATTAACCATACATATTTTAATATTGACATATTTTTGTAACTGTTTTTTATGTTTGAAATATGTAATAAGTCTTTAAAATTGCACACATGACCAATTCAGTCATGGGGCTGCGACTCATGTTTTTAAAAAACCTTTTACTGAATTGAAATGAAAAGAGATGAAAAGGGAGAGAGGCACTTTAACAAATTAAAAGGGGCACTTTTTACAAAGTTAAAGGGCACTTTTCCTATGTAAAAAGGGCACATTTCAAGTACTTGAAACCCCCTCCCTCTTCTGCACAATTGTTGGCCAGCTGAAGTATCATGGTGCGCTAGTCATGCTCGCCCTATACTCTGCCCAAGCTCATACGAAACTCGCCGTAAGTCCCCGTACTCCATCCAAACTCGCGTTAATCTCGTGGGCATCTCGGCATGACTCACAGCACGATCGTCGTGCTTGTACTCCACTCTTGGAAACTCGAATAGCACTCGCGTATACTTGAAGACAGGGGCGTACGCAGGGGGGGGGGTTCGGGGTTCAAACCCCCCCCCCCCCCTTGGTATTTTTTATGTGTGTAAACCTCCCTAAAAAAACTTAAAACCCCCCCCCCCCTTTTTTTTTATTTTTTATTTTTATAATTATTTAAAAAAAAAAAAAAATTATACCCACGGCTAACCTAAAAAGGTGACCTTACCCCCCCCCCCCCTAACGATGAAAAATGTCAAATTTTGAGATTTCGAGACCAAAAAAAAAAAAAGTGTCCGCTTACCCCCCCCCCCCCTCCCACCCCCCCCCCCCCCCCCCCCCCCCCCCTCCAACTGAGCGACTTTTCGGCTAGCTGAGTCGTTGCGAATTTTTTTGGACTCCAAAAAAAAAAAAAAAGGGTCTGCTTACCCCCCCCCCCCCCCCCCCCCCCACTGAGCGAGTTTTCGGCTGGCTGAGTCGTTGCGATTTTTTTTGGACTCCAAAAAAAAAAAAAAAATGTCCGCTTACCCCCCCCCCCCCCCCCCCCCCACCGTAATTTTTCCATTGAAGATAAGCAAATATTTTGCCGAGGTAAGCTATATATCGCATGTGAAACGAGTCGAACTTTGGAATCAGTTTGCCAAGCGATTGTTAGGTTTTAGGTCAAGCACACGAAGGATAAGAAGCATGAATTATAATAGATCAGTTCTGATCGGTTCATTATGTCCATTTCATCCACAACCCCCCCCCTACCCCACCGTAATTTTTCCATTGAAGATAAGCAAACATTTCTCATAAGTGCCCCTTTTCTGGAACGAGAAGTGCCCCTTTTCACTTTTTATAAGTGCCCCCTTAACCTCTGATAATTTTCCCTATTTAGATTTGAGAGGTGCCTCGTTTACTTGGTCCAGAGCCCCTTTTACTTTCTAATAAGTGCCCCTCTTCCTAATGATAAGTACCCCTATTAAAAGAGAGCCTCTTCCCTTTCTCATAAATACCCCTTTTCATGTACTTTTCAAGTTACTACGTTTCCCTTCAGATAAGTTTTGTTTGTTTTTCATTCCGAGAATCATTATGAAAACAATAACACAGTATAACAAAATCAAAGACTTATATAACTATAATAGAATGATAAAACGGTTAGATAGTCCATTAACTTGACCTAATGGCCCATGGGTAACTGATAGTTGCCCCCTTCACATTTGATAAATTCCCCTATTAAAATATGGTCGGTACCCCTTTTCTTTCAACTAATGCACATTTTCTTTTTTGTAAGTGCCCCCTTTTTCATTCACATATTGGTCGTTGTCCCTTTTCAGGTGCGATACGTGTTCCTTTTACTACTGATAATTTCCCTTTTAACAATGATATGTGCCCCTTTCCCTTTCTAATAAGGGCCCGATCCCCTTTTCATAAATGCCCCCTTTTCACCGCTTATAACTTCCCCTGTCACAATCAGATCGGGGCCCCTTTTCCGTCGACAAATGTCCATTTACAATTTTCATAAGTGACCTCTTTCATTCCTGGTGAGTGCCTCTTTTTAAAGGTGTAAAAAGTGCCACATTTTCACCTGTGATAATTACTCTTTGAACTATGACACGAGTTACTTTTATCAGTTTTCTGATAAGTGTCCCCTTCTTCTCTCATTATTAAACGCGCCCCTAATTTCAAGAGACTAAGAGCACCTCCCAGTATATAAAGCTCGGTCGCTACGCTCACTCGCTTTACTGATGATGTACTTGTTACTAATATCGAAGGTCTTTCCAGTCTTCCGTTATGAGAATGTATATAACCTCAGGATTGGGGGTTTTCCTCTTTATGAGATGTAATTTTTTCGCACTGCAACCTCACAAATCTTAATTTGATTCCTCGCTCGCAAATTGATTTTCCATCACACCCAACTGAAAAGTATATATGATTCTTAACCAATATCTTGTATTGTGTACAAAGTGAAACAAATATTGAAAGAATCCCTGATAATGTAATCACAATATAGGTGTATATACCAATGTATAACTGCACGTAAACACGTAAAGAGGTAAGTGCGCTTATTACATATCTATGTACTGTGTGCACGCTAAAGCAAACCTATTTAAACTAGGTGTTTATTTGTCAGCTGTAATAGAGGGTGACGTGTGACGTCTTCAAACATCTATTTTTAGAATTTCTCAATTTGTTTTTCATTTTCCGAAAGAGCATAACAAATAATATCCAAATGTCGAATGTTAAAAAAGTTAATTATTGGCTGAGATATGACCATCTGAATGAAAAGATTTCCTATAGGAGCTCAGTGTTATATTCCTCTGGCTCATAACTTTACATCTCGTCATAATACAGAGTTAATTGCGAATGATATCAATAATATTGAAACTTATTTGTAATGAATCGTAACTGTTTTATAAGACGGGGCCCTGAACTTGACGGCAGGAGGGGTAGGGATCTGTGATCCATTCACGTTCAGTAAGGAATTCACTTAATTTAGAGGCCTGATTTTTGTTACAGGGGGGGGGGTCACAAAAGAGAATCGAGAAGAGACACAGGCCTTTTTGAAAGAATGTCTTCATATTGAACACGATTGCAACTAATTTCGATAAATCAGACCAAGGCAATTTCAATAGCCTTATGCGCCTCCTATTGAAATATACGAAGATGTATCACGTAATCCGTACATGATTTGTATGGGATGAACAATATATTTTATTTATTTATTTATTTATTTATTTGAACATATTTCATCGGGATAACAAGATAAGAAAGGACTGGTTTACATCCTGGTCCTGAATATTAAAAACTTCCACTAAAACATGAAAACAAAATAATCATACATATAATAATGAGAATTGTTAAAATACTCATGAAGTCATGATGAAAATATTTAGTGACCATAATATTGAGTAAAAACCAAGTCAGAATGACATGATATTTAAAGGGATAGTTGAGTTCTGTTTTCAGACTGCAAATGCCTTGAAAGTGCATGGTTATTGCTCTTATTCTTATCTATGACATTTCTAGTGCCCTTTTAGAACCTAAAATTGCTATGAAGGTAATTTTAGACCCCAAAATGTGTGAAATTTAGCCAATACGATCATACCAATTCAGCTCCACTTTTAAAAAAATACGGTGACCGTTAATTAATTATTTAATTAAAAATAACAACACATGGGCCGACTGGTTGTGCGTAATATAACCAACACGAAAATGCTAACAAAAAAAAAGCCAATATCGGCATTGGCTGAAATACGACGTAAACGGCGCTATTTCGTTTTTTCAACGGCTTTTTCAAATTATCTAATATTTGTGGTGGTACACAAATATTAGAAATTGTTATATTATGAATATTTCAGCCGTCTCTGAGCCGATTTTGATCAAACAAAGATGATTTTGTCATTTAAATTGTATGTTATTTCAAATTTGACACTCTGTTTTTAATTATCTCACACAAAAGATATTTTGTGTAGCGCCCTCTGCAACAGAACCCAACTATCCCTTTAATTAATTAAATATATAAAAACACAATAATAGAATAAAATAATCAACTAATATATTTAAAATCAAAGCTCTATCACACTACAAAATAAACTTATATCATGAGGAACCAAATTAAAAAATAGACAATTTCTCATGACAATGAACAGTTTGCTTTCGATCAGACAAGTAGTTTGTAAACCATTTCAACTCATTATTCTGTTTTAAACGTTTTTTCGGAAAAAAGCTAAGATCGTCTTTTATATTGTGTGTGTCCGTTACTCAGTTACAATGGTTCCCTCACATGTATAAACTACTAGAACTACAACAGTGGCTGCATTTCTTTTTAAAAGGCTACTCTAAACCAACGAACATAGCCTTTCAAAACATGAATACACCTATACTTATTATTATTCCAGCCTCTGATTTTTCAGAAAATCTCTGAATTGACCATAAAATTATAATGATCATCTATTTTTCACAGTTCTCACGCTTGCAGGGCTACGCCCCTCGAAAAAGGGTAATACTGTCACGTGGCCTTGATGACTCATTTAACGTCATTGCGGGCATGTCCGATTTGTCTTACAACTAAGGATCTTACATTAGGAATGACGAAATTGCCAGAAACGTACTGGGATTACAAGTGCATAATTATTAACTTTCGGATAAACGTCTTTTTTCCCCAATTAATATCATAGTTTGCATTTTTAAAGACATTTTAAAGCCTAAATCACCCTCCTTTCCACCGGAAAGGCGCCTGCAGTGACGTCATAAACAGTTCCGCAATACAGCTCCTAAACTGGGCTTTTTTCTGAGCGTTCTGAGTCGTCATTTTTAAAGCTAGAATCAAGAATTATTGAGGATTTCTAAGAAAAATCGTTGTCATGTTCGGAATCTCCGTCAAAAATTACTTTACATGTCTTTTTTTCATTTTTTTTTAAAGCCCGTTTTGGTTAGAGTGGCCCTTTAAAGGTCAAATCTATCGCTATTATGTTGACTCACCTTTCTCGTTGCTGGTTTGAGCGTTTACCGGAGCGTACCCTTTCTGCTCCTGGGCGTTGTAATACACGTAAGAAAATAACGCTATGTTCAGGAGGACAATACCAGCTGCCAATTGTCTTTTGATATGCATCCTTAGAAAATGAAACAGCTAGAAATAGATAATAACAACAAGAACAACAAATATCGATAAACAACAGTATAATGTTAGTAATAATAGTATTAACTAGACTTTAATTCGTCACGAATTAGGTGATACGAATGCTAATGATTTACATAATGAAGAATGCATTTTCACGATGTCATATTGTTATATAAAATGCTTCTCCCATTATGATCTATCCATATGTCAAGTTTCTACTGTTTAGCCTTGATCATTATGGATGTATGGAAGATATATTGAGACAATTTGACCATTGACCCTAATTAACATAATGAGGCCTACACATACACATGACATATTCCGTGGTAAGAATGAAGTAAGCGAGGGAAATGAAGGCAGTGACAAACGAGTGAGAGAGAGAATATGGCCAGGTTCAAATTAAGTGTTCTTTAAATTATTAGACCCTGTACTGAGGGTCTTTTTATCTGCCATGTTTTTGTTATTAGATGGCTTTTGAAGCTGCATAAAAATGCCGTCTTTTGTCACCAAATATTGTTCAAATAGCATTGTAGAGACGATGAACAACTACTAACGCAAAGTCGTAAGCCATGAGAATGTCACATAAGTGCATTATGTCCATGCTAATCCCCTAGTTCCAACATCATGATTGTATTCTCTATTTATTTCTCCTATATAATTTATTTCAATTGAAAATAGAAATTCTAATGTTCCTTCTTTTGGCTTGATAATATTTCAGCAACGAATTGACAGTTTTGGTAGACATCTTGGATGTATCATAGCAATAAATTCTTGGCACATGACGTATTGTGTATACGATAATAATGATAAGAAGAAGAAGCATACAAATAACTATAAGGATAATAACGATAACACATACTTACTATAATAATGATTATAATTACGATATTTACTATAATAATAAATATAACAATGATAATAATAACGATTATTATGATACTGCTGCTATTACTACTACTACAACTACAACTACTAAGGAGAAGTAAATGAAGAAAAAGGGGTAGGAGAAGAATCATTTCAGCAATATTAGTGAGTATATTCTCAATGATTGAGGCATACAAGTGCATACACATTACATATTCCGTGGTAAGAATGAAGAAAGCGAGGGAAAATGAAGGCAATGACAAACGAGAGCGACAGAGAGAGACAGAATATGGCCGGGTTTAAATTGAGTTTCCTTTAAATTAGACCCAGTACTGAGGATCTTTTTGTGTGCCATGTTTTCGTTATTTGACGGCTTTTGACCCTACATAGAAATGCCGTCTTTTGTCACAAATATATTGTTCAAATAGCATTGTAGACACGATGAATAACTACTAACACAAAGTCGTTAGCCATGAGAATATCAATTTCTATCTCGTTCTGCTAAATAACCCGAACAATAGTATCAACCAAGTGGAATCAACTGTTAAACGAATTTATCACGAGTTCTGAAATTTCAATTTGTTACTGCACGTCATAATAGTATTATAGAGTAGCAAAGGCGAACGATTGTCGCTAAAATTCAGAAATTGTTGCTTAGATTGCTTAAATTACCATGAGACATCTAGCTTCATAGAACTATGATCGACAAACATGATAGTGTTTTGAAAACAGTCTGCAAAATTGGAGGTAGAATGAATAAGAGATAATGTGGTCATGTAAACAAGTGCATTACGTCCATGCTAATCCCCTAGTTCCAACATCATGATTGTATTCTCTATTTATTTCTCCTATATAATTTATTTCAATTAAAAATAGAAATTCTAATGTTCCTTCTTTTGGCTTGATAATATTTCAGCAACGAATTGACAGTTTTGGTAGACATCTTGGATGTATCATAGCAATAAATTCTTGGCACATGACGTATTGTGTATACGATAATAATGATAAGAAGAAGAAGCATACAAATAACTATAAGGATAATAACGATAACACATACTTACTATAATAATGATTATAATTACGATATTTACTATAATAATAAATATAACAATGATAATAATAACGATTATTATGATACTGCTGCTATTACTACTACTACAACTACAACTACTAAGGAGAAGTAAATGAAGAAACAGGGGTAGGAGAAGAATCATTTCAGCAATATCAGTGAGTATATTCTCAATGATTGAGGCATACAGGTGCATACACATTACATATTCCGTGGTAAGAATGAAGAAAGCGAGGGAAAATGAAGGCAATGACAAACGAGAGCGACAGAGAGAGACAGAATATGGCCGGGTTTAAATTAAGTTTCCTTTAAATTAGACCCAGTACTGAGGATCTTTTTGTGTGCCATGTTCTCGTTATTTGACGGCTTTTGACCCTACATAGAAATGCCGTCTTTTGTCACAAATATATTGTTCAAATAGCATTGTAGACACAATGAATAACTACTTACACAAAGTCGTTAGCCATGAGAATATCAATTTCTATCTCGTTCTGCTAAATAACCCGAACAATAGTATCAACCAAGTGGAATCAACTGTTAAACGAATTTATCACGAGTTCTGAAGTTTCAATTTGTTACTGCACGTCATAATAGTATTATAGAGCAGCAAAGGCGAACGATTGTCGCTAAAATTCAGAAATTGTTGCTTAGATTGCTTAAATTACCATGAGACATCTAGCTTCATAGAACTATGATCGACAAACATGATAGTGTTTTGAAAACAGTCTGCAAAATTGGAGGTAGAATGAATAAGAGATAATGTGGTCATGTAAACAAGTGCATTATGTCCATGTTAATCCCCTTAGTTCCAAAATCATGATTGTATTCTCTATTTATTTCTCCTATATAATTTATTTCAATTTAAAGTAGAAATTCTAATGTTTCTCCTTTTGGCTTGATTATTTCAGGAACGAATTGACAGTTTTGGTAGACATCTTGGATGTATCATAGCAATAAATTCTTGGCACATGACGTATTGTGTATACGATAAATATGATCAGAAGAAAAAGCATACAAATAACTATAAGAATGATAATAAAAAAATAAGCTTTATAATAATGATTATAATTACGATATTTACTAAAATTATAAATATAACAATGATTATTATGATACTGCTGCTATTACTACTCCAACTACTACTACTAGGAAGTAAAAGATGAAGAAGAACGGGGAGGAGGAGAATCGTTTCAGCGAAATTAGTGGTTATATTCTCTATATAATTATGATTGAGGCATAGACTCAAATTTAAATTATAATCAAACAGTCATCTGAAGTTTTTAGATGCTTACTATTTGCTTCATGTTGTTGAGAACCGCCCCGGCTGGATCGCACCCTGCTTCCCTGAATCAACAAACAAACTTTGAGAAAAGATTTGTGTCTCCCTTTAAAGGGATGCTATAGCGAACGAGCGAGAATATTTTTTTTCATTTTTATTAGTCTAAACGCTGTACTCTTGGGCCCTCCAGAGCTTATAAGTGTGTTGCAGTCTTTAGTCAGTGTTTGCTATTAATTTTTTGCACTTTTTCGGATTTCCGGGGGGACGTGTCCCCCGTCCCCCTGGGATCGCCGCCCCTGCCGACAATTAATAAGAGGATACTTTTTTTTTGGGGGGGGGGGTCTCGAAATTTGAAAAATTGACATTTTGCTCCCTTGGGGGGGGGTAAGGTCACCTTTTTTTAGGTCAGCCATGGGAATTTTTTTTTTTTTTTATAAAAAAAATAAATAAATAAAAAATAAAGGGGGGTTTAGGGGGGTTATGGGGGGTTTACACACAGAAAATTACCAAAGAGGGGAGGGGGTTACCCCCCCCCCCTCCCTGTGTACGCGCCTGTACTTGACTAAACTGGCTTAATAACAGTTGTGTAAACAAAATCCGCGCGTCCAGTCTAAGAATTCAGACTCGTATTCCGAATATGCATGTAGACATTAGACATGTTAAACGATTTAAATTAATGGCTGTGCAGTGAATAATTGCCCCGAGGATGATTAGAAATATATTGACATTTAAGTTATACTGACATTAAACTTAATTATTGAAAATATATCGCCATTTTGTTTTAATGTAGAGATTTCGTTTGATATAGTTGCAAAATATGAGTTATTTGCAATCGATTGCAACTTAACATTTTTTGCAACGTCCTATTATAAAAACGTAACACTTCAAACATAAAAACAGCTAAATAATACGCCAAACTTTTTGTTTTAAGGTTTTTCTGAAAATAAACGTTAACAAATCGAGGGGACACTTTTCGCCAATCGCAGACTCATATCGCCGATCTAGGAGACGCATATCGCCGGTGGAATGCGGCGAGACGCGTCTCTAAGACTCATATCGCCTGGCGATATGCGTCTGTACAGACGTGATTTCGCTAAGACACATAACGCCACGACACCGGCCCGGCCCCCCTCTATTCAATGACGTTTGCCAAGCCTTCTGGAATGACCCCAAATCTCCCGATTACAGTTTTCCCTCATTCGTCGTTACTGTCACCGTTAGTCCCATGTCCTTGTCTTTCCCCCTTTCTCACCCGACTTTTCTTTTTCCCACCCACCCCCCCCCCCCCACCCCCACCCACTCAGTGTTATCTAAGGTACGCACATGTATGTTCCCTCTCTTTGAAAACACCCCTCTATCTCCGGTGTGTAAAGTCAGTACGGGCCGGATTTTTGTGTATTACGGGCCGGACTTTGTTGCGTGAAAAGTACCTCTTTATCTGAAATTTTGGGAACACAAATTCGGTCCCTCCGGGAGGGAGGGGGGGGGGGGGCTTTGTTCTTTATCTTTTCTCTTCTCTTTTCCTTTCTCTTCTTTTTTTTCTTTCTCTTCTCCTTTCTTTTCTCTTCTCCTTTCTTTTCCTCCTCTTCTCCTTTCTCTTTTTCTCTTTTTTCTTCCTTTTGCGCCGCCAATAGGGGGACCGCGGCCGTTTCGGCCCCCCTGGATCCGCCACTGTCTTGTGGTTGCCCAGCTTGTAAATATTCGTCTGTTTCTATTGCATATATATATATATATCATACGTGCTATTTCTTCCAATCGACTTGTTTCACCATTCTTCATGCGCGTTTCTCTATACTCATGAAAGTAACGACTCCGAATCGAAATCATGCAGGAAAGAGAATCAGTTAAAACTTGCTACAGATCTACAACAATCGGGGCTTCCCAGGTACACTACTTCCACAGTTTATGAATACCTAGAGTCTAGAGAAATCAACTGTCATTGTGGACATATACATTCTTAAAGGGATTGGGTAACCTTTTCTCAGATTCTGAAACAAAATCCCGGATTTAGCTCATGCTTCATTTATAAGTATAAACCTTTAGGTCAGTCAGGAACACCATGACTTTTACAAGCCGATCGTCTGTCTGATTATCAAGATATTTGTGATTGGAAATCAAAATTTAAAAATTCGTTTCCATTACGGTTTTTATAACAGTACGATTTATTGGGGGACAATGAGTATGGTAAAACTGGTCACTCAAAGATTTTTACTTTGTTGAGGCACTTCATGCATCTCAGCTTTAACATTGTTAAACGATGCCTTTAAAGAATTATCCAAACTTTTTCATGCTCGCTTCACTACGAGCTTAATAGTTTTCCCTGCCCTCTGAAGACAAGCATCTATTGTATAGAAATGTCGAGTATTTCAAATTTAAATTCTGGTCATATTAATCGCATCGAATCATCACAGAGAGAAAATGCTAGCTATGTCATTTTCACAACACATTTTGAATAACTTGCCCAGAATACACATCGAAACAACCTCAGCAACATGTAATGGAATTCAACATTTCAGTGATAATTAAATTTAAGCATACCACCAAATACAAATGAATATAAAAAGCATAGCAAAACATACGTGACCGTTGACTGGGGGCTGCGAGTTTCTTTTCTTATTTTCCAGCTGAATATAGGTCTTTACGCGTAAATTTTGGCTATGCCGTCCAAGACCACCAACAAAAAATACTACTTCTGCTGCATGTACCAAGCGTGGATTTTGTGTACAATGTACTGTACATGGTAAAAAGTATAGTATAGAATTTTATTCTCCTCGACTCCCTTAGGCAAAGATCAATATAAGCGAGCTTTCGATTTAGGCACCCGACGTCGGCTACTACGAGGTACTGGAGCGTGGAGATGTTGCGCAGCTTATACGTCCGTTAGCGGTTTCGATGACGACGGTGCTTTCGTACATATAGTCTCATTTGACAACGCCCTCTATCGGCAGAGTCCAGCAGCCTAACATGTACGTTAGCCTATGGACTTTTTTTACCCCAAAATTCGTTAAAAATTAATTTTTTGTTTAAACGAAAAGCACATCCATTCCGACGTTCATTGGATTTCTCGTGTCCCATTGACTTTTGGAAGTTCACCCACCGTAATTTGGTCAAAATAGGTCGCTAGCTCTTTGGAATAAGCATACATTACCGGCCCTGAGCGATTTCAGAACTGCTCTTAAAAACATACCTCGTTCTAAGCATTGCCCTCGATTAATGACTGACGTGCACGTGCAGCATTCCATTTTAGTATTAAGAATATGACATTCGCTCATCATCAGCAAATAATATTATCGGGAAAATTCTATCATGTAAGCAACATCAAAGGCATCTATTAAACGCATCGTTTAACAATGTTAAATCTGATATGCATAGCCCTACATGTTATCAGTGTCTGTGATATGGTGTAATATTGTAGCCCTAAAAAAATTGCGCTTCAAAGTGATCATGAAGTGCCACAAAAACAGTAAAGATCTTTGAATGACCGGTTTTACCTATTCATTTTCCCCAATAAACTGTTACAGTAGTGTTATTAAAAAACGTCGATTTCCAATCATAATATCTTGATAATCAGACAGGTGATCGGCTCTGAAAAGTCAAGTGGTTCCTGACTGACCTAAAGGTTTAGAATTATGATTGCAACATGTGCTAAATCCAGAATTTTGTTTCACAATCTGAGACAAAGATACCCAATCCCTTAATATCTCATAATGCCTAGTGATGACAGCCAATCTTGGCGTATTCTGTTGTAAAAAAAGCTTATCCGATTACAATATATTAGAACTGCAGCACATTTTCTAAAACCCTGGGTATTTGAAAAACCTGCACATGGTATGTTCATGACAAAATAAACAATTAAAACTTGTAGTGCAGTTGACTTTTGTGTCTGTAATTCTACATTCGGTTGAATCTTGAAAGAAAATTCCTCAGTCACCGATTCAATTCAATAGAATTCAGAATTTATTGTTCACGGACAAAAAATAATCATGCATCTATCAAAGAAATCGTTTTATTTATGTTTCTATATAAGAACAAAGCAATTCAGCACAATGAACACCAACTTCAGATAAAATTTGTAGAAGGTCCGTGTAAAATAAGCACATATGAATTATAACAAAATGAATGTATATGACAAAGGAAACATATTGAATGAATTTGTTTTAAATATGAAAATACACTCAATATATCAAAACAGATACATAAAATTGCGTATGAGCGCATACATGTATGACAAATATAAAAAGATGGACATAGTCAAATTAGTAGTTGACAGCACAAGTAACATATATTGATTGGGGATCAGATTAAAGATCTATCTAAAGATCTTGTGAATTCGACCCCATTGTGATGTATACATTGCATTGAATATTGTTGTATGTACAACAACAATAGGGAGAGACTACATAGTTCAGTCACATACATTGATTAGGCCTCGATACCATTCTTTTATATGGAGATAACTATACTACTACTACTACTAATACTACTACTTATACTACTAATAATAATATTAACAGCAATAATAACGATGAAAATAATAACATTAGTAGTAAGAATGAAACAATAATAATAATAATTATTATTATTATTTTAAAATAATGAAAATATATGTCTTGTTTTACCCATGTGAGCCTCGTCGGTATAATGCATATTTTACGCACGAGTGATTAAAAACAATTCGAAGAAAGGGTCCCAAAAAGTCATTTGGCGAAGCGTATCTGAATTTTGAAGAGAAAATCACATTTCTAGAAAGTTAATTTTCTGCATTTTCATATGACACCTCAATCAGGTAAAATGAGCCAGAAACAACAACAAAGTTCTGTTTTTTTAAAGCTATGCTTGCATTTCCATAATTTTATTAAACGAATTTGTTTTTACTGGCTGCCTGCTGTAGCAACAAACAGAGACGACAAAAAACTTTATGCATGGCTGATCGTCAACGAAACGGAGTGGTGAGTAAAAGGCTAATTGCTAGTAATGCCTAGGTCACATTTGCCACGGCGGCAGCGGCGGCCGTGCGCTCCCGAAATCGCGAGATACTTGCGGCGGCCGCAAAAGATCTGCGTTGGCCTCAGGGTCACCCTAGGGCGTATCCCTATCTTTACAGGCCGTACGGGTCGCCGTGAGATTGTAACGCTGAGTTGTAACTGTTTTCGTTTCTAGTTTAGACACGCCGTAGCCATGCCGTAGAGCGGTTCCACGGCGTCAGTACGTCGGGCGTACGGTAGCCTTGCGGTTTATATACTCTAGCATCAGTCTGGCCGCACGGTCGCCGTATGGTCCCCCAATCGGCTGCCTTGCGGGCACCTTGAGGCTTCCTTGCTTCTGCCTTAATAGTTATCGAAACGCTACGGCCACCGCAGGGACGCCCTGAGGCGACCGCGCGTCATCACTTCAAAGGTCGTACGGCAGTCGCAGATTTTCTGTCTCCACACATTCAAAATACGCCGTGTGGCTACCCTAACAAATGTGACCGCTACCGTATGTGACCGTGGGAATGCTGCGGTGGTCCTATAATTGCTATTGGCCGTAGATATTTGAGACTGCACGGCCGCCGTTACAAATGTGACCTAGGCATAAGGTACGTTTACATTTCCCATTGATCATGCAATTAACGACAGAGCAACGAGTTATTCGGAAAAGAAAGGGCAGAAAATGAATTTGCTAGAAATTTGATTTTGTCTTTAAAATTCAGATACTGTTCGCCGAATATCTTTTTGGTACCCTTTCTTCAAATTGTTTTTAATCACTCTTGCGTAAAATATGCATCAATATGAGTTGCATCAAATGAAAGAGGAGGATCTAAGCTTTACAATTATAATAATTGTGATTAAGTTATGATAAATCATGGATAATTCTCGGTTTCTTTTTTCTGAGACGCACTGTATAGAGTGAAAAAAAATCGAGAGAGAGAAAGAGAGAGAAGAGAGAGAGGGGCAAAATTAATATGTATGAGAACATCCAATACAGCAAATGTCATTAATTTAAAATAAAACTAAATATTAAAAAAATACTAAATCATATAGAAATTAAGTCTATCAGTTTGGAGCGTGTGTGCAGCGCTTTGCAACGGCAAGGAAAAGGCGCTATTTCAAATATCTTTTGGATTGGATTGGATTGGATTAAAGGGATTTGAAACGGCAAAACGTAATGTAAACCTAATTATTCAACCAGTGCTTATCTATCAGCACTGTCTACATATTGTTTATCTCTCACACCCCTTTTACATGATCAACTTCTGGGTGCATCTGCAATGTTTACACGACTCTCTGACGTTTCTTCTGAAACTGTTGTTGGCCAAATAGTAGACGAAGAAATTGACGATGTGGTTAAGGAGTCTGAGAGAGTAGAGGATCTGGATAACCGCCATATGTCCCGAAATTTGACTAGCTCTTAGAAGTGCCGGAAGTGGAATGATGGGGACTACAACCTTGGGAGTCCACGTAATAAAAAAAATATCGTTATGATAAGAAGCATACGGGTCGTCTTCCTTCCGTAGTCGCTTTCCTTTTTGCTTTTTAATTTCTGGTCTCGCTTCGTACCCTGGCGTTCGAAAGGTTTCATCTTCGGTGATGACGCCGGGGAATAAAGAGGCTTCCTCTGACTTGTGTGTGACGGTAGGGGGTCTTTATTTTGCCTTGACATTTTAGTCACTGCAAATGTGACATGAGAGCCGGAGGGCCTAGACCTACGTCTAGGTGACGATGACAAGGTAATGTTACTTGAACATTCCGCTGTCTCTGAATGTAATGAAACCTCATTTGTTTTAAATTTGTTCTCGGTACTCGTAACGTCGAAGGCAGAAGTGCCGTCCTCCATTTTTGTTTCCGCCGCGATCATGCGGTTTTCCATCGAGCTGGATTCTTGCAAACCGCCACTATAGTCACGAGCGTTTCTTGTACTAACAGTAGCGACAACGGGATGCTTCCCCGTCATGTCGGCGTTAATCTTTGCTCTCTTACGAAGGGCAACGTAGATCAAAGCGTAAAGGACAGTATTCGTCATCAGCGATACGGTGAATAACACCAAAGTCGACATTGTTGTACCCAAGACGTAAGAGCCATAAACGAAGCACAGGCTTCTTCCAATACTTCCGAAGTGACGAACTTCAGTAAACACTGCAGCTGGAATGTTAGTCACGATGGAAACGACCGTACACAGTATTGCAATGAAAATGGACATACGTACCGTCATTCGTCGTCGTAATGGACGACATACAGCCATGTAGCGATCGATGCCGATCGCAGTGGTCAGATAAAGTGAGGCGAAAGCCGTTGCATTATTGGCGAGAGATGACGCATGGCACAAACCTTTGGTCATCAGCCCTGGGAATGCATTGCGGATGGTGAAGACAGGACAAAATACACAAGCGACGAAGTCGACTGTCGCTTGAGCCATAATGAGGATATCCGTGCTCGTCTTCCGTTTTTTCCATGCGTAGGCTTTCATGATAACAGTGTTACCTGGTAGTCCTAAGACCAACACCATCGTATAATAGGTTAAGTTAACAGCAGTAGCAATATCTTGGTCCTTAATCTCATAGTTTTCTTCAGAAGTAATAAAATCATTTACTGAGTCGTTCATAGCTGTGAACAAAGTGTTCAGTTCCGAAGTCGAATTCATGTAGTATCCCATGTTTTATTTCTCTCTTACCTCATTTTCTGTCTGATTTAAAATAATGTCCTACAAAGGGCCTAACTTTGGTTAATTTCTTGACATTTTGAATCGAAAAACCAACGAACCAGCGCTTAGCACTCCTTGTTTATCTCCGTCAGCGGATCGACCGATGATCTCAGCCGAAATTGGGTAGTGTTGCCTGGGCACAAATGATCTTGGCCATGGATATTTTGCTACGTGCATCAAGAGTTAATAGAGCTTGCCGTTGCAGCAATGAGGGAATGAAAGGGCTAACATTATTACGGAGAGATTGAGTGAAATGAGGAAGCAGAGATGGGACGGATTAGGAGAGAGAGCGAGAACGAGCGCGACAAAGAGGAATATGTTCGTTTGATGATATTTAATGGGAACCATTAATGGGTACCATTATGTAATCACCATCAATTATGTGTGTCCTTAAAATCATTTAAGTTCTCGCTCTATTTGCAATTATGCAATTTATGAGATAGCATGCATGTCTGATTTTAAAGGTTCAAAATGTTAGACCTGCCCATGTGTAAACCTCTCTCTCTCTCCCTCGCCCTCTCTCTCTCTCTCCCTCCTCTCTCTTCCCCACGCTCGCTCTCTCCCTCTCTCTCTTTCTCTCTTTATATATATATATATATATATATATATATATATATATATCCCTGTTTAATGTGTATATCTCAACTTAAGGAAATCATGATTCTGAAAAATACAGTTTGTTTTCATTTTGACATAATTCATTATTATTTTTGATACACAATTGGTTCCCATTAAATATCAGCAAACGAACATATCCCTCTTTAAACGATTGATAAATTTGAAACAAGAAATGAAATCAATTGTAACATAAAACATATAACCCCATCCAACTAAACATGTATACCCCCCCCCCCCCCACCCCCTCAAAAAAAAAAAAAACACGCGCGCACACCCGCACACACAGAGACGCACATCCTTGAACACGTGCGCATTTATAGAGCTCTTCTGGTGCCATGGAAAAAAATAAGTAAAGGAAAGATGTCTACTCATTTTCATAATCAAAGTTTACATTACAAAAAGGTTTGGTTTGTGATAACTGTACAAAACATTAATTAAAGGATTAACACGCAAAACATCAACAAATCTCACACTCTCTCTCTCTCTCTCTCTCTCTCTCTTACCTCTATTTTCCCCCTTTCCCTTGCACTCAACTCACATCTCTCTCTGTATTTCTCCCTCTCTCTCTTTCTCCTATCTCCCTTCTTTCTCTTAAGAGTCCCATCTCTCCCGTCTCTGTCTCATTCTCCATCCCACTATCTCCCTTTCTCCCCCTCCCCCCCCCCCCTCTCTCTCTCTCTCGGCCAATTTCGGAAAATCATTATTTTCCCTTTTACCCCATTATACCAATCAGTGTCAATCTTGATAACGTAGCCAATTAACTTTTCTGTTGTCGTACCATCACGAACATGTCAACCGTAAGTATAAACTCTGCTAATTATCTAGACATTTCACTCAGATATAAAGTGCCTCGCTTCTGATAGGCGCTGCCATTCTGTTATCCATACCCAGTAGGTTTATGGTGATTCGTTAAAAAAGGTTTTGTTTGGTCATCCTCTCTAATATTCTGATATTTTCTCCAATAATCTCCTTCTTTTTTAACCAAATTAAAAAACGATTAATCTATATTAATCCTTATTTGGATGATCTTTTCAGGGTGACAAATTCGTTTTTGGAGCTTAGTGGAATTGCTGACAATTGTTTCCAAACGAAAGTTGCCGAATGGTTGTAAGCATTCAACGACATTGATCATATGGACATTAGAATCATTATGATGATGAACAGGACATCGCATGGTCAGTGCCATCTTGGCAGAACTGATGATGACGAGACAGGCGATAACTACATCACCCAAAACATCATTGTTCACTTAACCTATTACATAATGGTCTTGGTCCTCGGACTCCCGGGCAATGCCATCATTATCCAAGCTTACGCGTGGAAGAAACGGAAGGCGAGCACGGATATCCTCATCATGGCTCAAGCGATAGTTGACTTCATCGCTTGCTTATTCACGCCTGTTTTCATTATCAGAAGCGGTTTCCCGAAACTGATTACGACAGGTTTGTGTCGGATGTCACCACTAGCAGAAGAGGCACCCGCTTTCATGTCCCTTTTCCTCACCACGGTAATCAGCATCGATCGCTACATGGCCGTGTGTCATCCTCTACGACGCCGAATGACGGTGCGTATGACCATTGTATTAGTTACTTTGTGTGTGGTCGTCAGCATCGCGTTCAACATTCCGCTTGTTGTTTTATCTCAAGTCCGATTTTCCGATACAGTCAAAAGAAGGCTATGCGACATTTCCTTACGTAAAGAGTCTTACCATGTCGTTGTAGCGGCGACGTGTTCGATATATGCATTGTTTATCTTGTCGATTATGACGACGACTGTTCTTTATGCTTTCATATACAACTTTCTCCGAAAGAGGGCGAAAATTCACGCAGGCCTGGTGGATAATGAGCTCCCAGTAGCTACCATCAGTTCAAAGAACCAAAACACATGTACTCCCGATCACGCTTTCATGCCCGGTGCAGAAAGCAAAGATTTCGGCGGAGTCACAACCACTAAAACAGCAGTTCAGCAGTTGCATGTAGCTCCTGATAGATGTTCAAATAACAAACACCTTACATCGTCACCAGATAGTAAAGTCACCGATTCGCATTTCATGTCTCCCACGATTGAACCGTCTCAGAATAACCTGATACCACTCCCTCTACGACAAGCTCTACATCACCAACCAACGTCATCTCTTAAAAGATCTCTTTCTAGACGTCGTGGTACGAATCAACCAAATGTTCTCAAGAAGAAGCAGGAAGCTGACTATGGAAGGAAAACAACGCGCATGCTCCTAATTATATCAATATTCTTCTTCCTCACCTGGACTCCAAGCATGATCATCCCCATCATCCCCCGTTCCATAATTTCTAACGGAAGGGACATTCCTGGATTCTACACCATTATTAACATCCTAATCGCTCTCAAGCTCACTAACCACATCGTCAACTTCTTCGTCTAGTATTGGGTCAGCAACAGTTTCAGAAGAGACGTGAAGGAGTCGTGTAAGAAATACCGAGGCAGAGAATAGTTATGAAGATATAGATCTTCCGATGACAAAGATCTTCTGATGACGTAATCTTTAGATGAGACCAGGGGTCGAAACGGCTGCCCTTAATTCTCGTTCAGATATGAGCCGTCAAAACCACAGTGGCTCTTATGAAGATATAGATATAGATCAACAGTCTTCTGATTTATGTAACATTGTGACTGGAATTCCTCAAAGGAGTATCCTTGGCCTCCCATTAATGATCTTCATTTTGCTTCTAGTAAATTGTCATTTATATTATTTGCTGATGACACAAATTTTTTTTTGTCTGGTAAATCTGTTCAGCAACTGAATAGTGATTTGAAAACAGAATTGGAGAAGGTTTCTTGCTGGTTTTATGCTAATAAATTAAAGTTCAACATGACTAAAACTAATTATATGGTGTTAAAAGGTAGAACTATCAATTTCGATGTTGATGAATTACATGTGCAATTAAATGATGAATATTTATCCAGAGTCTGTTTTACAATTTTTTTTAGGAATATATGTAGATGAAGGCTTAAACTGGAAGACACATATTAACCACATTGCCTCCACGATGACTGACAAATACATGCATGATTCCATTTGAGTATAGGTTTTCCCGGCAAATTTCGTCAAAGCAGCGATCAATTTCATTAACGTGCATTCACGTGATTTCACATTATACAATCTTCTTATTTGTCTGATATATTCATATTGCATTTTATGTTTTCTCTTTCTTTCGACATTCTTTATTTTTGTTGAAACATCTCTTAATTCATATCTTTATATTTTTCATTTTACATGTCTATGAGGTAATTTGTTATTAAAATGGTTTGTTTTCATCAATCTTGATTGAGTAGGTGATCTTTCTATCTTTTCATTTAACATCTTTTTATTTATTCATCATTGTATTTTGTTTTCATCGTGTCCATGTCTATTAAAGATACTATGTCCCTTTTGCAGCCAACCTCAAATTTTGTAGAACTTTGCTGGAATTGTGAATAGGTCATGTATGTCCTATCTGTTACATTTAAACGTTAGCAGTGTCCTAATATTCAAATTATGCAAGGAAACCCGTTTACTTGCTAGACTTCACTGTCAGACACTGTTGTCAGTATTGAGTGACTGACCGGCTTTTTTTCTTCTTTGGTAATAACATACATAACATGAGCTATAAAGGATTTATCTACATCAATAACCCACTCTTGTAATGGCAAAAATTAAACTGATTGAATCTTTGCGCAGCATAAAGCGTACTACCATGCAATACAATGGTCTAAAAATCAAGACTATGACTTATTGGCTCTACAGCTCCTAAGTCGATTTGACAACTAATAGTCGTTATTTTCCCACTAAAAGACATTTTCAAGCCCCCTTTTTTAAGGGGAGTTCTAAATTAGTATTATCTTTCAAATGCCATTGGCATTTAACCTTTTCAACTTTGAGTTTTGGCCTGCAAATGGGACATGGTACCTTTAAAGGGATAGTTGAGTTCTGTTGCAGAGGGCGCTACACAAAATAATTTCATTTGAAAGAACATAATATTTAAATGACAAAATCATCTTTGTTTGATCAAAATCGGTTCAGAGACGGCTGAAATATAACGATTTATAATACTTGTGTACCACCACAAATATTAAATATTTTGAAAAATTTGAAAAAACCGTTGAAAAAAACGAAATAACGCCTTTTACGTCGTATTTCAGCCAATGTCGATGTTGGCTTTTTTGTTGACATTTTCGTGTTGCTTATATTAGCCGGCTCATGTATTGTTATCTTTAATTAAATAATTAATTAACGGTCACCGTGTTTTTTTTTTTTAAGTGGAGCTGAATTGGTATGATCGTATTGGCTAAATTTTTACACATTTTGGGGTCTTACCTTCATAGCAATTTTAGGTTCTATTAGGGCACTATAAATGTCATAGATAAGAATAAGAGCAATAACCATGCACTTTGAAGGCATTTGCGGTCTGAAAACAGAACTTTTTATATATAGCTTGTGCTTAGAAGAGAAGTCACAAATTGTGCATTCTCTAGCGACAGTTACCTGTATATTGACAGATATCTACAACCGAATACGCATGTCATTCCTTCAAGTAAACTTTGCATAAAATTATTCAAACAGAAGTATATTAAGTGACAAATTAACATCAAATGAAAAGCAATGCACAAATGTCACATATGTATGCCTAATCACGAAATTGAATGCACGAATACATACCATCGTCTGTCCGGCACGAATTTGAATAGTCTTTGCACGCTTTTCTAAATTGAATGCTCGTTATTATGGGCTGCCGTTAGGGCCAATGTTAACAACCACAAAAACACATTCTAACAAAAAAAGGACAGATCAAAATTGACAAAGTACCCAGAAGAAAGGACAATAAACAAGCAAACAATACTTATATTTCCATAGGCCCTATTGACCCCCCCCCCCCAAAAAAAAAAAAACACATTACAGCTAGGCTTGTGCATGCAACCACACGTACCTCCTTGTGCTTTATAGCTGGCTGGCAGTAGTGTCTTAATCTTGGGCCAGCTTAATTAATGATCGAAAGTCCGTGGACTTCCTATAGAAACGCGTGTTAATTTATAACACACGCTTATAACGGTATGTCTAAGAAGTTAGAGTTATGATGGTTCGAGAAACGGCCGTTACGCACCCCCCCCCCCCCCCCCCCCTGATTGACAAGCAACAAAGCAAGCCAGACTAGGTTGACGAACAAATAGACTAAGTTTGTTATTGACACACTTAAATGTTGTATTAATACAAAGTTTTGGAAAATTTTGAAAACTGGGTGGAAAGTGATTCTTTACAATTTTGATATATTTGGATGCCCCTGTGGATGTATTATTAACACTATAAAATTTAGCTCCTAAAACACTTCTGCTTTCGAGAAAAATTGTATATAAAAATTTACCGGTGCTCCCGGTAAATTTTGATTAATTTCAAATAGCGCCTACGGCCGTTTAATGGTAGATGCGACCATGAAAATCTCAGAATCTGTAGTTGTGATATCTAACTTCCAAATGGTAATAGTTTATCGGGTTTTTTATTCAAGAAACATAAATTTATAGCTTAATTGATATCTAGACCTTGAGAGAGGGCTATACAACAAAAAGAGTTATTATTTTCAATTTCATAACTTTAGACTCGATTTCAACCGCGACGACGAAAACTGAATATTTTCGGATCGTATATGCTTCCAATATGTTAATTTGAACCAAATTCATGACCCCATACCAAAACTTTATATTATCTTTAAGATTATTAGATTAGGTATACCAGACCAGGAAGTATAAAGAGGACCACCTGACCGTGTTAGCTAGTAGAAAGTCATTCCTTTGTTTGATACTGATATAAACTGTATATGCAGGCCGCATGATCAGTAACCGTATTTAACCCAAACTCGCTCTGTCGTCCTTTGACGGTCAGTTCGTATGATGCTGTTATGTCTGTTACAGTTCATCCTTTGCTTGTAAATTTGTCCTTCTCGTCGCTTTGTCTATTTTGCTTTGTCCTTTGTTTGTTTGTAAAATTGTCCTTTCTTCTGGATGCTTGGACCTTTCTTCGTTTGCTTGTTAATTATCTCTTCTTCTGGGTACTTTGTCTATTTTGCGCGGATCTTTGTTTGTTTGAATGCATCTCTGTCTGTTTTTGTGGTTGTTTATGTTGGCCCCAACGCGTTGCAACGGCGGCCCATACGTTTTGCACGTCTCCGTGACGAGAGCATAAAATCGCGTGCTACTAAATCAAATTGACTGCCGCTATTAGCTTTTTGAATGTAGATCTACATAGTTATTCAATTTCGCACGAACTTGAATGAACGTACGTAACGTTAAGTCGGATGCTAAGTTTACGAAGTTGGGCGGGAAAACCTATATTAAGAATATGACATTCCACTAAAGTTCGCTCGTCATCAGCAGATAATATTATCGGGGAAAAGTATCATATAAGCAACATCAAGGCATCTAATAATGTCTCATATAACACCTATTGATGACAGCCAATCTTGTCTACTCTGTTATGAAGAAAAGCCTTATTCGATTACAATGTATCGTAACTGCAGCCTAGCTGTTTATCACGCTCTCTCCCCCCTCTCTCTTTCTCTCTCTCTCACTCTCTGTCCTTCTCTGTCTATCTCTTATTCTCTCGATGTATGTATACATATCCAATTTTCGGTGTCGTGTCATTCAAATGTTCAGTCGAGACTCTTTTGAAAACGCGCGACTTACCTCGCATAAACTACCGGGGATCTCTTCCCGCCATTTTCCCTTATTCATGTCATCAGCAGATAATATTATCGGGAAAAAAGTATCGTGTAAGCAACATCAAGGCATCTAATAATGTCTCATAACGCCTATTAATGACAGCCAATCTTGTCTACTCTGTTACGAAGAACAGGCTTATCGGATTACAATGTATCATAACTGCAGCCCTGTTTATCACGCTCTCTCTCCCTCTCTCTATCTCTCTTTCTCTCTCTCTCTCTCACTCTCTGTCCTTCTCTGTCTATCTTTTTCTCTCTCGATGTATGTTTACATATCCAATATCCGGTGTCGTGTCATTCAAATGTTCAGTCGAGACTCTTTTAAAAACGCGACGACTTACCTCGCATAAACTACCAGGGAGCTCTTCCCGCCATTTTCCCTTATTCATGTTAGCAGAGGACGGCTTATCCAATCCAGTTTGTCATTTTCCTACTGGCGTTACGTGTATCTCAGCCACATCGCTAATTCGACTCAAGAGCGACCAAAAACCGACCATTACGTTGGCCATTTGGGCTGATGTAACTTTTTGTTTTGTCTGTTATCGGTTTGCCGTATGCCTCGTTTATGTGACTGAGGTATTAGAGAGCCCCGGGACGACATTTCAGACTTAAAACGAACGCAGATCCTCTACATATTCAAGTAGTTCTTAGTTTAAAGTATTCCTGATTTTTATTACAAACAATAAGCCTGCGATGGATAACCTAAATTTGACGAAAGAAGCTCGTTGGAGTTCGTTGGAGATCGTGAATGAAACCTCGACCGAATTGTATCAATATGATACAATAGACAAAGGCGATATGAAGAATAACGATAGCGGTGATGTTCCAGTAGGTGAATTAATATTTTATCTTCTCATATTACTATTAGGGTGTCCGGGGAATGCCATCATCATCCAAACTTACGCATGGAAGAAACGGAAGACGAGCACGGATATCCTGATCATGGGCCAAGCGATAGTCGACTTTGTCGCTTGCTTATTCATGCCTGTTTTCATCATCAGCAACGGTTTCCCGAAACTGATTACGACAGGTTTGTGTCGGATGTTACCACTTACAGGAGAGGCACCCGCCTTTGTGTCCCTTTTCCTCACCATGGTAATCAGCATCGATCGCTACATGGCCGTGTGTCATCCTCTACGACGTCGAATGACGGTGCGTATGACCATTGTATTAGTTACTGTGTTTGTGGTCGTCAGCATCGCGTTTAAGATTCCGCTTGCCCTCTTGGCTGAAGTCCGATTTTCCGATAGAGTCAAAAGAAAGCTATGCAACATTCCCTTGCGTCACGATTCTTATCATATCGTTGTAACGGTGACGTGTTCGACATATGCCTTGTTTATCTTGTCGATTATGACGACGACTGTTCTTTATGCTTTCATATACAACTTTCTCCGAAAGAGGGCAAAAATTCACGCAGGCCTAGTGGATAATGAGCTCCCAGTAGCTACCATCAGTTTAAAGAATCAAAGCACATGTACTCTCGACCACACTTGTATGCCCTGTGCAGAAAGCAAAGATGTCGGCGGAGTCACAGCCACCAAAAAAGCAGTTCAGCATTTGCATGTAGCTACTGAAGGATGTTCAAATAACAAGAATCTCATATCGGCACCAAGTAGTAAAGTCATGGATTTCATGTCTCCCATAATTGAACCGTTTCAGGACAACCAGATACAACTCCCTCTACGACGAACCCTCGCTGAACCACATCACTCACCAGCGTCATCGCCCAAAAGATCTCTTTTTAGGCGTCGTGGTACGAATCAACCAAAGGTACTCAGGAAGAAGCAGGAAGCTGACTATGGAAGGAAAACAACGCGCATGCTCCTCATTATATCGATATTCCTCTTCCTCACCTGGACTCCAAGCATGATCATCCCCATCATCCCCCGTTCCATAATTTCTGACAGAAGGCACATTCCAGAATTCCGCACCTTTCTTGACATTCTAATCGCTCTCAAGCTCACTAACCACATCGTCAACTTCTTCGTCTACTATTGGGTCAGCAACAGTTTCAGAAGAGACGTGAAGGAGTCGTTTAAGAAATACCGAGGCAGAGAATAGTTATGAAGCAAAAGATCTTTTCATCGCATAGATCTTCTGATGACGTAATCTATAATAAAGACATGGGTCGAAACAGCTGCTCTTAATGCTCGTTCAGATATGAACAAGAAAATTAACAAGTGGTATAGTTTCTCGAGTAATCATAAATTAACAATAAACATTATAGCTTGTATATACAGTGGTAAATGATATTATAACAAATAATTATATGACACGTACCAGCCTATGTTTGACAATAAGATACATAACAAACGGAATGATAATTTCGATATTGATTTCGAACAACCTCGGTTTGTAGGCCTATAGACGGCGCGAGGCAGAGATACTTTCCCGGATGAAACCTTATACGACACATCTCTTCTGCAAACTCTGCAAGTATATTGAGATAATCTCGAAATATACTTTGGAAATTTGAATGCATAAATGATAAGTATTTTACTGCGTCAAACAATAATTATCTCTTAGATTTCATTCGCAATAGCTCATAACTCATAAATGTTCCTATTCGTGGTTGGTACAACATTATATGATCTTGCACATTAGTAAGTACGAACATTGAATGAAAAAGTCAAAACGCTTGATTTTTATTTTGTTAGACTAAATGAAAGAAACAATAAAGACATAGTATAGTATTAATGAATGCTTTGGGAGACATGGTTGTTTTTATACGCTCAAGGGGAGGTAAAAATCGAGCTATTGCCCGAGGCGAAGTAGAGGTAGAGGAATATATACGATAACTGCATACACATAGTCCAGAGTAGAGTCACAGATCCATGTGCTAGTTACAAAAAAAATGTGAGTTAGTGGGGCTGAAGATAAGATCACTTATAGCACAACAAAAAAGTTTGAAACAGTCCGTTAATTCCTCAGTCTCCTCTTATGTAACAAATTCCTCTTGTGGTACAGGTATAACTTAAAGCAAATTGGGGGGGGGGAGGGAGAGGGGGAGTGACAAAGACAAAGTAACAACTTAATAACAATATCTAGACACACATTCATACTACCATACAATTAAAAATGTTAAAGACCTCGTGTTGTTCATGTCATCTTATAACGAATACACATGCAGATCTTCATGTTCCTTCATTTTGATGAAGAGTGTACTTTAGTAAGAAAAAGTCGTCTTCTGCTTCAATATCAAGCGACTCGTTCTATGGATTGTGGCATACATCAAGTTGGCAAGGTCCACACACACACTGTTACATGGTAATCTGTAACATCTGCAGGTACAGCAAGGTGTGCTACAAGCAGTACAACAATTGCAATGAATCAACTTAAGAAGCTTACTAGGTACAGCCTTCGTATTCAACATCATTGTACTCTCATTTCCAGCCCCAGTCTGTGACGTCCATGTCTTATAATTCACTTTCCATCCATGCCGTGACTTGGTAGTATGTTCTGAGGGAGTGGAATTTGGTGGAGGCTGGCGTAGGAGGGAGTCGCATTGGCAATTGTCTTGACATACAAGTTGTATCGTAATGATGCAAGTGAGTCATTACAGCAGCAACAAAACATGAAAGACATTGCTTTGATACCAAGTTCCTCTATTAGTTCCTGTGGCTGACTTGGAAGAAAGAAAGTACTAGCACTGGATTCTTAAGTGGGGCTGCATTTCACAACCTTCTGGAAGACTGCTCTCTTTCCGATTCTGAATATCCTGGAAGTCGAATCGCAACCATTGTAGGCATGTCGAAAAAGGAGTTGTGAGCATAGATCTAAACCCAGGTCCACTTTCAACTGCTTAATGTTATACACCTTCGGAGCCTTGGCAAATCAGTGCCTTCTCAAATCAGAGTAGTAGACTAACGACGAGAAGAATTCACTGCAGCTTTAGCAATAATGTATATCTGCATCCCCGGATACATTGATGACGGTGCAATTACTCTTCCTCAGTTCCTCACTAATGAGATTCATGAGTCTCTGCTTATTGCAGTCTCTTTATAAAAACCCACCCTTCGTGCCTGAGAATACTGTGTCTGCATTGAATCTGACAACTGGATGGGCGTTCTGCCTACGTCGCTGGTGTGTATTTTCATTAATTGACGGCCCTCCACCATATCCGTCAACAACTACATTTGCAGAACCATCTAGTGGGGGGGGGGGGGTTGTGAAATTAGGATGTGAACGTGCTATTCTGCCAAAGCTGTCTTCTGTCTTCCATGGTATCCGATGCACCAAGGAACCACCATCAAGGACATACCGGTCTGTGTTCTTTTACGGCTTCACTCGACACTTTACTTCCATGATCGGTTATAACATGAGCTAGCTGAGGCTACTCAGCCTTCCGAAAGACATTCCTAGCCTCGAAAAATGAAGGTAGGAACGGACTGAGCTCAAAGATCATCACCTCTTCTACCTCAAGTTCCCTTGTTTTTTAAACTACCAGGAACTGTTGAAACAGCAAAGCAAAGCAGCATTTATGGTTTGTTCAGGTACAATTTGTACTTTCGAAATCTCTCCCAGAGTCGTAGCTTTGTCTTTCCTTTTGAACGAAACTATTAAAACAGCATATTGGAAGGCCGCTGAGCTATTTACCCCAGAATAGCCCACTGAAAGGGATTGACTTGCAATTAGGTTGCTTCCAGACATTCATGATTTTGCTGGAAGCAATCGGTACCCTGATGAAAGGAACTGGACTTCGCAGAATCCTTAGAACAGATAACAGGGAACTATACTTCCACTCTTACAATGCAGCCAAGGCTCCGAAGGTGTATAACATTAAGCAGTTGAAAGTGGACCTGCATGGGTACGGGATCTGTGCTCACAACTACTTTTTCTGGATGCCTACTCTGATTGCGAATCGACTTCCCGGAATAGGAAAGAAAGCAGTCTTCCAGAAGCTTGTGAAATGCAACCTCACTTTGAAATCCTGTGCTAGTACTTTCCTTCTACCAAGTCAGCCAAAGTAACTTAGAGGAACTTGGTATCAAAGCAATGTCTGTCATGTTTGGTGGCCGCTGTAATGACTCAGTTGCATCATTACGATACAACTTGTTGGTCAAGCAAATTGCCAACGCAACTCCCTCCTACGTCAGTATCCACCAAATGCACTCCCTCAGAACATACTACCAAGCGCAGGTGGGGGGGGGGATTCGATTAGAAACCCCTACCTATTTTTAGGGGTCATTTTTCTCGAAGTAAAGCCCACTTTTCACAATTTTCACAATGCTACCAAGTCATGGCATGGATGAATTAGAGTGAGAAGATATGGACATCACAGACTAGGGATGGAAATTACAGGACAATCATCTGGTTCCACTAATGTCATATACGGAGGCTGCACCTATAGTAATGTTCTTAAGTTGATTCATTGCTACTTCTGTACTGCTTGTAGCACACCTCGCTATACCTGCAGATGTTACGGACTAACCATATAACAGTGTGTGTGTGGACCTTGCCAACTTGATGTATGCTACAATCCATATAACGAGTCACTTGATAGTGAAGCAGGAGATGATTTTTTCCTTACTAAAGTACATTCCTCATCAAAATGAAGGAACATGAAGATCTGCATGTGTATTCGTTATAAGATGACATGAACAACGCAAGGTTTTAAACATTTTTAATTGTATGTTAGGTATTATGAATGTGTGTCTAGATATTATTATTAAATGTTTTCTTTGTCTTTGTCACTCTCCCCCCCCCTCCCCCCCCCCCCATTTGCTTTAAGTTATACCTGTACCACAAGAGGAATTTGTTACATAAGAGGAGACTGAGGAATTAACGGACTGTTTCAAACTTTTTTGTTGTGCTATAAGTGATCTTATCTTCAGCCCCACTAACTCACATTTTTTTTGTAACTAGCACATGGATCTGTGACTCTACTCTGGACTATGTGTATGCAGTTATCGTATATATTCCTCTACCTCTACTTCTGCATTGTATTAAACCCATATTTGTAGAATTGTTGAAGCAATTCCGCCTGTTTTAGCTGTTTCTACTAATTCAAGGTGCTAGAATGTTATGATGCAATGCATGCTCTCTAGCATAGCCTTCCAGCAAGACTGCATACTTAATTGCCACGTCAACTGGTTAACTGGATATGAAAGAGTATGCGGCAGGTCTGCAGCAGACTCTTTGTTATAACCTTTTCTATGAATATCCATGATGAAGAGTCTGCGGCAAGTCTGCGGCAAGTTTGCGGCAAAACTAATTTGCATGTGAAAAAGATGACTGTCTGCGGCAGGTCTGCTGCAGATCTGCGGCAAGTCTGCCGCAGGAGTATGCGGCAGGCTCATTTCTTTCCTATGGGAAAAGACCCTTTTTCTGGGGGGGGGGGAGGTCGGTGACACCATAAGGGTGAGAGAGAAAAATTATAAATTCATTTCCTGTTTATAAAGTGCGCCCTCTATTGAGAGATATTAGTGGTTTTGTGGCCCTTTGGACGCCATATTGGATTTCGTGGTTTCCTGAACCACCGGTTAACGTTCTAACTTATCCTAGTGGATTCTATGACCCCGAAAACCATAGCATAGACACCCCAATTTTGTCTTTCGGATGGATAATAAGTGACTTATGGCCATTTTTATGTTATGGCGGCCATTTTGGACGCCATCTTGGATTCTGGGGTTTCCTAGACCATCACAAACCATTCTTACTTGTCTCATTGGATTCTCTGACCCCCGAAACCATGGGATAGACACCAAAATTATGTCTCTAAGATGGATAATACGTGATTTGTGGCCATTTCTAGGTATCGGTGGCCATCTTGGACGCCATCTTGAAAATAACAGTTTTCTGAACAGTCGATTTTGGTATACTTTTTATATATTATTCCTGAGGTCGAATACTACTAGAAACCGTTGAAACACCTTTTTGTTGCAATTTGTTGGGGTTGGGGTGTTTTTTACCGTATATTGACCTGACTATAGGGTGTTTGATCGCGCACCACTCGAGTTTGTGTGCTAAAATCCTTCCCATTTAGATTGCACGCATAAATATGCAGTCTAGATCTAGATCTACGTTGTCGAGCTCCGAATTTGGAAGTTTGTTTACGCTAT